CCCCCTTGCCCCCTCCACCCCCCCTCCTATCCATTTCTCTTCAGTTAGCTTATCAGCTTTAGCCGAAGGAAAGGGACCTGGGGGGCATGCTGTCGAATGAGGTTGCGTCTGTGATTTGATCCTCCTGCCTCTTGCGTGTGGGACTTTTTTCTTTTTTGTATGTATATGACTGAGCCATCCATCCATCTAGTGCAGCACAATGCAGTCTCAGAGACTCTTGGTCTGTATTATCATTCTCTTCAAGGAGATATCCACGATCTAATGTCTGGTTCTCGTCTTGTTTCTGTGACTAGAAATGTATCATTGGCTCCGATTCTTACCTTGATCCCCCCAATCCGCTCTACCTTTGACCTTTGACCTCTGGCCTTTGTATCGAGCAGTTCGACCACGGTTGGGTTGCTGAGGATTCTGGGCCCTTGTTCCCCCCGTCCTCCTTCTGGCTCTGACTCGACCATTCTCTCTCACTTCCTGATCCCGATGTCTGGTTCAAATACTTTGACTTCCACGTACAAGTTGTGCCATCAGTAACCACTGATCACCTCCCGGATTCATCATCAGTACCTAAAGTCTTACCACAATCACGCCATGGCACCAATCTTTACTGCGACACCCTGTCCAGAGTCCTGAGAGAAATACTGGTTTACTCGCCGAACCAAAGACTCTAGTGTCTATACATTGGTACAACTGGCTTAGTCCGGACGGTCGAAAATTCTCTTATCGTACTTGGAGGAGCAAAATCTTATACCAAGAGATCCTGTGTCTCGAACCTCCACTACCACGACCAGCACCACGACCACGACGCCGACAACGATAATAGCTAGACTGTCAGCAAAATCATCTTCTCCCTGTTATCCGAACACAGCTTGTTCTCCGGCCCTGCAAACGTTCTCGCTGCGTTACACGCTTTGCCGAAGTTTTCATCTCGCCGGGTTAGACCTCTGCCATCCTGGTTCAGCGTGGTTACCATCGATCTCGATACTAACCTGGACTGACCGTTGGCCAGGATCTTCGCCCACAGAGTTTTTCGTCACTGGACCTCCGACCACGATATACCGCAGATAAGCAATCAGGTCAAGCTCTCGGGTCGGTATACTCCACCTCCCACCTCGCGGTCCTCAAGGGTTGATATCTGTGCACCTGAACCTGCCTCGTCCTCCGGCAATCTGTGTCACCTCAACATTTTTGCCTGGTTCGCGACGCTTCTAACTTCCCGTCCCACCTTTGCCAGACGTCCTGTTTGGGTTCCCTGTCTTTCAGGTATCTGGATGAGTTTTTTAGTGCTCAGGGAATGAGTCGAGTATTAGAGTCTTTGACGGTTGAATCGGTTTTCTTCTGTCAAGAAGCTGGACAGCTTGCCAATTCAGTTGCCGCTGGCTTCTAGAGTTTGCTTTTCCTCGGGTCTTCATCGCTCCTGACTTTACTGGATTGCCACTGGGTTTTGGAAGGTTCACTCGACTCGGCCACACGAGGACCTCCGGTCCACTATCTGGGTTTTGCCGATATATATGTGTCACTCTGATTCAGCCTTACCCCCATCATTCAGCCGCTCTCTTGGACATGTATCCGACAGACCAGCATAACTTTCCTCCCAGAGCTCATGCTCATTCCCTCCAGCATCCTGCTCCAGCCCCAGCCCCTCTACAAATTCCCCCGATGCCTCCCTATTCCCCATATCACTCGGCAAGTCAGATGGCTCCAAGTAACAAAATGCCTTTGACAAATAACAACATGAATGCCTTGATGAGCAGCAACGGCAATGGTGGCAGCAGCAACATGCCGCCCCCGAGTCCCAGCCATAGCAGCACCGCGGATGACGAATCGTACTATGGCCTGCCAGAAATTCCTCCAACTTCCAGGATCTGGGGAAAATACGGCTTCGCGGTAGAGGTCATTCAACAACCCAAGCGTGCTCGCATGTGTGGGTTTGGTGACAAGGTAATGATCAGAGATCTGGCGGCGTATTAATATTGGTGGAAGCTGAGCATTTCCTCCTTGCCTACAGGATCGTCGTCCTATCACACCGCCTCTGATAGTCAAACTCCACATCTTTGATCCAGAGACCCATCAAGAGATCGATTACAGGTGAGTCGTTCGATTGCACCTTTCTCTGTACGCTTGCTAACTCAGAGACAGCAAAGTTGTTGACCTGTCAAAGTTTATCCTCGGCGTTGATTTGTGGGATGTGCATGGCAGCCACGAAGACAACTGTGTCAGAAACAATACAACATCCCCATCTATCTCGTCGACCATCACCACTCCGTATCCTCCAGTAACTTCCACTGGTTTGCGTGGGACCCAGCCCCTCCGCCCTTACGACGCTACGAATCTCTCCAGTTGGCGTGGTGCTAGAGATGCTAGCTCCACGTCGACGCCGACAAGCGCGCCCACGTCTGCCTCCTCCACCTACAACAATGACTCGTTTGAACAACGCAATCCGTCGTACCCCTACAACAACAAAAATAACGGCAACCACAGCAACAACCACAACAGCGACACGCCCTACAATGGCCGTCGTCAGAATGGTTATGACAACCCTTTGCATCACCGAGCCCCCGCTCACGACTCAATTCCTCAGCCAGGTCCCCCACTGCGCTCCTCGCGATCCTCGCAAGATATGGGGCCTCTGAACCCCGGCAGAGGTGAACCTTCCAAAAATCTCATCGGCCAGTGTCATACCAGTGTCCAAAGACTGGACGATGAGAACAAGGAAGTGGGACTTTACTTTATCTTTCAGGATCTGAGTGTTCGTACGGAGGGCTGGTTTCGCTTAAAGTGCACCTTGTTTTGCTTGGCCAGGCTTATCCTGGAGGATGACGACGACAATGATCCTGCTTCAAACGAGCTTTATCAGGAAGCACCCTGCCTGGCCTCGTCGTTCACGTTGCCATTCAAAGTCTTCAGTGCGAAAAAGTTCCCTGGGGTTGTCGAGACCACGCATCTAAGTCGAATCTTCGCCGACCAAGGGATCAAAATACCCATTCGGAGAGATGGGCAGAAAGGCAAGAAAAGGAGTGAAGATGATGGCGACGGCGTAAACGGAGATGGCGAATACGAGGGAGAGGACGGATTTGATGAGCCGGTGTGAAAACGCAGGATTTCCCAGCACAGGAACGTCCAGCCAGACCGCGCCTACAACTTAGGTGCGATACAATTCGTATTGCGGTGAGAGTGGAATCAGTGAGATGAGGGGCGGGAAAAAAACTCGAGAGGAAAAGAATATTTCTCACTGTTGTGCGACAGCCTACGTTGAGAGGCTGTTCTGGGAGGCTCTTTACAGTTCCATGAAAAAGTGGTGCATAGCGTTCATAAAGCTGGTTCATTGCACAATATATGTCGTTGCCCGCACTGAAATAATAGGCGGTATGTGTTCGTTGCCGACACAAAGCCCTCCTGAGACCTGAAAACTCGACTGGTTGAGTATGCGTGTGGGATGCATGATTCGAGGCTCAGCCTTGCGATTCTCACCAATCGGCCAACATGTACCGAGAACAGCAGCATTAATTGACCCTGAGAATCGTCCGCAAACACCACTTCACGCGTCTTCTTTGCACTGGGGTCTCTCCTCTTGCTTTGTAGCAACCTCGAAGCGTCCTGACCATCACTCAGCTACGGGTGACTTTGTCAACACTTCCATCGTCTCAGAGACGATGGGTCTTACGAAGAGATGAAACACTAGGGCAAAAGGAATCGCATCTGCCCTCCACCATCGCCTCCTGCTGCGCAGCCCCTAAAAGGTCTTTTGATCATGTCAAAACCCAAGAAGCCCGCGGCCCTGAACAAGGTGCCGCGGAGAGATCCGCTGGCATCCTTGAAGATGGCCGACATGTTGATATCCAAACCGGTCCTTCCAGCAGGTGCAGTCTCACTCTGCTTCGATGCGCTCTGCGGTATAGGCTAAATTATTCTAGAGGTTCTGGTGGTTGTGATGGACCATCTCACGGTACCTGATCTGCTTCGATTCGCTCGAGTGTCGCGCCGGATGCATGAAATGATATATGACGATGCACGATGGGTCAAACGGCTGAGAGCGATAGGATGTTGGAATGACGCTGAAGCGAGAAGAAGAGCAGAGCCTCCAAAATCACCCACTACTCCGAGACAAAGGCGGAGCACAATAGATCGCAACTTGGTGAACGGCAAGGGAAGACCAGAGGTTTTGTTCGACATGGATGCGTCTCCGGTCGTCCAATCTCGTCAAACGAACCTCCTGTCGCCCTTACCGGTCCGATCGACGGCAGCGGATGGGTTTGACGTGGCGGAGATTTCGAGCCCGCGAACTGCGGTGTCTACAGGGCTGCCTGTCGACCACGACGCACCTTTGTCAGCCTTCTCAAAGGTCAAGTCCATTAGAGGCAGGGCCAGGCAGGAGTATGGAAAGATCTACAGAATGCTGGCGCCATACTACGCCGATTTGCTCTCTGCTTCCAACCCGATGGAAAGCCGCATATTCAGAGATTTCTCTCTTCCAGACCAGCAAGCTCAACTACTGGCAAATGTACAGAAGTTCTCGGCCAGCGACTTCTCGCCTGGGTCGGGCGAGAGGGACCGACAAATCTCTGAAGCTGTCGGTATGTTTGATACTGCAGCTCTCTTGGAGTTCCGGAAAGGTTACGAGTTCAAAGATATCCATGGCAGAATGCGCCAGTACGCACGGGTGATGCATATTCTCAATGGTGGAAAAAGCGGAATCGATCTGTTCTTGCATGACAACAACATGATCAATCAAAGAGCTGAACTTGGCTCCGTGTCAGATTGCATCGACTACTCTCTGGGATACGGCGAGCTATCCCTGGAAAGGGTGCAAGCATACTTTGAACGATTAAGCAATGCCTTCATGCAGGAGAATGGCATCGTTCAAGCAGTCTTCCCAAACGCCCAAGAAGTCTCTCTTCTTCTCCTTGAAGAGGTAGCCAAGGAGATCCTCTCGCCTTTCCTGTCGACATTGTTCGAAGATGCTCGAACTCGGGGAACCTCGATATATCTCCGGATCATATCGGGAACGTTTCAGGCGACCAGACAGTTTATTGAAAATGTCGCTCTGCCCGGGGACGTTGATGATTCAATTATAGCGCGGTGCAATGCCGTTGGAACCGAGATTTTTGCGCCTCATCTCGAAACATATCTTGCCGAAGAACTGGCTTTCTTTCGCCACAAAGCAGATTCCGAAGTCGAACAATGGGATCGAGCCCTGTCTGAACAGGCGGCCTCGACGGAGAGCTTTCTAATGTCTAATGTAAACCGGCAGGCCGACAAGAAAGACTTCATGTCGTCTTTCAAGCAAGTGCTCATGATGCCGGTCAACATCCTGCCCGTGTTCACCAGCTCCTCCGCTCACAAGACAAGTCCAAAGCACCACGATACGGATGCTGCTACTTTTACGAGGCCTGCCACTCCTACCCAGTCCGGTCGGCGAACCGTGACTCCGGCCCTTCCTCAAGAAGCCCCGACCGATGAATTGGCGGCTAAGGCTGCTCTAATGAACTCCAAGCTGGAGAATATCAGGTCTTTGTTTTCCATTGAGGTTGCTCTCAACCTCGTTCATGCCGCCAAATCTTCCCTAGACCGTGCTGCGCAATTCATCGCGCTAGGAGGTGAAGCCGGCGAATCGGCCCGCGCACAATGTTCAGCAATCTTTATCTTGCTTGTACAAACCGTGGGAATTCGTCATGTCAAGACCGGGTTTGACAAGGCCATTGACCACCTCTCGCATTACTCGGCTCGCGAGACGAACACCAACTCCGACGACGACTCTGCCACCACTATCCAGGTGGCGCCCCTCGCCACTTTTCTTGAGCTCGTCAATGTAGGCGACCTCATTCAGCAAATGCTCGACGTTTTCTATGAGTCCGAGTTGGTGCGCATGCGCATCTCTAAGCGGGACGATTTCTTGGATATCAACGTCAAAGAGAAGCGCAAATTTGAGGCTATGCTCGACGAGAGTGTTGCTGCCGGGTTGGGCAAAGGTATTGATGTGCTGATGGATGAAGTTGAGTACATCTGCGCCACTACTCAATTGCCCACGGATTTCTATCCAGAACTAGCCATGCAAGATGGAAATGCCACGCATCATCCAACCACAATGGCCTCCATATTGAACGGTGGCATGGGCAGACCATCGAGTATAGCGAGTACGATGCCCGTGTTGGACTTTTCAGGGAGGCCCACAGCGACTGCATCGCGCGTGATCAAGCTTGTCTCGCACCACACAGGCATGCTCACAGGGGCAACTGAAAAGACTCTCCTCGACGTCTTCACGACGGAAGTCGGACTGCGGCTCTTCACCACGCTGACAAAACACATCAAACGGCAACGGATCTCGTGCGCGGGCTCTCTGAACCTGCTGAGCGACCTCAGCGCCTACTCGCAGTTCATCGCGACATTCAAGAATCAGGACTTGAACAGCTATTTCACCGCCCTGAGATCCCTGGCGCAGATCTACCTGATCCAAGGCACCAGCGACAGGGATGTGAGGGAGATGAGCACCATCATTGCGGACCAGGAGAGGTACAAGGGGGTGTTCTCCGTCGAGGAGGTCGTGGAATTTGCAGAGAGAAGGAGTGACTGGTTATCGCTGAGAGCGAGGGTGGAGGGCAAAGTCAAGGGAGATGGCTGCTTCGTCATGTAGATTGGAATATGATCCGCGACCGCCATTCTCTTTCGAAAAGATGCACCGAGAGAACTTCTGTCTGCTGCTTAGAGGCTTTATTGCGGGCTGCTATGCATCTCGTCCCCTCTCTCTTTCGTTGCTGCGTGGTATGACGCCCTAGCCATCAGACCAGCTCTGTCCGCTCCTCTGCCGTGTTGTATTCCCATATCCCTCATTGCCCTGCCATGGCCAGAGCCACTCAAAACAAGGACAGTTATGTATCTAGATCCCACTTCACAACTCAAATTCTCCCTCTTCCTCTTCCTCCTCCTCTTCCTCCTCGATTTCCTCGACAAACCCGGTTTCCTGCTCTCTTGTCAATCCAGGGTGGTGAAACTGCTCTCTCATTCCAGCACTCAATATGTCCCGGACGACCTCTTCCCAATGGATCCAAGGAGGCACTTGCTCGAACAGCCGCGCGACCCAGCCCCTGCCCTGCATAATCTTCATCTGCAAAAACAGTCTACGTCGGTTATGCCGGGCCAATGCCGCGTAAATTTCTTCCAGTTCAAGCAGGGTGGTGGAGGGTGGCGTCGTTTGTTCGGTGTCGGTGCAGGCGCTGGGAGGATGGGAAGAATTCGATTGCTCATGTTCTTGGTGCAGACGCCAGAAATTCATCCACAACGGGTCGACGGACACGTATTCTTCCTCGAGGAGGTCCAGCCAGGTGATCTGTTTGAGGACATTGGCGATGGTCTCGTCGAGTGAGACGGCCCAAGCAATCCATGCGTGTTGGTTCTCAACGATGTCCTGAGACATGGCCGAGAAGGGGAATGCACCTTGCACGAGCAGGCTGCCTCGATGGAGTAGTTCCGGCACGACGCAGTTCTTGAGGCAGCTGAGGTGCAGGACTTGGGCGATGATGCTTTTGCGGTGGAAGCAAGAACTCTCTCGAGCGGATGTCGACACGTTCCTCCATACTTGCTCGGTGGGAAACAAAGCAAGGATGGATTCTCTGGGGATCTTGGTCGCGTTGGGGTTCATGAATTCGTTCGTGGTTGTCGGTGAGAGGTTCTGCACTTCGGCCGTGCCAGGACCTACGAGTGAAGGAGACATCATGGTCCAGTCTATCTTGTGTGACTTGTTTCTTGAAATAGGTTTTCCCCAATATTAGAATCTTCCTCTGTCGAGGGGCGCTCTCTATTCTGTCCCAATGTCACCGTCTTCCTTGGGCCAAGTGTTCAGAACTTTAGACCGCCAGGGAGGGCTTTCCCACCTAGTGCCTTCTAAGATGCAACTGTAGATTGAATGTCAGCATCTCACTTTCGATCACTCTGTCACTTTGCTCAAGCATACCGGGTCTGTCCGATTTTTCCTCTCTAAATTCCATGTGCTCCGACTGACCATCGCCTGGGGTGTCGTTGGACGGTCGAGCGACGGACTATTCCATCACAGCAGACACGATAGGCAATATCTGAATCCACCAAGTTAACAGCAGAAGAGGAATGTTTAGTGGTCCTTTTCCCAAATAAGAGCGTGGCAAGGTGTGAATTCTGGATTTCCACAAACAAAAAACAACAGTAAGCGTATCATCCGACAGAACAAACTGGCGAGTGAGAGAATTTGAAACAGAAAAGGGCTTTTCTTCTTCTTGTTGTTCTCTGTATTGTGCATAAGGTGTAAGAAAATAAAACAAAGACATGTCACTTGTGTCGTTTGCTATCGCTGGCGGACCCGGGAACGTGCAGGTCGATGGCGATACATCGATACGGAAGTCCTTCTAGAGCACACGGGCGATTTTTACACCGTCTGCTCTTGCCCTGCCTTTCGTCTTTGTTTCTCCTACCTGGAGTCTTTTGGGTCCTATGCGTCCATAGTTTTTGCAGTCACCAACCTGGTGCGGGAGCTGATATCTCTGGACACAGAATGTGCTCGTGCTCATGAACATTCTGACGGGATACTTTGCAAATGTATGTGAGCAGCAGAGGCGTGGCATCCACAGGCAAGTCTTGCTATTGCCATGACCGGTCACCCGGTTGGACCTGGTGAGTACATTCATACATACATTATGAGACATGGAGTTTGCCAAATCTATTAATATTGAGGCTCCGGGCATCGGCCGTTTGGAGATCCGCTCAGTGCAGTGTCCGATTTAGTGGCCGCCTCCACTTGGGCGACTAGAGACTGCCACGGGACTGCCTAGAACAAAACATCTCGGTGGCAGGGTGCCTTGGGTCTTGAGGCCCTGGAGCTGTTAAACGCGCCTATCGGCTCGCTGGGGAGGCTGGGTCAAGCACTAGATGACGTTACTGCTGACCACCTGATCAATGGATCAATCAGTGCCCAAACCATTCCATCACCACAGCTTCTATCACGACCATCTGCTCTCCCAAACACCTGGCACCCACGCACCTTTGGCCTAGTGGCCCCGAATAGCCCTCCTTCGAAAGGAACCCAAGGTGACTCCGCCTCATCAATACATATACAACCCTTACCTGCCTTGCGCCGTCTCAGTCATGGCGTTCACTCTCATGTTCTTGGGCTCTTGACCATCTTGTCCTTTGCGCTGTATCTTTGCTGTTTTTGATTTTTTGCGACGATATCTCTCGTTTCGTCAATCGTTCAGACCTTTCGAACGTACTCGGGCGCAGAACATCAGAGGCCACCAGCATCACCAAAGCGCCAACTATACTGTACATACCCTACATTCACGACATCATGTTGTTATAGGAAAGGGTCCAGCTTATTTTGCATAAAGAAAGAAAAGAATCAAAAAGCGGAAAAAGAAGGAGGATAAAAAATATACCACCCCGACTTGGAAGAAGATAAAACCCGCCTGCAAACCCCTCTATCATGGTTGTTCTACACTCCCTTCCCGCCACCGTCGTCATCTTACTGTCCCTCTTGTCTCTCCAAGTCTTGTGTCAGGATCCCGCTACCGTCACAGTGGTTGGTACAACTATAACTCAGACCTTTACTGCAGCGGCCTCGACCACGCCTCTTTCTCCCCAATATACCGACTCACTCACCTTCCGAGAGTCGATTCTCAATTCTACGAACTTCTTCCGCTACGAACATTCGGCCGGATATATATATTGGAACGAGACACTTGCGTCGTACGCTCAGAGCTATTCCGAGGGCTGCGTCTGGACCCATTCGCACGGTCCGTACGGGGAGAATCTCGCCAGAGGATACCCCGACGTTATCTCGGCCGTGGACGCTTGGGGCAATGAACGGGCACTGTATAATTTCTCCAGCTCCGACCCGACCGGCTTCACCGAGGCGACGGGGCATTTCACGCAGTTGGTATGGCAGAGCACGCAGGCCACCGGGTGCGGGTGGACCGACTGCGACGGCAAGAACGGACTGGACGGTATATACTTGGTGTGTGAGTACTGGCCGCCGGGGAATGTCGTCGGGGAAAACAACCTGTTCTTCAAGGCGAACGTTGGCGCTGAACGGAGCGGCGGGGACAGCGGGTTCGACGAGCTGAGCGCAACGATTGGCGCAACCGGAGGGACGCCGACTGCGACGACGAGTTTGTTTTCAAATCCGCCCGCGGCGACGGCGAGCACTACCGGTGAGTCGATCGGGGCTCCGGCGGTAGAAATGGACCGGCGAGGCCTGCTTGTCACCGTGTGTGTCACGCTGGCCGCCGTGCTGTTCGGTCTGGGAATGTCCTAGCCCGCGGGTTTCCTGTTCCCCTTTTCTCCTTGGTCGATATCCAACATACACCGACGCACAAGATAAGAAGGGAGGTGACACAGACCCGGTCTCCGTAAAGCATCTGAAGAGACGTATAGAGCGTTGCTTTTGCACGTCGAGTCGAGTCACGATTGAATGATGAGGTAAATGAGCTGTGAATTTGATGTATATATGACACGGATATACAAGAGATACTACACCAAAAAACGCCATAAAATACTACTACTATTAATCCACCTCGTTCTGGGGTTCTGTTGGATGTCTCTCGTATGTATTATTTCCACCATCCCTCCCCCCTACCCAACATTCTGACCCTCTTGTTCCCCAGCGTCCGCCCTTCCCCTTCCGCCTCAACGCCGTCTCCAATTTCAAACGGACCCTGCTGCTCCCCTACGGCCATTTCCACCAGCACGCGGCCCAGTTCCTCGGTCGGGGTGTGCAATCCCTCCCCGAGGCAGCCCCATCGGATCGGGACCATCGCTTTGCCCAGGTAAAAGCGCTGAAAGGCGGTTCGCTTCTCCTTCAGGATCTGCTCCCAGAGCCAAGGCTGGTTGTGGCCGTCCACGGCGCCGGGGCGGACCGAGTAGACTGAGAGGAGATTGGAGAAGGGCGGCGTCTTGGAGAGTTGGAGCAGAGAATGTTCCGTGTCGCCTTTGACGCGGCCGAAGAGGGGTGTCCAGGGTCGTGGATGCAGCGTCGCGCCTTCACCGGAAACGTAGATGAATTTGAACTTTTTGTTCCCGTCAGGCTTGTCTTCGGAAGGAGGCCCCGAAGTGGACGCCGCCGCCGACTCCCGTAGCGAGGAAAACGCCTTGGCCGCCTCCATGGTATAGTCCTTTGTGATCGTCACATACTGCTCCTTGGACACGTCGTTCTGGCTTACGCCCAAGGCCCATATGCAAGCGTCGGCACCTTTCAGTCTCTCCAACAGCTCCGGTGGATATGAGGTGAAATCTTTGTGCTCGATGACTTCGATCTGAGTGTGTTTGTTGACGGCCGGCGTCCCCGGTGGAGGAGTGGTGGAGAGCCAGGGGATTGAGCTAGAGCGAGTGATGATTGATAGTTTATGAATGGCGGGTGTACTCGTTGACGGGAGGGAAAGAATGTGCGAGAGAACGGATGCTCCCACTAGACCCGTGGCTCCAGTCAAGATCAAATGGACCATTGTTACCGTGCAGATCTGACAAGGTCAATCAATGCGAAGGGACAGTAGAGTATTCTGAATGTCGATATGAAAAGCTTCAAACAGAGAGGCTGATATATCGTCGTCGTCGTGGTAAAGCTCTCGAAGGATCAAAAGAGAGCGAACATGACTCGCATTAAATACGAGACCAACCCGAAGTTTCCTGTCCACCGTCCCACCATTGTTGCACTGCGCCCTGCCGACTAGCACAAGGACGCTTAGCAGCTCGGAGAGTAGCAACAGGGGATTCAGGCACCAGCCAAAATTTCGAATGTGGTCATCGTGCGAAGACGAACGCAAAGGAGGTAGAGCAAGGTCCAAGGCCACCACCGTAGTCGGTCGAATTGCGGAGATAAACAAATGAGAACGCGCCGACGCAGGCGGCTGACCCAGATGTCGCAACTGGCCAGCAAGATCGACAAGGTCCACCTCCTCCTTTATTACTCGAAATCGGTATATAGTTGTACGAGTTCGAGGTTGTACGAAGTCGATGCCCTGAGACATTCCCAATTCTTTGGGATAGAAGTGGAAATGCCTGGGGATGAGTGACCTGGGGATGAAGATCAGGGACCAAACTGCGGCAATCTTCCTCACCCAAAGTTGTCCGCATTTATTCCAGCGTCATTCTGACCAACTCACCTGCACCGTCACTAATACCATTCACAAACACTGTTGATCATCATCTTGACCATTTCGGTAATGTGGCACGGATCCAATCTGGCAAGCGTCAAACCAACACGAGAGCCCGGGATCGATCTCAAGAGTTAACATGACCTCGCAGTCTGTCAAGTCACGCGTCCGTCCTACAACAACCCCGATCCTCATACCTCTCTGTTGCAGAATTGAAAGAATCATTCGAGAAAGGGCCTAGCCTGGTCCACAAGTTGCCGAGGGTACTTAAAGACGAGGTCGTTACCTTCTTTCCCGAGCTACGGACCAAACCAAGGGTTGGTGGGAGACCCTCTTGGCCATGTCAGTCTCAAACTTTCGATTGTCAATAAGGCGAGAGCGATTGGACTGGAAACTCACCAGCTCCTTGGATTGAATACATACTGGGGTAGAGTCTTTCAAACGCATGCGGCGATCAAGATGAATACTATGCGGGCAGCTGGCGAATGGGAAGCAGACAAACTCCTGCCCCTCTGGTGGCGGATCACCGTGCCTTCGGACGACCCCTTTGGACCTTCAGCCTCGAGCCTGTGGGCATTGGAGTGAGGAGGACAAATAGCAATAGTCCCATTTGCTCATTAGGACACCCACGGCATTCTTCTCGGTACCACTGGTGGTGTTCAATGCGGGGGGAACGACGAAGCTTTCCCGCGCCTACAGACGCCTCGGTTTGGAGCTACTGTATTATTACTGCCGCCCAACCCCCTCAGCCGGGATGATTGCCCTTGTCAATAATAATCCTCCGACCCAGGTCGATCTGGCAGACTCCGTGTACTCCGTGGACTTGATAAAACCGGTCCATTTCCCTATCTCACCTACAGACTATCTGACTTACGGATCATCTCACCATTCTTGGGTCCAAAGCGAGCAGCGTCGAATCCTCCGGGCCACGCACTGTGTTTGTTGCACTCGTTGCGTCTACGTGCAGAAACAGGAGACCAAAACAATGGCGAAACTGCTCAACGGCAACGAAGTCGCCCAACACGCTTCGCGCGACTCATGCTGGGTTATTGTCTCGGGCAAGGTCTACGATGTCACCGGATACCTAGACCACCATCCCGGCGGCTCACAGATCCTGTTGCAGTACGGCGGAAAGGATGCGACGGCCATGTATGAACCCATTCATCCTCCCGGCACAATTGAACGCTCTCTACCAAAGGACAAGCACCTGGGTTCAGTCGATCCGGCCACTGTATCGAGCCCGTCTTCTCCCCAGGTGACTCGGGATCTTGACCAGATGGCCCAAATCCCCCTCTCCCACTGCGTGAACCTGGACGACGTTGAAAAAGCCGCCACACGAATCATCTCTCACAGCGCCTTTGTCTACTTCAACTCTGCAGCGGACAGTCTCGGATCCCTCACCAACAACCGGCAAGACTGGAAGAAAGTCACCCTGCGACCGCGGATAATGCGCAACGTCCGAAGGGTGGACATGACCAGGGTTATGCTAGGGACCAAATTCCGCGTTCCGTTCTTTATCGCCCCGGCTGCGCGGGCGAGGCTAGTGCATGAGGATGGTGAGCTGTGTCTAGCGAGAGGTGCGGCCAGAAGAGGGATCCCCTACTGCCCGAGCACGTACTCGACCGTGCCGCACGACGAGCTGATGCAGTGCTTGATCGATGAGAAGAAGAAGGTGCGGTTTCGCAACCTCTCGCCTGAGGACGGCGGCACGTTGTGGTTCCAGCTGTACGTTGCACACGAGAAGGAGCGAACACTCGAACTAGTTGGTATGGCGAGGGATCTGGGCTACAAGGCGTTGGTCATCACCGTCGACACGCCTGTGGTGGGCAAGCGCGAGGAGGACGAACGCTACCGGGCAGAGCTGGCCACTGCGAGCGGCGATAATTCCGTCTTGACAGAATGGTACAAGCCGGCCAATGAGGACGACGAAAATAGCCCCCCACTCAGGGGTCACCACTCGTCCACCCTCAATTGGGATGACTTGCCTTGGATTCGCGAGGCATGGCGCCAGGGTAGGAACGATGCCGGTCCGATCGCAATCAAGGGCATCCAGACAGCGGAAGACGCCGCTCTCGCGGTATTCGAACACGGCGTTGACGCTATCTATCTCAGCAACCACGGAGGCCGACAGTGCGACGATGCACCCTCATCCATCCGCACCCTGCTCGAGATCCGGAAGTTCTACCCCGAGTTGCTGAAGAAGGCCGAAGTCTACCTGGACGGAGGAATCCGCAGGGGCGCAGATGTGATCAAAGCCTTGTGCCTCGGGGCGAGGGGAGTGGCCTTGGGACGCTCGTTCATGTACGCTGTTGCCATGGGTGACGAGGGTGTGGCCAGGGTGATCCAACGTAAGTATTTGCCCGTTCATTCTGTTTTCATCCCCATGAGTGGCCCCCCTTGCACCATTCTAAGTCAGTGCTGGTCGGTTTTCAACCTGCTCTGACTTCATCATATCTACGACTCTTTTCGAGTGTCCATGGGCAGATGAGCCCGGTTGAAAGACGAATGCTCTGAGGCTGACCACATATTTTTCCCCCGCAGTCTTATCTGAAGAAATCGAGACGACCATGCGCTGCATGGGCGTGACGTCCCTCGACCAATTGAACCCGTCGTACGTGAACACAAAAGTGTTGGAGTTGGAGCTTCCGGATCGGTTGGTCTCAGGGGATGACTCGGAATACGGTGAAGCTTGGGTTAAAGGGTTGAAGGCGAGGCTTTAGAAACAAAGACAAGCCCTCGTCCACCCATGGACTGCAGGGACAATCATACATTAAAGGGCTATAAGACGACTGACTACAAATCATACAAGGATGCAGATGCAGACGCAGATGCAGTGCGACCATGTACCATGTACCGTGTACATTTGGTGACTTTTTCTTTTTTCTTTTTTATTTTTTCTTTTTCACTTTTCCAACTTTTCCGGCAAGCGATATCTTCAAGGGAGGGAGGGCGATATATGGAGTACCGAATCGATCAATCAATCAATCGATCGATCGATAGATAGAGAAGGCTCAAGAAAGTGTTTTCACTCGTTTTACCCGCTTTACTCGTCGAACTTAAGCCCAGAAAGTACATACCTTCCTCGTACTGGCTGCGTCCAGGAGTGAGGAGTAATGAGTAATCAGGAAGAGAAAAAAAAAAGGGACACAGATCTTACATGGATCTTATATCGATTGGACCCGTGCACGCACGTAACAAGAACTCTCTCTTTTTATTCACTACTTGGTGCGCATTGCAGGGCATCGATCTGACTCGGATATCTCTCTATCCGCGCATTCCTCCCACCGGTGGACGGTCGAGGGCTGGTTCTCTTCACTGAGACTGTCACGGGTGGTTACAAGAGCGGAGCGAAGCGAAGCGTAGTAGAATGCAATAGAGAGCTGGTGGGAAGTCGAGCATTCCGTTTCCACGACGGGTGATACCTGGCTAGTGTCCGCTTCAATAGCACAATAGTTATCATGGTTCTATGCACGGGACAAATTGGCAGTGGAGGAATAGATTTCTTTGCAATTATAAAGGTGCACAAGCCTTCAAAAACATGTGCACCGTCTATCTTCTCAGCCGTGTTGAATCATTAGAGCTGACAGCAACAGCGTCGTCAATCCAAAGATACCAATGTGTCCAAGAAAATTCTTCCAATCCTCTGGATGAGAAATCGTCATGGTTCAGGCCGTCGTTGATTAAAATGAATACCTCAGAATCAAAGCACCTCTCTTTCCGTCGAAGATGCTTGTGAATGTTCATCTGTACAAACTTGTGTACACTGTCGTCATTAATATTTATTTGCCGGTGTAGTCGAGGGTTCCCGCAAGGCGTACTTCTTCGACAAACTTGTCCTCATCTCCGACCGACTGTAGGTTCCAGTGTCCCGACTGAGGAAGACGATTGAACGGACCCCATCCCAACATTTCCTGAATGTTGCGTCTTTTCAAGTCCGTATCGCCCTGAATGTCGAAGAGTTGCTGCTGGAGACTGCCCAGGACAGCCACAGCCGCATTGACCAGTGTCCGGTCGCCCTCAAAAATCCATATATCCCAGATCCGACTGAGGCGGTCGACATCCAGGCCGTTTGAAAAGATTGTCCGGAGCATCGGTTCAAAAACTTCCTCGCCGCGGAAACCCAGACCTCCTTGCTCGACGGACCCAAACAAATATTCGTACAGACGTGGAAACTTGATTCCCAGAGTCGACACAGCATGATTATAAGTGCGATTGGTAGTGGTGGTATCATCGGTTTGGAATGCCAATGGTACCGAACGGTTAAGACAATTGGCAAGAAGGATAAAGGCGTCTGCTGGGGTTGATAGCTGTAATAGCAGTAATGCGGCAATAAGTTGAATCCCATAAATGTACCCCACATCGCTCCGGTAACACGCATACGCCTCGCAAACATCGATGAGATCCTGCCAGAGTGGTGCGTGCCTTTGGAATAGGTTGAGTTCAGGAAATGCCGTCTCAGCATCTCGTTCGATATCGACAAACCATCTTTCCATACTCTTCTCGTCTCGGCCAAGCTGACCACCACTTCGCTTTTTGATTTCCTTTGCTCGTTGTAAGGCTTTCTCATAGCTCTGGACAGTGAGTCCAAGAGAATTTCCCACAGCTCTTTGCCAAACCTTTCCGCGAAGATTCGGACTGACTCCGCGCCAGCAGAGATCATTGACTCGTTTATCGATGGACGTGATATCTGTTGTCTCGTCGACGTAATAATTCCAGATGCGGTTCAAAGACTCCCTCGTATCATCCTTTTCGCATTGCTGGACCTGCAGCTTTGTTCGGCGTTTCTTTTCGGCCTCAATTGATGCCGCCATCATTCGTTGGTATTCTTTCAGATGCCGTCTCTCCTCCTTTGGATCTTTTGGTGGCAACCAGGATGGTCGTGTTCGTGACAGAATGGCCTCCTTCTCCTTGGAAATCGGCATAAAATCCAACGCACTCTTCTGAACTGGAGGAAGCTGGATAGATGAGGATCTCGAACCGCGGTCCATCGAGGTTTCGGGGCTGCCTCTTGACGAACCTGCCCGAATCGCTCTTTCAAGCCGCTCTTGTTCTTTCGCCTCAGCATGATATTCCAACGCCTCTGAAATGATTCTTGCCTCCTCACTCAAGTCGGCCATTGCGATGTTCCACGACTTTGTTCTGCCGGCAAGAGCATGGCCAGCCTTCCGCGGGGACGACGGGTTTGACGTCGTGGGCGTGAGTGAAACCGACCTTGGTGGAACTCTGTTCTTTGGTAGGCTCTGTGGGTGGCGTCCGGGCCGCGGAGGCGCTTCCGGGACCGTTCTCGCATGTTCCAGGGGTATTGGGCGCGGACTTGGAGCTGGCTGGTCTCTCTCCGGGCTTCCACGAAAGCTGGAGCGATGCGACCTTTGTCCTGCAGCGTGAGGCGACACGGGGACATTCCACAAACTTGCGTCCTCAGGAAGCTCGTCGTCGGAATCATGGTATTCTGCCTCCAATTCTTTGACGGTTTTCCTCTGGGGTTGCCACGAGGCACGCCTAGCTTGCAGTCCCAGCGAGTGCGCCGGAGATTGAGGGATAGGTTGAAGACCGCCCGCACTGAGCGAGGGAGTTGAGAAGGATGCGATATTCCTTCGTTCTGGGGGGGAAGATGATCTGGTTCTCATGCTGGAAGCATAGAATGCCTCCGGGCTAGTGAATCCGCGCTTGAATGCTGCCACTCTTGAGCCAGCCGCTCGTGGCGGTGCAGAGTCGTGCTTAGACCCTGGTAATGAGACTTGAGTCTGTATTTGTGGAAGTGTAGGCCTCTTCTCCCCCGGGCCCGCGTCTTTCATCTTCATCAGTTCGTGTTGAGAGCCTACGGACTGCATTGAGACGTCGCGGGAATGAAAATATCTGGGCGGTACATGTTTGTCGTCCTCCAAACCAATATCCTCGAAGTTGATTATGTCTGCCTCCAAGCCGTCGGGACTGGAAAAGGTGGAGGAATAAGAGGAGGATTTGGAGGATCGAGAGCCCGACAGGTCGGGGGGTGAACCTGGGGCACTGGTAGCGGTCGTGGACATCGCAGAAAGGATATTATGTGCGTTCGATAAGGCAGTAAGCGAGCGAATTTCAAGGTCTGAGCCTTGCGCTGACTTCAAAGAGAAATCATGGACGTGGTAGCAAGTCCTGTGGGCGTTTCCTGAAGAGGTTTCGAGAAGTTGTGCATTTAGCGGGGCGAGGTTAATTTCCGAGGTACGAGAAGTGTTGACGATGAGTTGTTGTTGTTCAAACAATGTTATATCTGCATGTCGACGATGTGCTGGCTCTGAAGGAACGAATGCCGACGCATGCCAGAGACTATACTCACGGTTGAGCTCGACAATTCCAAGGTCCGCCAACTTGAACGTCGAAGCTTGATCGCAAACAACTGGGATACTTCCCAATGGTGCCTTTGGTCCAGCCCCTGGTAAGGGTGTTGGGGCGATTGGTGGGATTGCGCAAGGTGCTGACCGTGGGAAGGATGGACATGACGGTGGCAGGGCTCCAGCCAGGAGACTATGCCAAACATGGGGTAGAACTGGCCGAGTTAGGGGCTCCTCCATCTGAAGTGACTGGCTGTCAGGAGTCCGACCAGGGGTGGCCTTGCCGGAGAACTGTAGCACCGACGCTGCGGCCGCCACAAAGAGTGGGAAAGTTGGTGGAATCCCAAGGGTGGCTGGCAGGTTTTGGTTGTGGATTGGCGCGCATCGATTGGGGAGGTTTCAAGGATTAGCAAGTGTCCGTCATGATCCACTGCTTGGTTGGATGGGCCGTCGCACTTGTGGATGTTCGGGGGGAATCCTGATGCAATTATTGACGACAAGCTTGTGCCGTGCAGGCCCCAAGCGGATAACGAGTGTATAAATGAAATTTTTTCTCTCTTTCTTCTCCAAATGTCAGTCGTCAAGATGAGGTTTTCGGGTGTGTTTCATGTCCCCAGGAGAGGCGCCGCAGGTGGGACAGGCGTCACGCTCGAGACTCGTGGCTTTTGCTCAAAAGGTTACGCAGGATTTGGCCGGCTCGAAGGATTCCGCAAATCGCAGGGGGTTCAAGGATCGGGGATCCGATGCTGAGGCAGTGTGGGTGTTTCACGACGATCAATGCGGGTGTGTCTGAGATCTGGATCCCGATCTACCCAGTGTAGCCGTGTTCTTCGGTTATCCCTATTATTGTAAGAGTACTCGGTACCTCGTAGGCAGTGAGCAAGCACTCGTAGCGTCGCTAGGCGTAAAGGAGCGAGAGAACAGGTGGCGAGGTGCGACAACAGTCGTATGGGGTACGATGTAAGGGAGGCGGAAGTACCGAGTACCGAGTACGGAGATTTTAAGTCAACGAGTATGTAGAAAGATGGATTGAAGTGAAGTTGAGGTTGTTGACTGCGGCAGGCGGGTGTTTTACTACCGTGTAAATCTGAGGTGGCTGGTGCTGGTGCTGGTAAGAGCAAATCGAGATGCCATACCATGTCCAGACTCCAGACTCCAGACTCCAAATCACCACACATGGCATTCCAGTGCTGTCACCATGGCACGCCAGGTCCATCGCATTAGTGGATGCCCTAATCTGTCTGGCCACTGCCACCACTGCCTGCGTATTTGCAATCAACGTATCAATATACATATCTGCTAAACGCTCGCTCGTTTTCTCGTAAATGCTCTGCAATGGCCGCTTCTTCCATGTTCATCCCTTTCTGTGTTCCTTCTCGCAGCGATCTCAACCAGACGAGCAGATCCTTGTATTGGCTCTGTTTGCGCTCTAGAACCCTTTCAAAAGCAGCTGCGGCGATCCAACACATTTGCCGTCGGGTGATGTGTCTGACGTGCGTACGAATGCCATTCTTCTCGCAACAAATCTTGTGTCCCGCCGAGATGAGATCTTCTATCATGTCACCGAGGAACTTCTGCGACGGTCGTCTCTTTGTTGCCAATCCCGAAACGTATTGGTGCATCTTCATTGCTGACTCGGTAAAATTGCCCAGCAATGTCGAGATCACTTGGCTTCGGCTGTTCAGTGACAGATCCAGGAACATGGAATGCATCTGCAGCTTGAGAGAAGACAGGATTCTCCGTTTCAAAGTCGTTCCGGGTCTCAAACCGCTCTCGACCGTCAGAGCATTGCCGATAAAGCCGTCTTTCTTTTCTCTGTCTTTCTTCACCTCCAACGTCTTCATATGGATTCCCAACCCACAGTACGGGAAGAAGTTGCTGCCGTGTACCCGTGGCACTTTCTGACCGTTGATCATCACGTCAAAATTGACCAGGGACTTTTCGGCATTGACCTGGATTCCGTAATGCTCGTCACCACTTACCATGACCTCTAGAAATCGTCGACCAAGGTTGTCATCCGTCGTGATAAGCAGAAAATCGTCGATGAGCCGCAGCAACAAGCACGACTCCGGTACCAGGAAGCCTAATTCGTTCCGCTCGAACGCACCGTAAAAGTAGCTGCAAAGAAGGCTGCTGAGGATGGATCCTTGGGGGATGCCCTCAATTTGTTTCATGTACTTTTTGCCAATCTTAACCATACTGTCGCACACATGATTTTGAAGAAGATTCAGCAACGAATCCCGACCCCATATTCTGTTGTTCCCTGTGTCCGCAAAAACCACATGACGTTTCCCAGAGGCCAAACTGGACACTGATGCTTCCGAAAGCACCGCGCGTGTATCAGTTGGGCGGGCAACGCCCGCGAAACGCCGTCTCAGGTCTCCCTGACCTGTGCGCTGACCCGGATTCGTCGATTTGATCTCAAGGTGTTTAGTCGTTCGATATGAGGTTTCTTGAAGCAGGGAGCTTGCAATCTGCAGTAGTGGCTGCTGCGGAATGGTGTCAAAGCACGATTTGATGTCGACCTTAACAAAGAACAGAGTCGACTCCGGGCGGAGTACCCTCTTGAAATCGGTCAGCTTTCCGTAGATGTCACCAACGGATAACAAAGCAGAGCCTAGTGGTGTAGGACTACGTCCTCGTTCAAAGTTGAGCACTTGGAAGATAGGTGCCAGTTGGGTGTTGATGCTGTCTCCAAGAAGTCTTGTGCCACCAGCCAACTTTGGTTGCCTCCGCCTCAAGTTCATTATGGGTCGGGCGCCTTGGTCTTTTGGCAGCAGTCGCAGATGGCTGTATCCCAATGCTCGAGATTGTAGCTTGCGTCGAGCTTCAGCGGATCTGATAGGTGCGTACATGCTCAGTCTCAACGTTGCAAGAGTGGGCTCCGAGAGTTTGCGCCATATGTCTTGTCGGAAGTAGAATAACCGATGTCGATGGGTCGAACTTTCGGTAATGTAGAAATGAGCTCGAATGATAGGTATGAGCAAAGAATCAAAAACATAGTAGACAAATTCGTGGAAGACCTCTAGGCGCTTAACGAAATCAGACCTGGAGATCCTCTGCTCCAGACATTTTGGGCCTGATAGCCATGAAATAGATCTCACATTGATTCCCTGGACAGTCTCATGCAGGCTCAAGGATTCAAAGCGGCGCATTCGAACAAATTCGTCGATCCTGTTCATCATGAGTTGATGGTTCTGCTGACCCCTCAAACCGCTGCCAAATGTATCGCGTGGTAGCAGATGACAGATGACCGAGCGGCAGAATGCCGAGACTCTCGCCAAAGGAGTTGAATGCGGTAAAAAGGAAGAATCTGCATCGTTACTATTGCAAGCACGGTCCGTCACTGTTTGTGGCGACCCGGACAGGTTGACCTGTGTAACGAAGTTTTCGGGGCCTAAAGCCGGTGGTGCCTCGTCGCTCTGACGGAAAGAGGAGGCGTATTCAGAGAAGGTTAGAGGGCAGTAATGCCTCAAAAGCTGGCTGTAAGAACATGATCTGTGGTTTTTGTGAATTTTCTGGACGAGCTGCATTGGCTCTCCCCTCAGGCGACGCGGAGCCCAACTCAACGGTCGTTTTTGCTGCCTGGCTATCTCCTGTTCGCGGACTGTGTAGTCCTTGAACCGATGCACGGTTTCGCTTGAGTAAACCACTGACGTGAAAGCATTGTGTAAACCGAACTGGCGTGGAAAGACATACTTCAAGAGATGGACTGCCTGGTGCTGTTCAGCAGCATTTGTCAATCTTTGCAGAATATGCGTATGATGAAGTCCGCCTTTGACCTTGCCAACAGCACTGGAGAACGGTCGAGCATAGAACATGCGGTTTCTGACGAAACGGATGTCGCCAAGTTTCGAGTGTCGAATATCCCTTCTCGCACGCGAAACATCTTTCCCTTCAGTAGAATGTTCAATCCGAGGCAGCTCCGAGATTGGGATACCACTCAATTGGAAATAATTGTCTTTCCCACTTGTTATGAGTGTAAAGACACCACAGTCCAGGAGCAAATTTGAAAAGATGACTTCGCCGTCTACTCCCAGCAAAGAGAGGACATCTGACCAAGCCGACGATTTTAGAATGTCTATATTTTCATTGGGATGTCTTCGGATGATACCAGGCAAAATAGGTGCCGGTCCTCCATGCTGATATCCATGATCCTGAGGAGATCTGCCTCTCTGGAGACCGTGGCAAAGAATGTGCTGAGGCCGAGCCCTGTTCCCGAAATTGCTTCTGAACAGCGACCAAATGACAAAGTCCACAACCTGGAACAATCAATCAGGATCAATAAAGGCAACTACAAACCCCGCGTGTATGTCTTACCTCGTCTATGGAACATGGTTGTGTGCGGCCAGTATCAGCACCAGTTACCCGGGACTGGCTTTGAGTGAACGTAGCAAAGTCGGTTTTCCGCGCCTGTTTAACAGATGTTGATGTGTTCTTGAGCACACCCACCAGAGAGTTGTCGAGTAGGTCAACAGCGTCATTCTTTCCAAATGTTGCGAGCTTCTCTCTTCGAGTACGTGACGTGGCAGGTAAGGCTCCCAGAAGATAACTCCGCAGCGTGCAAACCCTCGGATAGTAGGCTGACAGCACAGGATGGTGTACAGAGGATGAAAGATGATGCGGGCCAACGGACCCATGATTGGCCGCTTTCTGTTGCTTGGTAGGACGATTGGACGCGGCTTCTAAGCATTTTCGTTTTCTGGCCATGAGCGCGATTATTGACGTGGGTGAGACGCGACTGTTGGAGAGGACCTAGCGAGCTAGGATGATGGCTAGATCGACGCGTTTTTCCCAGGATGAGACTTTCTCCGCTTCTAGCGAGAGAATCCAATATACTTTCTCTTCAACAAGAATCATCCCGGTCCATGTAAGATTCAACGTTCCTCGAGGAAATTAATATGCACTGCTTGGTAGGAGGGGTGGAGGGGTGGAGGCGCTGTTTGTTTCTCGTTCAGCTCCCACGCGACAGGGCCCCGGCATCTCTGTGCGTTAGAAACAATCAACAATTAACGTGCTGCGACTTTCTGTGTATTGGTCAGCTGGTGTAAAGAAGTCTAAACCGGGTCAAATCAACGCGTACCATGATTGCAGACGGGCTGCCGAGAAAGATAGTGATGAGGAAGGTTGGATAGACTCGTCGCAGGCAAGCAAGCAGGAAATGACTGGGCTGAATAAGTGTGCCGCAGATTGCGCTTTTCGGATATGGGTTTCTGCCCCGACCGAGAAGAAAACTCGTAAGAGTGCGTGTCTGACTGAAGATAGACGCTGAAGGTGTGCGGAAACGCTGAACGATGATGACAGTGCAAGGCACATTCAAGGAACTACTTACCACGTTTGACAGCCGAATGGGGATAGTACCGAGTAAGTGGAATGCAGTGGTAAAAATGGAGAATCCGGTGAACGGTGAGCGGAGGGAACTATAGTTTATCTAGCGATCGTCCCGCCTAAATAGATGTATCCCCAGAGGTTTATTCTGTACCTCGCACATGACGGAGGGTTCTAGGCAATGCTATTGTCGTAGCATGGGCCAGGGTTAGCAATGAGCACTCATCGGTCCATCCTTTTGTTGTTGCTTTCCATGTCCGGCATTTGACAAACAATGGGAATCAGTTGCGGGAGATTTACGGTAAGAGGCTTGTAGGAGGTGCTCACGATTCAGATACTCCGTAGTCTGTTATCGCTAAACCGTCGCCTATCCACTGACCAATGCTTGGACACCTTATTGAACCCCCGGAGCTTTAGGTGTCCACACGCCTTGAGCCTCTGTAGTTTGTCTGGACCGCCCGCATCTAGTGAGCACAGGAACTTTAAGTGACCCGCCCACGCCGCCAGTGACTCTCTGCCGCGCTTGCTGGGCCGATGTTAGTTGGCATATTCACAAACCTCCATCAACTGGTACCATCATATCTCTTGCGTGACCGTGGACCGCAGCCTGATCATGCCATCTCTGTTCACTCCAACATAGACTTTCCTCTTGTATTGATTCTTGTCGTATCCCTAGTCTACTTGAGGGCGATCGTGACATCTCTCGGACCTTGTTGGAGCAGCAATCAAGACATTAGACGTCCCTGCGCACCCCGTTCCTGGCGGTCAACCGAACAAGCAACGACCACAAACAGTCCACCACGACTTGTCGTCACCTCCTAGCCAACAAGATAGTTGACGATTTCTTCCTACCGACTGAGCCCACAGACTCCCTGGTGAAAGACCGGTAAATACGGGGGCTGCTCCGCCTCCTGAACACTCGGGTGAAGGATCACTGAACGACCTGTGTCTGTGGAGGAGGTCTTGCACAAGAGGAGGAAGCGTTTGAATACACCTTGGCGACAGGACGAAGAGCAAAAGCGAAGGTTGCAATAAAATGACCATGTCTGGCCTGGGTCATGCCTCCGCGCCGTAGTACTCACCATCACCGTCCAAGAAGGAAGGTCTCTCCCTGACTTGGGCCTTCTCAACATGCCTTCGGCGGTGTCGAATCAGAGCAACTACTACGCAGCTCACCACCGGCGTCAATCTTCTCAGTCGCAGACAAACTTGCCAGATCAGATCAGAAATACCGGCTCACAACTCCAGTCACCTAATCGATCACTGGTCTATCTCCCATCCACAGCATACTCCCCATCGCAACCTGCGATCCAGCGTTCTAGGACGTCATCACTCTCCAACCCTTCAGGATCGGCCTCAAGGCTGGATTCTGTTCGCAATGAGGATATCCAGAATGACCCACACGATTTTTACCGCCAGTATCAGGATCCCTTTGCACACTCATCACTTGTCGCCTTGCACCAGGAAGCCATACGACCAGACCCAATTGAACGAGCAGAAGAGCCACCCGTCACGGCTCGAAAATCCAGCTTCAGCACTGACGACAGAATGGCTAGGGGCTCAAGTGGTGTTCGAAAATTATCCTTAAATACCCAGACTTTGCCTAATGGTACGCACGATGGCAGGCACACCAAATCTTCTGGACCAGTACCCAATACACTGAAGTCAAGAAAGGCTTCCTTCAAAGACCTGGTGGCTCGGTTTGATGCTTCGCCTGACGACGTTCCACCATTGCCCACGCAGCAAGTATCCCGACCCGCCTCGAGAACCGCAAGCCCAATGCCATATGGCTCTGTGGAGACTTCCCATTCTTATCACCCTCAAGTCAAGCGACCGTCATCAAGAGTCTCAGAGACTTCAAGGAGGGCAGGGAGTGCACTCGGATTCAGATCCGCTGCGAACGAGAAGTCTACTCACTCGAGAGATACATCCTCGGCCAGTGGATTGAGTCAAGTAGCCAGCAATCCCGAAGTCCCGGCCACTGGGCGGCAATTGCTGTTTGGTGAGGTTCCCTCCTCTGCAGCCAATCTTCCTGCTGCACCAGGCTACGGCATTTACAATGCTCGTCGGCGACGAGGCTCGGAAGGATCGCCAATGCATAGCCCTAACCCGATGTTTTCAACGAGCCGCGACCATACTCAACCAGCAGCGCCTCCAATCGCACCTCCGGCCATGCGCTCCCCCACTTCTGTCACTGCTTATAAAGGCCATTCCCAATCCCGACCTTCACACCGGCGAGCAAATAGCGATATTGCTGGACCACCGTCCAAGGCTTTCTTGCGAGAAGATCAAACGCCGTCTTCCCGATCTCAGGGTAGCAGTAATAGACACGCGGCAGAATCATCCTCGAAGTTGAATGCACAATCACGGATTCCATTAAGCACAAGGCATCAACGCATTGCATCAGACTCTGCAGCGATTTCGCCCACCAGCCGTCCCGCTGTTATCCCCCACCAGCAGCTCCCTTTTCGGGCTCTAGAAACGGGACCGAAGGAAACAAGGCGTTCTCCGTCAGGAGAGCGACAGCAGGACAGCCCCAAGCGACAGCCACGATCTCCGGTGCAAATAAAAAGCCCCAATAATCGTGGACGCCTCCCTGCCACGGCAAATGGTGAAAAGAGTCCTTCTCTTCGGGCGAATATCATCGCCCCTCCGCCGAAGGTCTCCCCGCCCCTCAGAAGCTCGAGACCGAGACTCCCCGTGTCTTCTGCCACGACCGCAGCGTCTCGTGCAAAGATGGCAGAAAAATTCCAGACAATGGCCAAACAACAAAGTGACAGAAAAGCGTTCAGACGACAGAGGCCGCCAGAATTGAGTGATATCGATCTGAAGGCTCGCCGACTCAAAATCACTCAGGCTTTGAGCCGGTCTCGAGAAGGACAAGATCTGAAAGGTGGAAACACAGAGAATCTTGACAATTCAATCACCCGTGTAGACAGTATGACACCTTCCTTCGATGATTCTGATGCATCCGACCAACGTCAAGAAACACTTGAGGTTCCTGCTGTCGTTGTGAACGAAGCTCCTATAGAAGCGGCCGAGGAGCACGCATTCTACAGTGGCAATGAAGAGGGTGCACGGGATCAACGGGCATTTACCCAAACCGCCTTAAAGGTTGTCGAAGGAAACATACAGTCTTCATGCGATGAGGTAGACTCGCCTACGCTTGGTCATGCTGAGGCTGGCTTCAACACTATTCCTTTCAGCCTGAACACACACTTGCAGCCTGCACGTGACGATCACGAGCCTCAATCGGCGATCACAGAGAGCACTGTGGCCACTGAAGCCACCATGATTGATGCTGAGCCGCAAACGGATTCCTCGCGACTCCAGACTCCTGGGCAATCTCAATCCCTTTACAGCCAAATCAGTGCGCTTCGGAGTCGGGAGTCTACCTCGCCCCTATCCTCCGCTTCTCAAGCGTCTGGTGAGGCTTCCGATCACGCCGATCAGGTATCTGTTCATCTGATGCTTCGCGAAACGACCTACCTCGACGACGATGAAGCTGTAGAAAAAGGTTATGCACACCTAGTATCGATGCCCCAGTTGGAGCATAAAAACCCGCAAAGCGACGGAAGGAACTCGTGGACATCATCCATAGAAGACATACTTGAATCTGAGTCCGGTGAGGAACCTGCTCCCGTCGTTCGATCACGAGAGAACCAACATGCAGAAGAGATCACTCATGTGGAGCCTGATTCACACTCAGTGTCAGATCATCTCAGTGTTGAAGATGGCTCGAATGGAGAGCACCATGCAAGGGACGCTTATACAATCGTGAACAAAGTTCTCCAACAACAAACGCCGTCGGGGGTGGTTGATCAGCAACTCGTGGATGATATTTATCATCGCATCATACAAACCTCCCCAGATTTAGCTAGCGCAGAGAATGTCGATGAGGAGAAAGTGCAGCGGTTATGTCTGGAAGAACTTGAAGAGTACACTCGTCAGTGGGATCAACTCGAATCTTCACGTCCGCAATCGGCCGAGTCTTTTCACGTCGAAGCAAACCCGTATGCTGGCCATGACACGACTGAAGAGCGGGATGAGAATCCCACTGACTCTCCAGATATTCACGCTTCGAGCCATGTCACCCCACCGCCACCCTCCTTACCACCTTCGAGCTATCGAACTCATCATAGATACAAATCCAGTTTGGATAGTGCAGAAGACTGGGCCGAGACGTCGCCATCAGTCGGTGATTGGATGCAGTTTGCTCTGAAATCACCGACTGAAGAAAGGCAGCCATCTGCTCTGGCTCACGAAACGCCTACTGAAGCAGGACCAAGAATGTCAACGACCGAAAGTCATCAAGGTGTTAAGGAAAACCAACTTGAGCAGGCGCCAGACAGTTTTCTACCGGTTTCGGTTGAGAGGAATCATATTCCACGCCCTCCATCCCACTCTCCACCACCTCCTCCGCTGGCAAAACCGCCTACTGTTGAACAGACTGCCTGGTCCGCCCCCACTGGTATAAGACCAGCCATGCCTCAAACGGCTCCACCGGCTCGGCCGCTCACAGCATTATCTCAGATGTCTACCAGATCAAGTATAGACCAACAGATGATACATACCATCTCCAACGATAACAGGCCATCTATGGAAGAGCAAAGTCCCGAGCAACGTCGCCTGAAACAAAGAAGACACGTTCTCAAAGAGCTGGTGGATACCGAGTATACATACGAAAGAGACATGAGAGTCCTCTGCGATATCTATAAACAAACTGCAATTGCCGCCATGAATGATGAGGATATCAAGATCATATTTGGCAATGTAGATCTGGTACAACAGTTTTCCAAGGATTTTCTCGCCTATCTGAAGCAGGTTGTCAGGCCGGCTTACATCATGGAAAGATCTGATCGACGCAAAGACGGTAACCGTGCCTCCACAGTACAAAGCTCTGCAGCATCTATTGATGGTACTGGTGAGCTGACCGACTTTGAGCGAGACGAGCTTACACGGGTGGGCACTGCGTTTGAAGCGTCGATGAACGATATGGAGAAAGTATATACCGATTACATTCGAACTCGACATGCCGCAAACAAGAGGTTGGAGGCACTGCAGTCGTCGGCCGCTGTACGAGAATGGCTCAAAGAATGCAGCGAGAATTCAAGCGACATCACCAATGCTTGGAGTTTGGATGCACTTCTTGTTAAACCAATACAACGTATCACCAAGTATCCCCTCTTACTCAATCAGCTTCTAGATGCAACCCCCAATGCTCATCCCGACGTTGAATGCATCCGAAGAGCAGTAGCCGAGGTGACCGAAGTCAATGTGCGCATCAACGAAGTAAAGAAACATACCGAGCTTGTCGATCAGGTACTCAACCGCAAGCGGAAAGAGTCTGATGTACGGAATGGCTTGACTAAGGCGTTTGGTCGACGCGCAGAAAAGTTGAGGCAACACGTGGGCATCAATGAAATGCACGAAGATCCAGAGTATACCAAACTCAAGATCAGCTATGATAACAACATTGCACATCTTTTCTTGGTTACCAAGGATTGTCAAGGCTATATTGAAGAGATTACCAAGTGGGTCAATCGCCTGTGTGAGTTAGCAGCCGCTGCTGAGGCATGGGTTGATGTTGGGCACACGAACCACGCACAAGCCGAGAGCAAACTTCGACAATTTGCTATTGTCGTTCGTGGCGTCAATTCAATTGCACTTCCCGACCACAATGAGCAAGTCACAAGGCGTGTTGTCCAGCCTATGGAAAAGACAGCCACGATGCTTGACAGGTTTAGGTCAGATTCCAAAGGACTGATTCAAAAGCGGGACAAGCGGCTTCTGGACTACAATCAATTCAAAAACAAGAAAGACAGAGGAGAAAAGATCGATAAGAAGATGACTGAGCGCATGGAGCAGTGGGAGGCTCTGAACCTCGAAGCCAAAGAGAGAATGAAGCGACTTCTCCGATCAACGGCTGATCTTGTTCACACTTGTCAGGCCAATCTTGTTCAGTTGCATCTAAATTGGTTGGCAATGTGCCGGCAAAAGTTCTCGGCTGCAATGGAGATACCCTTGGACAAACTGGAAAAGGCCGATATTGTCAAAGACTGGCAAGAAGACTTTGATTTCCAAGAAGCCACTGCATTGTCCCTGAGCATCTGCAATGGGTCATTGCTGGCAGAGGCCGTGAACATGGTTTCGTTCTTGACGCCAGGGTCAACCTTGATGGGCGATGAGTCCCCCCGTCAACCGTCATGGAACAGCGCACCGAAGCGGTCTGTGTCAACTTCTGAAGAGATACCCCCAGTGCCATTGAAGGACTACTATCACCGGAACAGTGGAGGACCGATGAGTTCTCAAAGTGACGACCACACGGAATGGAGTTCCTCCACATTTGCAAATGGGCGCATTCGGACCGGCTCAGCTGCATCTGGTCGAATTCCCAAAACACCCGAGGCGGGAAGTCGTGGTGTATCTGCGTCTCTTCATACCGTCAACAGCACGAATATATCTCGACCAGGGACTAGCCCAGGACTCTCCGCAGACAGCGGCCAACCGGCTCCCCGGTTGAGCTTTGAAGCTCCATCTCCATCACTGGGTGAATTGTTGACTGAGTCTCCCATGGCGGTACGACATGCATCGTCATCTACATTCTACTCCGCAGCTCCAGGGCCAAGTCAGTCACAACCTCATCTACCGGTCACAAGTGGAGCCAGTGTGTTCTCTTCCGCAATGCCCATGGAAGAGTACCCGGAGCCGGAAACAGAGACAGCACCTGTGGACACAGAGCCACGACGAGAGCCCGGCGTCCTATTCACCGCGGCTAGTGTCTACGAGTTCAACATCGACCGCTCACGGCAACAAGGCGGATTTCGCTACCTCACATATGTGATTGGGGAGATATTTGACATCATTGCCGAACACGGAGAACTGTGGTTGGCGATCAATCAAGACGATCCCACGAGAGAGATTGGCTGGATCTGGAACAAACATTTCGCGAAATTGGCGACATGAAGTGGTGATGGAGTTACACAGTTTTCTATCTCAGGGCAGGATCTTGGATAAAGCGACTCAGAGCATACATGGATCATTCACTCAAAGCACGCAGGCCGGTATTTTTGCCTCATGAGAGACCATCTGCGACCTCTATAAGAACATGCTTGTGCTTTTTAAACCGACACGGGGCGTGGCTTGACGAGTTCCGGGTTTGGCCTGGGTCAAGGATGGGCTTTTCTCCTAGTTTGTTTGTCTTTCTAGCGTTCGAGCGGTTCCAAGGGGCGGTCGGTGTTAACATGTACCACAAAAGCAAAAAGGTGGGGAGCAATTGTACAGTATTACCAGAAAATAGGCCATGACTTGATGGAAGGCAGCTGGGGTTGCCAGGGTCGAGGGAACCTTGTAGTTGGACACGCTCTGCACCGAAGAGAGAATATGAAAAGCACAGTTTGAAAGATGCCGACAGCCTGCTTGCTCCGTCCCAAGGTAGACTGTATGAACTCTTCGTAAAACGATGTATGCGTATGGGCTGTATTTGTTGGGTGCGGGAGCCTGGCGAGGTTGAGGCTGTGGTGGCTGTGCAGTCGGAGGTGACGTATAACCAATCTGCACGCACACGTCTACAAGGGACTGTGCAGAAGGTGGTGGAACGTGGGTACACTCCTCGTCGCCGAACAAACATTTTGACCGCGAGAGGCGCTCAATGCGCAAGGCCTTTATTGGAGTCACTATATAGACCCTTTTATTTGTCCCTGCCTTGGCTTCAGTATGAACCATCATCAAGCTGGCACTGACTGGTGAGCGCGGCGAAGCTCTCATCCATTCCGCCCCTGCAGTCTCACTCTTCTCGCACGACCTCTATTCGTTCCTTGGTACGCCTTGCGCAGACAACTGAAAGGTCGACCACGATGCCTGATCTCCATCCATTTGGAGGGCGAATGAGCCGAGCATTTGGCAGATCGGTAGGTGCACAGATAACGACATCCTGCTTCGCACCCGTGCGCGGTCTCAACCCCCACCATGGCAGCATGTCGTTGCCGCTCCTCAAATGCGTCACAGCGAGTAGTGGTTGTATGAGCTGACTGACACCTTTTGAATATGAAGCTTGCCCCTGAAGATGCGTACTTGAGCTGTGGGTGATTCCGATCTCCCTCACATATTCCGTGCTGACCATAGTCATGCAGACTACGATGTCCGATGTCGGTATCCCTTCGTCCCCAATCCTGTCCCCGACTGGGTTTTTCCATGGCAGAGAACATTGTACTGAGACGGAGAGAGGATATAGTGACAAGAGAAGACATATCAGTGTTGAAGAATGACTGGTTGACGGACAATGTATGATGGTATTCCTCACAACGATACTGGGGCTGGTCAGGCTGACGACTTTGGTGTCTGTATAGGTCATCTCATTTTGGGAAGAGTAGGCACATTCCACACTTCACCTGAGAGAGATATAAGACCTAACGAGCATTCCCTACAAGGTATCTGGAGCGAGAGTACCTCACTCACTACAAACATTCGCACATTATCCTCCTCCGCCCCACCATGTCCTTCATGCTCATGCAGACCCCAGATCCTCGGACGATCAAGGTATTTCTGCCGTTGGCCTTTCATCTCCTCGCGATTTCTTTCATCACGCTGAACTGCCTTCTAGGACGCTCTCCCCGACTTCACCAACGTCTCACATATCTTCCTCCCCATCAACGACAACCACTCAGCCTCCATTGCTGAAGGCGGCACTCATTGGTCACTGCTGTTGGTCTCCATTGTCGATGGCGTCGCCTTCCATTATGACAGCATGCCCCCTGGCAACCAGCATGAAGCGCACTACGTTACCCAAAAGCTCTCTCGATTGATCAACAAACCTCTTCGATTCATCCAATTGACCGACTCGCCCTTGCAGGATAACTCGAGCGATTGTGGGGTGTTTGTCTGTCTTAACATGAGGCATCTACTTCTCAAGAGACTCCTGATGGTCAGAACAGATGCGAAGGTCAGCATGAGTCTGGGTGACAGAAGGGTTGATGCTTCGGCCGGCAGGAAGGAGATGCTATGCATCATCGAGGAGTTCCGCAGAGAGGGCGAGAGAAGAAGATCGTAAGTCCTAGCCATGTTCTGCCTTATGCCTTGTCAAGTGTGATTTCAGCTTTCACCATTACACCTGGGGCAAATATGGGGAAGCTGATGGCTAACAACTCGTTGCAGCATCAGCAACTCCCCTCACCCAGGCCGAAAGTCCAAGTCACCACCCCGCATAGATTCACCGCGCGTGAGATCAAAGAGCAACGAACCCACGAATTGGTCCTGATACGGTTTCACACGGCACGAAGAGACGACTACGAAGTGATGTAATGATTGGTTGAAACAATGCCGACAAAACAAACTCGGGACCTTGCAGATTGTGTTTTGCAACCGTCCGCACCAAGAAGGAAAGAATATCATGTTGTCATGAACCACCTACTCGATAGAGAGAGAAAGAGAGAGAATCATCTCCATACCGTGGATTGTTGTGGCGACCGACCTGTGAAACGCAATGGAGATGAGAGATGGTGTGTAGTGCCCAGAATGGGTGTCGATCGCACACTCATGGGAAAGGCTGGCTGGATCATGCGGCCCGTTCCGGTTCCGCCACTCGCTCAAGAACAACAAGATCGAGTTACCTGAATTAGCCATGGTGGTTCGTGCTATATATATACATAGGTGCATACTTGCGTGCCGCAGAAGGATTTCCTGGCTAAGGCACATCCCGGTCCACCGCCGATAGAGCCGTTCCGCCGGGCGCAACGTGAGGGAACTAAAGAAACAGGTTCGGAGCACGGAAATGCTATTCTTAACTACATGCTGGAGACTGCTGGTACTCGCTTTGTGGTTGCTTGTCACGGCAATACCTGCCCTGGCACAGTTTGTTCCGTTTACCCTCCTGAAGCAGAATCCGAATCGCGCTCGGATGGTCTTCTGGATAGTATCCTTCGCTGATCCAAGTCTTCGCTTACGACAAATGGTGTACTGGTGTCCCTCCTGCTCACACGACACTCGAAGTTACCCTTCTCGCTACCCCCCAAGGTCCTCATCAAAACCCCTCTATTATCTCCATCGGCTCCGCCTGTGCCTTTAAAGAGTGTAGATGAAATCTGGCCTCATGTCCCCTAACTTATCAATATCCTCCTCGTTCTTGCCCTGTATCCACACATTCCTTTCGCCCGCCCTGCGCTTGGCATTCTCTCTTCTCAATAGGATATGCTGAAGGATGCTGCCACCTAGAAGAAAGAGAGCTTCGTAGACGAGAACCACGGCGTGGCCTGGCTTGAATCGTGGCTTGTCTTCTGCACGGTAGACGTTGCTAGACATAATTCCTATCCAACGTTGTCAGAATTTGTCGTATGTACCTTGAAGTAACTCTCAATACTGTGGGGCGAGATAGGAACGCTCTGGGACACCTCTGTAGAGGGAGACAGAGGATCCAATGTGCAAAGGGACGACATGGTCCACAGAATGAGCGGGGATGCCATTTTACCTACCGTTCAGGTTACCCCATCCAATTACGAATCCCAAGGCAATTCCTCGTTTGTATACCCCTTCGACGTTGTTCGCCGTCCAAGTGATCGTATTCGGAATGCACGGGTATATTCCCATAGCGCCCAAGAAAGTGCCCGCGTATTGAACGTGCGGTACTCCCGAGCCCAGAAGCATGGCGAAACCTACTATGCCGAACAAGGACATGACCATATTGCAGTAGCCTGATTGTAGCGTCAGCGAAAGGGCCTCTCATTGGAGAATGGACACAGGCAGTAGGAAAAAAGGAGACAAACCTCTCTTCCCGGTCCGATCCGCAACAAACCCAACAGTAATCGTAACCACCGCGGCCACAGCATAAGGTGGCACGCTAAGCAATTGCGCGTGTATACTCTTGTAACCCATTTGCTGAATAATTGTGGGCAAAAAGAGAGAAAATGCATAGAGCGCGCCGTCACAGCCCATGTATATAAGGGCACCAGTCCAGGTCTTCCAGTCTTTGGTCGCAGCCCAGAAATACTGCATCTTGAATTCTTCATGCTCGGCGCTGGATTGTTTGTCAAGTTTTAGGCGCCGGATCACTCGACGCCGATCATCGTCACTGAGAAATTTGGCTTCGTCGGGGAAGTCGTGGACCTACAACGTATCAGCTTGTGAGCGTCCTCCCTAGACTCACGCCATGAAACTTGCCATGAAATATGACAGTCCAGCAACGATGATCGTTGCAAGACCTTCAAGGATAAAGATCCATGCCCAGCCCGGCTTGCCTCCGACGCCATCCATCTGGACAATAGCTGCAGCTAACAAGCCGCCAAATGAACCAGCGAGGGCTGCCGCCGAGAAGAAGATGGCCGCTCGAATACCGAACTCAGAGCGCTTGTACCAACAGGATAGGTAGTAATTGACGCCTGTTGTGAGGTCAGAGAGAATCTTGAGCAACTCGAGCATTTGGTTTACCAGGGAAAAGGCCAGCTTCAGTTAACCCGAGGAACCATCGCGCTGCCATGAGACCGGAAAAGTTGTGAACGAGACCCATTGTGGTCATACAGATACCTGGAGATTGAAGATTCTGATCAGTAGGGCTCAAATTGGAACGGAACGCCGAAAGACAATGGAGGCAATGAATCCTCGCCTGGATCCAGCGTACTTACCCCATAGAACCATGATAGTAGGGAGGAAAATAGAGGGCCGGAATCGTTTCAACAAAATCTGTGTCAAAGGCTCGAACAGCGAATACGAGATGAAGAAGATGGTCAAGGTATCATTGTATTCGTTGTTGGTCAGGTCCAAGTCTTCTTGAAGCCCATCGATCTTGGCGTTTCCAATATTGGTTCGATCCAAGAAGGAAATCAGGTAGAGTAAGCAAAGCCATGGGATTAGCTGGATGTCGAGTTTCCAGAGCAGTTTGCGGTCCTGTAGACTATCAGTTCATCTGTCAGTCGGCAGGATCGTGTATTGCATACAATACGCTTTCGCTCTTCTTCACTCAGACCTTCATCTGGATCTGGCACGGCGATGACATCAACGGGAACACCGCTTTCGACGTGTTTCTCATTCTCTGAAGGAGAACGAGCATCGTCGGAATCGGAGACCTTGGGATCGGTTTTTTCCATGGTCGTGAGCTGCAAACGGATACTTTGTGTGGAGAAAGACGACGGGAGCAGATACACGGTATATATGGACGATTTTGTCCAAAATGCCAAAGGAAAGGGACGGACGGGTCGCACAGACTGTACCAAAGGATATTTTTAATCTGGAGCAACGGAGGACGACCGCTTAGCGATGGACAACCCGCAGGGGGCGGTCCGGGGTAGATATCTTGGTTCAGAAGGAGGAGATATGCAATCATCATGATGTCCTTCCTCATGGGGTGCTAGTTCCGTGATTGACGGCTGGGAGCAGTTGACTCGTGGTGGAAAAGAACGTGGATGATGGATATGCGTTGATCGTTGTGTGGATCCCCGACCGAATGTGAACCAGCCATTGACGTCGATCGTAGGATAAACAGCATCAAGGTCATTCTAAGCTTCCCGCGCCCAAGACGCGCTAGAAGATACTGAATGAAGCACTCACTGGCTTCTAAGCTTCAGAAGCTCCCCGCGACTGGTGGATGTTGTCAGCCAAGGCAAGGCGGGGATTTAAAGAGTCCAACGGTCATTCGCCGGGTGGACGATGTGGGCTTGTCAGCGCCCTCGACGTTGCCACACTCATTGCAGGCAACAGGGCCGCTGCTACTCTGATGCTTGTAACCTCTCGCTCCGCTTAACCATTTAGGCGGAAGATGGACAGTTGTGGAACAGATGATTCGCTCGAGGAGGTGATCTCATGTGCTTCAGCGACTTTCGGTTGAACGGGAGGGTGGCCCAGTGTCACGTCGCCTGATCTTCTCATGCATGTCCTGTGAAACCATCGGCATTTGTGGACACGGGCAACCGGTGTTGTTTACCGCAAGCTCCAGAACATCTGAGCATCGGCCTCTGGAGAAGAATCCCGATCTTATTTGCACCACCATCTCTTGTCTTTTTGACACTGTCACCCCATGAAGGCTGGCTCATGATCTGCTCGGTTGGTCTCTCGGGTGTGAGGTTCCCTTTACTTTGGTTTCGCAGACGAGGGAGCTGCCGGTGCAGGCAATAGTTCGATGGGTTCAATCAACGAGGACATTGATATTTCCTGGCAGATTCGCTGTGAGCAGCAAATGCGGCAACCGCACCCAATACACTTGCAAATGCTGGGAAGCAATAGGTTCGGCGATGTTCTGAAGCCTCATGTCCCATGGCTCCAACCGAGGGCCATGGCTCGAATTGACGAAATTTGACGAAACGTGGCTTTGAGAAAGGAGATGATGCCAGAGGGTTTTTCGATAGAAGGAGATCACTGAAACTATCCTCGATGGGTGGGAGGAGGTGCTAGTAAGTGAGGACTCATTGTTAACAAGAGTTTTTTTTGCGGGTGCAATAATGAAGCTGTGCGGACAAGGCTGCTCTTTCCGCTGTTCGCTCACCATTTCTCGAACCTCGCCGTTTGGTGCTCAGCACCTGCTCGCCCAGATGCTGGCTTCATCGGGTTGAGCATCATCCCTCGATCCTCTTCTTTTTCCTCGTCTCATGTGCCTCGTCTTCGCTTTCATAGCAGCAGCTTGCCATGGCTCTGAACAAGACAGTTGAGCGGCTTTTCAAGTATCCTCCAATGGAGCGTCAGGACCTCAACCAGTCGCAGCTGGGCAGCTTCAAGTTCACTCCTGTCGATCCTGTCAGCAATATTTCGAACCTTACCCACTCAGCAAAGCTCTACCTTGAACAGCAGCTTTGCCGGAGGCTGTATCATGGTGCAGCACCTCTTGCGGCAGGCTCTTCACTGGACAAACCCAATGCCTTCACTGACACGTCACCTGGAAAATCTGTTCCACTCCCAACATCCTCTTTGGCCGATGCAAACTTCTTTAACAGACACATAAAGCCCGACCTTGGCGACTCCCGTCTGCGGCTTGGTCCTGCAGCTCTGCGTTCTGCTGTCGAGGGTGCTGCAAGCCCGACAAAGAAGCTCTCCGTTATTCAGTTACAGCAGGAACCCGATGCAACCGTGAGGCGACACCAACAAAATAACACCTTGAATGTAAGTGTGCATTCAGAGTTGCATTCAGTACCTGGCTGTCTTTGTCTTAATTTTGCTGATTGTGTGCAGTTCTCAGAAGTGCTGTCATCCCAGGGTCCAAATCCAGTGATGGATCCGACATCCACCACGTTCACAGCAGCAGGGGTGTTCGCCAGCCAGAACCCATCCGACTCAACTTCTTTCAGTCAAACGCTATTTGTGGCCCTCACAAATGAGCAGCAAGCTCACAATGCGACCAAAGCAGCTTTGGTCGAACAGATTAAGCAGCGCGTTGAGGTGGAAGATGAGCTCGAGAAAAGCAGACGACAGATTGCGAGCATGACAACCACGATCAATACCCTAGGAGCCATAATCAAACACAACGCAAGTAAGGGTAATGGAGATACTACCAAGGAACGGCAAAAGACCGAGACATCGGAGGAGGACGAGGAGGTAGCTTTAAGGGAGTTTTACCGTGAATATCAGAAGGTCAAAGACGCCGCCAAGGGGCGACATGGGCGCAAAGAAATGGAACAACATGCAGGAGAAGAACATTCCGGAAATTGTGTGTCAGCCAAGAAGAACGCTGTTGATGTGACTGTCCCTCCGTCTGGTGATGTAGTTGATGATGCGCAGCTCTACAATCTGGACCTGCTGAAAAAGCCAACTTTTGACGACTCTGCCGATTCTATTTTACGGCGCACTCTTCGCAAGCACTTCTCGATCGAGGACAACGGAGAAGACGGCAATCCCCCAGCGACTCCTGCCAGACGTCGTCCAGGTATCGCCAGGCTGATCGATATCTCCCCAGAGTCAGTCGGAGAAGTCATGGAGAAGGAAGAAGTTGAAGCGAAGCGCAACATGCAGGCATCAAAGGAGGAAACCACCGTTAACAACGCTTCAGATAATACTCAACGACGACTGGAAGCTACAACAGTCAACCTAAATCAAGCCCGCCTCCTGGTAAGTGAGATGTGAGATGCAAGCGTCCTCGATGAGTGTCAACTGATAATGGCAGACTGCGCAAAACCCCGTCCTTGAGCTGGTGAGTCTCGTGTCGCTGATCTTGAGTAGGAAGCTTACACTAATCCACGACTCAGCCTGCGGCATTCATTGCCAAGTACGGGCAAAAACCTATTGATCCAAAGGCGCAGGCTCTGGAGGAAAAGGTCTGTTCAATATTACTACCGTCAAGAGTTTCTAACCGTCCATAGTCAAACGGTGTAAGCCTAACGAAAGGTGAGGCGTTCCTGCCTCAGGACTCACCAAGTAAGCCCTCGAACAATGAGTCCTATGGCACGATTCGCCCATCGTCGTCTCTCACCGGTGATCACGATGATCAGCTAGCCAACAAGGTGGTTTCTCCTGCCGCAGCTCAGTCACAATATCGCATCACGGTACAGGTCGGTGACAACCTTCGCGGGGAGCCGAAATGGTTGATCAATAGAGACAATCCTGTCTTTGAAAGTGAGAAAGAAAAGTGGCAAGCCCTCGGAGAATGTGGGATTTCCTGGCGCCAAAACAGCCCGTTCATGGACCATCCAGTGCGTTACCTTCCCGAGGACGCAGCTGGGACCTCAGACGCTTATCGCACTGTAATGATCGACGAGATTCCAGTCGGGAGTACCTTGCCGGAGGTGCTGAGCATTGTCAAGGGTGGTTCCCTGGAGTCCATCCAACTATTTCCACCCATGGGTAAAGTCACAACCTTCATGACTGCTCGAGTCGTCTTCAATTATGAGGAATCTGCACACAACATGATCAAGCATCAAGAAGCTGTACCAGGCGAAGCCACTGACTCGAAGAGGTTCAAGATAAAGGGAGTTGCTGTTCGCTGCTGGATGCCCACAGATCCAACCTATCCCCGAACCGGTGAGCTCGAACGAAACATTTTTGGCAAGGCTGCTGCATCCCGAATCATCCTCATCAGCAACATAGACGAATACACCTACAACATGATTCCATACAAGATCAAGCCACCTTATGCTCAACACGTCATCGAGTACAGCTACACACCAGATGGCTGTGTATCGATCGAATTCACCGATGTCAAGAGTGCCATCAGGATAATGGATCAGTTGGAGAGAGACGGGGAGTTCTGGAATGGCAACCTTCAGTACGATGTTGATTATACGTGCGCACCGTATGTCCAGGGCGAGGCGATGGGTCATTGAAAGGCCGCTGACTGGGCGAAGAACCAAGGAACCGACACAGAGAAACATGCAATCAACTATCCACTTGTGCCAGAGCTACAGACTGAACATGCAGGTAGCCAAGGGCCAGCTGAAATACCAAGAACACAGGATCGGGGTGAGAGCTGGATTTCAACCTTGAATCTCGTTCCTGTAATATGACGCTCGTGCTTGTACTGTCTTGAGATGGAACATACATTCTCATTTGTTCATATTGTCACCACGATTTTCCCTTGGTGACTTGACAATCGTCCAGTGTGTTCCACTACTCCGCCTGGGCTATCAAGAAAACCAGTGAGCATAGTGCCTGGTGTTCTGTCTCACTTTTCCCTGATGCGGAAGGGGGGGCCACCACTCGCGTCGTACCAGCGACGTTTTGCTTCATTAACCTCTTACCTCGGGCTTTCTTTGACGATTTCTATCCAAAATGAAATAAGGTCTCTCCCTTTTTTCCCTTTTTCCCTTTCCTTCTCCCCGATGAAGCCCCTTCACCACCGTCGATGTTGTCACCGATTCCTTCCGGGCGACCTGCACTGGCAGCTCCGGATGTCTGTGCTTGTGCTGGTGTGGGCGCAAGCCCTCCGTTTCCCCACGGATTCACCGGTGTAGTGGTGCCTGAGCCGGGAGCTGAGCCGAACCATCTCACCGAACCCCGTGTGTTGAAGCCGGCCATCATAGTGTTTGGTTTCGGTGCAGCGGGCAACGAGGGGAACGCGTCCTCTGTGGGTCGGGGAGGAGCGAGGTTATGTGTGTTTGTGTTCTGACGGAGCGTGGACGCTGTCGTAGGTACCCCTGGGCGTACGACTCTTGGAGTAGTGGTGGTAGCTGTTGTGGACGCGGAGGTAGTGGTCCACGCGGGAGGAGTTGCTCGAGATGTACCAGCACGCGGAGCGCTCTTCTCTGCTGCGCCTGATAAGGCAGGAAATGGTTCTTGACTTGTTCCCGGAGCTATGGCTTTGCCCCAAGAACCTTGTCTTGACACCGCTGAGCGGGAGGACTGGGCCGTGCTTTTCTTCAATGTTAACACCCTTCGGCCAGAAGTTACGGGCCCGGTCGAGACGCCTGGGAGAGTGCCACTTGGGCCGGGTAGGCTGGGGTAATCTTCATTGATACTGCGCCAGTTATTCCACGCCTGCAGTAGATCCTGGCGCCTTGTCTCATCTTCGTACAGATCTGCTAGCTCGCGGACGAGCTTGCCCAGTTCTGAACTTGGGCAGTCGAACAGGGAGAAGAATGAATCAATGAGGTTGTTCGCAGAGCTAGTGCCGCTGCGGTAGGCCGAGACATGGGTCCGAAACTGGGACAGCTTCGTCTTATCGTTCTTAAGAAGCGATGTGGCGCGGTCAGTTACTGCTTGGTGGCGTAAAGCTCGTGCTTGTTCTTGAGGAGTGAGGGCTGGGGCTGGTGTGGACCTGTCTTCGACGCTGAGATTCTCGACAGCCGGTAATGATGAAGGCGGTTGTGGAGACGCTGGCGGACGGCGAGTGACGGGAGTGGTCTGTGTTAATTGGCCGCCAAAATTCCTGCTCGAGACAGATTGAGAGCTTTGAATCGCCAGTTGACGTTGATACGCCAGCTCTGCGCGACCAAGTGGCTGAGCGCTTGATATTGGTAGTGGTTCGGCATTTGGATCTCGACCCCTTCCAATGCCGCGATTTGCTCGATCTCCTCTTCGAGCTGGTTGGTAGGGCTCTCGAAGAGCAAAACCGGACAGATCGACAAGACGAGCATCCCTACGAGCATCCTTAGAAAGTCCATTTGGGTGTTCGGCGAGCTGATGCGCCTTGAGGTCCATTTCCGACTCGAAGACGTTCGTCTTGTTGGCCTGACATTCGGCATCAAGACAGACAAAATGTTCCGCCGCAAAATGTTTTTCGAGTTCTTGGTAGTTGAGGTAGTACTGCGGATTCCTCCCGCCGTTGCGTCTATCACAAATGTGACACCTCTCATGTTTCTCTCGACAGTGAGTATAAAGTTCATCATCTCCATAGAATCTTTGCTTGCAAAAACCGCATTCAGGATGTCCTTTAAAGCCAGACTGGTCGACAGCTCCCGGGTTATCGTCGCCGAACTTCTCGTGCTTGCGTAACTCGCCAAACGTGAACAAGTCGTGTTCATGGGTGAAAACTTTCTTGTTTCTCGTGCATAAATCACACATTACCTTTCCATGCTTGCTCCTGACATGACGGTGCAGATCCGGCCATCCTAGGCACGCAACATCACAATCCTTGTCTGGACAGTTATATCGAAGCAACAATATGGTGTCTTCCAGGATGATATCTTTTTCGTATTTGATTCCCAAATTGTCGTCGATCTTGGCAAATTCAGCATCCTTGAAGTCCTCGTAACGTTTCTCTGCATTGTCGGTAAAGATCACAAAAGGTGCCTCCGTCTGCACACTGGTCAGTTTGCTGCTTGATGTTTATGCCAAAGGAGGACGTACTCTGCAGTGTGCACAAGCTCGTGTCTTGTAAAGTGCCCTCAGCCTCAAGGAGCAAATGTGGCATGTTTGATGATTGCACGGTGCAATAGAGACATGCTCGACAGGACTGGCGCAAATGAAGCACAACTCCCCTTCTTCTGCGGGTCCAGATTCATTGTCATTCTCTTGAGGATGAGGTTCACTTGAATCGCCTTCAAGTTGTGAGGCAGCTTCGGACAGGCGAGCACCGAAGCCGCCTCCGGGCGGTCTTCCAGAGGTCGTGTCCGCTGTAGATTTTGGAGATAGCGGTGTTGAAGATGTGGCGTCTCTTCCCCGTCCCCTAGCCCTTCCTCTGCCTCCTCTTGAACTTCTAGAACCTCGATTTCCAGCCCCTCTACCTCGGTTATCAAATGAGTCTCGATCGTAGGATCCAGCACGATTGTGCTGACTGGAGCGATTGCCCCCGTCTCTGCGGGCTCCTCGTGGGGAGGAGGTTGCTTCGGTGGTGGTCGCGGAGTTCGACATGTTAACGAGAAAGGGAATCAAGGGTGCTATGAGGCGTCGCAAAACGGGGTCCCTGTAAGGGTCGGTGGACTGGGTTGCGTGGAATAATATCTTTGGGCGACGAACGTCAAGCTATTTGGCCTCCAAAATAATTCGAGAGAGCAATAGTGGGGTAGTAATAGTTGGCTGTTATGTCAGGACCGGAGGGAGCAGGGGAGTCAAATATTCAGGGACCAACCAATCAAGCCACATTCTTTGGCCGCTTTTACTTGTATGGTAAATCCTTTGGAGGCACCGCTCGAAACGGGTTAAACTAAGAGTTAGTCACAGAGAACCACCTGGAAATCAGGAGTTGGTCTCCCACATTCTGCATGGCTTAGTTCGTTGTCGAGTCACATTGAGTCATTCGCTTTGCATGTCTCTCGAAATTGCGGGAAAGCAGCGAGAGGGTTGTGGAGTGCTTTAGTCAGCGAGGCTGGCCCCTCCTGACTGCCAGTTCCAAAATGCGGAGTTACGAGCCAGAATGCCGTCAACTCTCAGCTCAATCGTTCTATCTGATATTCCCATATCGGCTTTCATCAGTCGGCCACCGTGGCCTAGGTTCATAACTGAAAATGCAAGTAAATGCGACCTCTTCTGGAGATTTTGACCCGTCCTTACCCGAATTGTCCCTTCACGGACCAGAACGCCCAACGTCACTCCAAATCCTGTGCCGCTCAAATTGGCTCATAAATTCCAGAGGAACAACGCAATGTTGGAGTCTTGATGTCCTCAGCCTTGTCCAAATGATATTTCCAAAAGTGCCATCAAGTCTTCATTCATCAGGGTTGTACATTTGCTGCGAGATCAACTTGGTCATGGTGAACATGTGGACCTTGTCTTGCTTGAAAACGTCTCGCATCCTCGCATCGCAAATGATGTAGCGCTTATCGCTGGGATCTTGAAGTTCGTTCGCTTTGATGTACGCCCATATGCGTTTGGTAGTCTCCGGCCGTGACAGCTATTTGCGATTAGCATTCTCATATCGTACGGCAATCAGATGCTCACCTGCGTTGCTCCGTCGAATAGATTCGACAGTGCCTGTGAAAGGTTGAGTGGTTTCTGCATCTGCTTAGTGTTTGTACAACCCCTATTATATCTCCATAACGTACGTGGAAACCAGTGTCTCGTTTGGGTTTCTGTTTGCGCTCCTCTCCATCGATGTCTGAGTCATCCGATCCAGTCACACGGTCCTTCTTCGACCTTTTCTTCTTCTTGACAGGAGCTGTCTTGCGGCTCCCTCCACCACGAGTGGGCCGCGCCAGTTTGTCTTCTTCAGCCTGTAGACGAGCAGCGTATGCGGCATCTGCGTCGATGACAGATTTCTGCTTTTTCTTCGGAGGTTGTGCATCTATAACATCCGAAACATCTTCACTCTCTGCCTCTCTTTTGGCTGGCGAGCTCGAGGATTGTGCGGAAGAATGGTGGACACCATTAGTCTGAGCGAAAGGTTCGACTACTTCAGCTGTCTCGACAGATGGGATCACCGTGGTCTCGCCATTTCTCTTTGCATTGATGAGATCGAATCTCTCGCCGATCAAGTCCCTGATCGCATTCTACATACTGTCAGTTTATAGATGTTGCCCGCGTGCTGCACCTGCACCCACCTTCTGCGGTGTAATGTCGTATTCGACTTGATCCTGTATCCCCTGTCGGATTTTCTTGGTTGTGATGGTCGTGAGATCCGCACTTTCGAGGATCGAATCAATGATGGTGGTATACCGCGCGCGGACCTCTGGCGGCACTGGTAATGGTTAGTGAGATCGAATCTGTGTGATTCTAGAACAACTCACACGACATGACGACTCAAATAAGGAAGAGATGAGGTCGATATTAGATCAAGCGGACCGAAAAACAAGGTAGCGAATGTAGAGGATGGATATGGTCAGGCCACGATCAGAGTAAAGTCATGCGCCATCCGCTCCCTCCACCCCGACCAAGGTGCATCAATACCCCAGAGTTGCGCTCAGCCACCACCAACTAACCAAAAGTGCAAGAGACAGCACAATAAATAGAAGTTTAGAGGATGCGCATCAGTGAGCAACGAGCAGAAAGATTAATCACAGCGATGCCCCCAGTATAAACATAGACAAGGTGTACTCGGTAGTGTTGGTGGCTTGTGAAGGTGAAGAGGTGAAGATGCGGGATTGCTTGCGCGAGGGCACATGACTAAATCGCTGCACGTGACAACGAAATCTTGGCGATATCCACAATTCGAGATCTCCCACTTCAAGTTTCGTGCCAGTTGTTGCGCCTTGTGGAATTGTTGCTGTGCGTCGACGACATCCCCATCACGAGTTCGCCCGCCCACCAAAAATTGATACAGCAATCATGGCTCCAGGATTCGACCAACTCTCTGACCACGACTTCGAAGATGAAGCAGACAATATCGACTTCAGTGACCTGAAAGAACGATATGATGTGCGCATGGAAGAAGGCCTCGATACTTTTGTCGTACGTACCCTTACAACAAAAATTCGCAAAATCAGACTGACAAGATAGGTTATTGATGGCCTTCCGATCGTGAATCAAGAGCAAAGATCCAAACTCATCAAGTTTTTGCTCAAGAGGCTCAACTCCGTTGGACGCATAAAAGATGGCGAGGAGTCGGTATTCATGCCCATGAATGACCAGGGAATGTCCGAAGGGTGCGCCTCCTATCTCTGAATTGTGTATAGCCTGCTGATGACCTCACAGCTTTGCCTTTGTCGAGTATCAAACACCTGAACAAGCCATCGCAGCCACCAAACAACTCCACGGAACAGCCCTGGACAAAAGACACACTCTAGCAGTTAACAAGCTCACAGACATTGAAAAATACGGCAGAGAAGGAAGGATAGATGAAGAATATGTCCCACCGGAGATCGAACCGTTTGCAGATCGTGAACATCTCAGGTCATGGCTCTTTGATCCCCAAGCTCGAGACCAATTCGTCATGTTCCGCGGTGACAATGTGGGGGTTTTCTGGAACAATAAGAAGGAACCACCTGAGCCCATCGTCGACCGCAAACACTGGACACAGCTTTTCGTTTCTTGGTCACCCCATGGGACGTATCTTGCTTCTATCCATCAGCAAGGTGTTCAATTATGGGGTGGGCCATCTTTCAAGAGAATCAGACAATTCCCGCATCCTTTTGTCAGCTTGATCGAGTTCTCGCCTGGAGAATCATACTTGACAACATGGTCGAATCAGCCCATCACCGTCGAAGAGGGCAAAGGGCCTCTTTCCATTGACGAAGAAGGCAAGCACATCGTTGTCTGGGACATCACGACGGGTAAACCACTGCGATCTTTTGTCGCGCACGATCTTACGCCTCCTCCAGGCGCGGATGCGGCAGCAATCCCGCCAAAAGCCAAAGTTCAGTGGCCAGCGTTTAAATGGTCTGCTGATGAAAAGTACGTCGCGAGGATGAAGCCTCATGAGAGCATCTCCATCTACGAACTTCCCAGAATGAACCTCTTGGATAAGACATCCGTCAAGGCCGAAGGAATCATGGATTTTGAATGGGCTCCCTCCACAACCCAACGGGAGGGTATCAAGACATATGAATCACTCCTCTGCTTTTGGACCCCGGAGATAGGATCCAACCCGGCGAAGGTTGCGTTGATGTCCGTTCCTTCGAAGGAGATTGTGAGAACCCGGAACCTCTTCAATGTCACCGATGCAAAACTTCACTGGCAGTCGGAAGGAAAGTTCATTTGTGTCAAAGTGGATCGCCACTCAAAGTCCAAGAAATCCAATGCGACGAACCTTGAAATATTCCGCATCCGAGAAAAGGGTGTCCCAGTCGAAGTGGTCGACTCTCTCAAGGATACTGTCATCAATTTCGCATGGGAACCTAAGGGCGATAGGTTCGTGTTGATTACCGCAGGCGAAGCGGTCGCTGGTAGCAACGTCCTTCCCAAGACATCTGTCTCGTTCTTTGCCCCTGAGAAAACAAAAGGCCCCGGGACGGGAGCGTTCAAGCTTGTGCGCACGTACGATAAGAAAAACTCCAATGGAATCTACTGGTCACCAAAAGGTCGATTCGTTGTCGTTGCCACGGTCAGCGTGCAACAGCATTCAGACATCGACTTTTATGACCTGGATTATGAGGGCGAAAAGACTGAGCAGGACGTTGCAGCAAATCTAAATGCGAACCTCATGCTGATGAATAGTGAGGATCACTATGGTATGACAGATGTGGACTGGGATCCCACGGGTAGATATGTCACGACGAGTGCTAGTATGTGGACTCACCAGGTAAGAGATCCCACCCCCATCCATTGGCAAAGTACAAAAGCCGCGTTCTGAATCTAATATGACGATGACTAGATGGAAAACGGCTGGCGTCTCTGGACCTTTTACGGCGCCCCTCTCTCCGAACACCCCACGGAGAAGTTCAAGCAACTGATCTGGCGGCCTCGGCCGCCTACCCTCCTTAGCAAAGAAGAACAGCGCACGATCCGCCGCAACCTGCGCGAATACTCGAAAGAATTTGACGAGTTGGACAAGGAGATGGAAGAAGGAGCGAACCAGGCGGTCATTGACGCAAGGAGGAGGCTGTACATGGAGTGGTATAGCTGGGTGGCGAGGGAGAAGGAGCTGCTGAGGCAGGAGAGAGAAGAGCTCGGCCTGAAGGATCCCGACGAGGAGTTGGCTCTTCAAAAGACCAGAAGTCTCGAAGAAGAGGGCGAAAAGGTTGTGGAGGAAGTGGTCGAGGAGGTGATTGAGGAAACAGAGGAGGTTGTGTAGTAAAAGAGCGTCTCACCAGGTGGTTGAGATGACGGTCTTTCTTGCTACTTCGGATCGAAAGCAAAGTACAAGATTACTTGCATTGGGTGGTTTTCGCATCATCGATCATGGAATCGAATAACAAAATGTGAATGATAGATTCTTATGGGGACTTAACCATTCGCGACACGTATTCCTACTACGCATTGGAAAAGAGTTTTCGGAAGGGCTGCTCAACCACGGGAAACAGAATTGAATTCATATCACGTCTGCAAAGGAAAACAAGGCTCCCTAACCTGTCCCAGAGTCCAAAATTCGTATGCACAGTCGTTGTGTCAGGCGAATCATTAACCATCCCAACACCATTCCCAAATGAGGATTTGCAAAGTCCTGGCTTTTCCAATGGCAGCAAGCAAACCCATAGACCAAGGAGCAATTATTTGACATATTCGCACAGCATAGTCTTGCCAAAACATTGGCTCTCTTATCATCAGGCTCTCGTGAGGTACATCCACAACTCCAATTTGCCAGCTCTGTCAATTTCCGGCAACGATGTTCATATCCCACTTTCTTGCTCCTTCATTCCCTCCTCTACGTCTCTCAGCTGATCCAAGTTGATGCGACATTCTTCCATCTTTTTGGACCAGTAGAACAAATCTTGGCTTGCAGCAGCATGCTTCTTGCTGTTCAAGGGTGCCTCAATGGCATCGTACTTCTCCCATGCCTGAGCATGCTTGGATTTTGCCTCTTCGAATTGGTCCATCAGAAGTTTCTTGACATTGGCAAGCGCATGCCATGGGTTGATCTTCGGACGCAGGGTTGGTTCCTCTAGCATTGCGTTCTTCATTAGCTGGGTAATTTGTGCCGTGAAATCAGTCTTTTCGGCGGCGGCGACAGAGGTTGAACGTGTGGCGTGGGTAACTTGTTTTGGTCTTCTTGCTGTGAGTCGTTGACACACAGTACAATTACCAATATGTTCAGGGTCACCATGACGATGCAGAACGTTTTGGGCCTCTTCTGAAACTTGGACTCTTGTCGACCTCACGGGTTGGCTCACTGTGATGTCAGGCAAGATGTATGCCGAAGTCATGTTTTCATCGAGGGACGGGCGACGCCGTCGGCGCGAGGTATTTGACGCGGCGGTGGGGTCTTCAATGACGCTGTTTTCTGTGTCATGGACAGTGGGTCGCTGATAGGAATGTGACTTGCTCTTAGCGATTCCATCTATCTTGGTCGTCGGCCGCTTTTCTGAGACTGGGGATATTGCTCGGTTGACAACAGGAGAGAGCACTCGGGCGTCATCCGAGTTAGTAGTCTTTGGCGCATCTTTAGAGTCTGCAGCAGTGTCTTTCATAGAAGTCCGTCGAACAGGAGATCTAGGTGGGGTCGACATAGATCTGCTTATATCAAACAGTTCTTCCTCAACGCGTGAGGCCGTCTTGCTCTTCTTTGCCGGTGTGTTCTGTTTTTTGGAGGCAGCTCGGAGCAATCTAAGCTCAAGGAGGGCGTCGTCGCGTTCACGGGTAAGCGAGTTTATGGTTTGCATTGCTTCATTGAGATCACGTTGGAGGGTACGCAAAGACGCCACAATCTGTTTCTCGTCGGCCGGAATGGTGTAGTGGATCTGGACATTAGGCAGAGAACCATGGTCTGGCATAATCTGAGAGGTGTTGGGTATGTTGGCGGGCAGCATGAAGGACTGGCTGGGGTTCTGGGATTTGGACGAAGCGGCCCGACTGAAGCGAGTAGACTTCTTGACACGATCGAACTGCGGAGAGGTTGAACCAGGAGTGTACATGACCTGAAGAAAGATTAGGACGCTCTAACCAAATATACAATGCAGGTCGCCTACCTGGTAGTCCCCAATGAAAGCCTCGTGAGAATGAATGCTGCTATAGTTTGTATTCATTGTGCCGTGATCAAACCTCGAAGGAGCCATTGCTAGTTGTGTGGAATGTCGAGAGTAAGATACTGGATTAATCGAGGATAGGTTTGGAGATTCGAGCCTTTGAGAGCGGAAAGCCATGTGCGTCGAGATTTGTGTTTGTTGTGGCAGTTCTGGAAAGGGAAAGAGCGGAGCATCTAAAACAGGCAACATAACCGACGCCCGGTATGCTGTTTATCGTAGTTTCAGCCTCGTCGCTACGATTCAGCGCCCATTGACAGCCTTAGCTATTTCCATATGTTTGGCGGCGAGCAGTAAACACGGTCCAACGCTGGAGATTATAATTTGCCCCTGATAAAACAATTTTCTCAAGGTTCTGTATAGGGAGATATGCAATAGGTACATCGTTGCGGGGAAAGGTGACCTCGAGTGAGATGGTCTACTGGAGCTGACACGTCACTCAGCGGAACTCGATGCAACAAATTCCCATGATGACCCTCAGATTTTTAACAGTAATTCCAGTGTTGTTATACCCACAGGTATAGCATTTGAGGTTTGATTCTGCGAGACCTCTCGCATGGACAGTTTAGTTGTACTCGGTACAACCCTGTAGAACGTAAGTGTCTTTGGCTGGACGGGGGATTACGCGAACACTGCCAGCGCTGGTGGGCGGAGCCTGGCTGTGTGTCTCAGCATCTTTTAGCCTTCACAGGCCTCGACGAGCCACAACCTACCGCCTATCCAAGCTACTGTGACCCACTGCTGGCCTTGGGGTGAAGCCGGACCAATCCGCCCTTGCCAGGCCCTGGGTGGAGATGGATAAACCTGCTACTAACCTCCGCCGCTGGAGGCTGACGGCATGCGCTACTTTCCTACACCTGATTCTGCCAACTGCAAAGGTTCCTCGAGGCCGCCCACTGCCACTGCTAAGAAACTTCAACAAGTCTTACCACAAACTTCGTGTACTTGTAGGCATACCGATGCTTGAATCAATAGTCTCTGGATCCAAGTCTCTGCAGTCATTGTTGTATCACCAGTCACAAATCTCTCCATGAAAAAAATCTCCGTTTGACAGCTTGTACGAATCTGCCATATGACGAATACCTCTGTGTCCAACTTTACCACCTTGATCAAATGTCACGATAACGAAGCCTCCACGACAACATCCACAAACTCCGATTTTGCCTGCCACTAATCGCTGCCATGGCGGTCACAATACCTATACAAGCGCTGGACAAACGCAATATGCATTCGAATCGATTATACTCGAGACAGGGACCACCGAACGATGGTGGCGGCGGGGGCGGAGGCGGAGGGATGGGTGGGAATGCTGTTATAGTAGGCGTAAGTATTCATTCTAAACCTTTCGCTGCGAGAACAATGTCTGATGGCTTCAGATCGTTGCTGGTGTCGTTCTCTTCCTCATTGCATGTGTGGTCTTTTACACAATGCTACGAAGGTGGAGAGTACAAGGCAAGAGGCCCAAATACATTCCCACGAAATTTTTGAAGAGCAAATGGCAGAGCTGGCAACCCGGCGGAAAATACAAGGCCGTCCGGAACCGAGATCTTTCATCCACGAACACGGCTTACAATGGCAATGAGATCGGTGACGCGGCAGGAGCTGGGGCAGGAGTCGATCGCAACACCAGTGTGCGCAGCGTCATAACACTCCCGGCTTATTCAAGAACGCCAAAAGACAGTGAACAAGTAATCGGGCGGGAAGGTGAAAGAGGTGGTATGGACACAGTGGTTGAATTCCCGGAGACGGCGGACGAGGAAGAAACACGTCGTGAAGACCAGATGGAATCATTATACCAAATCCGAGTGGCACGCCGCCGCGAAATTGCGGAACGGGAAGAACGCAGACGGGAACGACGAGAAGCTCGCGAGAGAGGAGACACAGCTCGATTAGAGCAGTTGAGGCGAGAATCTCGCCAGCGTGCGAATGAGAGTACTACCTCAGTCAATGGCGGCGTGAGTGTCTCTGCTGCCACTTTAATTGCTGAACATCAGTCTCGCGGACGGGAACGAAGGGTCTCAAGCGTCGCATATGCTTCACTAGGAGAAGTACGCCATGACGGTACCCGGATTCGAGCAAACAGCAATGACTCTGAGCGAGGTGGGCTGTTGAGTGGAGCAGCCCCAATGGGCGAGACCGAGGGACGGCTCCGTCTCCTTTCGGATGCTACATCAACGCATAGCCGAGAGCGTTCGATCAGTGCGGTCAGTGTGTCAACGATGGGGTCTGATATGGAACGACAGCAAACACCTGGATCAACCATTCCCGACGACAGCAACCGACGCCAAAGTGACGAGCCCCAAAGCGGCGGTACGTCCAACTCTTCACCGACCGCCAACAGATTCACGCCTGATGACAGCACTGGATCAGACGACATTGGGGAATCACGCATTCCACTACCTTCAGACATTGGCGATGAAGGTCGGCCGCCCGACTACGAGTTTCTGGAGTGGGGTGACGCTCCTTCATACGAAGCTGCCGTCGCTCGTCGCGCAGCAAGCAACGCCAGTCGAGCTGCGGGCGTTTTGTCAAGAGGCCCTACAAATGCAAGCACTGCTCCTCGACTCCCCCAGCTCAATCTTCCTAGGATCAGTGTGTCTGGAGCCACGGAGCCTAATACACCTGTGTCGCCAGATGCCCAAGCCGCGCCTGTTCCTAATAATGGACCCACGTCGACCTCGCACTCGCCTGAGGTAACGACAGGATCTGAGCATGCAAGGGTGTAACCCATGGGTGCTCTTCAAAATAAAGTATGCTATACATGAAAGGAGGATGATGTGCTTTGGACAGATCCGTTTTATACATAAGATTGGGCTACAAGGATCTGTCATTCAAAATATGATCATGAAGTTTATGATGGGGATGTCTTACAACATTTGTTGCAACGCATATAGCACGGCGCTGGGGCATCTTTCTTGACTATCTGACTCAGGAAGGGTTGAGGGCGGCGATTAACCGAGCCCTGCTCCTCGATTTGAACATTGGCTTTCTTGTAATGAAGCAATATCACACCCTTTGTGTCGATTCAGTGCTAAGTTTCCTTTCTTGCTTTTGTCCAATTTTTGACTAGTCAGCATTACCTCTCTCTTACCGTACGTGACAAGCGTGTGTTATTTCAGGAACATTATATCACACCAAACCGACAGGCAATGAGCTCACAGGGGGACGCGACAGGAAACATTAGTGTCTTGAGTAGAGATCTCTCGAATTTGAGATGGACACCTCCCAAGGTGACTAGATATGGCTGGAAAGCTGTCAAGATGCAGGAAAAACGAGGAGAGTCACGAGATATTGATGATGAATCTTTCTCATTCCAGCAAATGCTATGAAGTAAGTTGAACCAAACCCTTTCACGTAAAGCTGTTCAGGAGTTTTGTCTTTGATGCTGTCGGGTCTGGTAGGACCTGTTGATTCCACATCAGAGAGGGTCAGGTGTTCCAGGCTGGATGATGTTAACAGCCGGCTCCAGCCGTCTGCTCCATGTGTTACGACGGCGAGTGAGGACTCGGAAACTCCTTGCCTCTGTGAGACAGAGCATATCTCCACCTCAGTTTGACCCTTTTTTGGACCCTTTAGTGGGCGGCCGATACGCTTTCTCTCACTAGTCCTCTACCGCACAATCCCTTCGAATCTCGTCTTGAACCACTTGATCGAATCATCCTTGGAAACTTGGTGGCTGCGTCCAACCTTGCTCTTGCAGCGTCGTCTCCGAGCAACTCTGGCACCGGGTCTGCCCATGCAGCAGTAGAAATCCATTCCGTAAATCCCAATCGCTGGATCGTACTTGATCCCCAGATCAATGTGCTCCGAGATACCGAACCCAAAGTTCCCGGTTTCGCTGAAGTTCTTCTTCCTGAGTTCGTATTCCTTGACTTTCAAGCCGCGTTCGAGGATTTCTTCGGCTTTGGGCCCGCGGACGGTGACATGGACGGCGATCTTTTCGTTGCGGCGGATACCGAAAGAACGAACAGTGTAACGCGCTTTGCCTGCACAGACTGCGTCAGCACGAGGGTAGAGAAATGCGACCGGGGATATGAAGCATACTGTAGACAGGAGTTTGACCCGACAGTTGTTCCAACACCTTTGCAGCACGGGTGAGACGATCACCAGACTCGCCGACGGAAATGTTCAGCACCAGCTTGTCGATGCGCAGATCCCGCATGGGGTTTGAGCTCTTGTCGTTGCCTTCCGCCATTTTGTCAGAAAATGGTGGTGTTAACGATTGCGACAGAGTACAAATTTCGAGGTGATTGTGGTGCAGGTAGTTGAGAAAAAGCAAGAGGATCCAATTGACGGGTGTTCGAAATTCTGCGTTGGTGCGTCCGGGGTTGTGGCTTGGCACTGCCAAGGACAAGAAAACTGAACTAGACTGGATTTGGAGCTGCGGCACCAATTTTCGAAGTCTCGCGACCAGGGCAACCAGGATCAACGACTCGTACAAAAAGCCACATAAAGATACAACCAGTTCGAGCCTGCTTCACTTCTTCTTCCGCAGAAGTGCTACAGCCATCGTCTGGCACGTGCAGTGGGGCTGCGGCTCTAAACTTCGCACGAATCCTATTTTTGAGGCACAAGCGAGGCAATCTGTACGTCGACGCTGAACGAAGGCGAAGTCGCATTCGTGCGCATCGTCAGGCAAGATGGCGAACAAGCAGGGGAAGATGGTAACTATTGACAGCATTGTTCCTTCTTTTATGGGCGATGGCTAATCCGTGTGTAGCAAAACTTGGTATACCCGACCTGTCCCACTGTTACTTCAAGAAGCACCCTTTCTGACTAGAGTGAACAAGATCAACTACCGCATGCGCGTGACCATGAACGATGGCCGTCAAATGACTGGTCAAATGCTTGCCTTTGATAAAGTAGGTTCTGCGCCTGGAAGCCGCATTGGACTCCTCTTGACCCTATCCCAAAGCGCGATTGAGTTGCTAATATTCCATCTTTGGTAACAGCACATGAACCTCGTCCTCGCAGACACCGAAGAATTCCGCAAAGTAAAACGCAAGCAAGCCAAGTCCTCCGCGCCAGCCGTCCCGGGCTCTGCAGCTGCGAGTGTCGAGACCGAAGAGAAACGAACCTTGGGCCTTGTGATTCTGAGAGGAACAAATATCGTGAGCTGTTCGGTTGAAGGACCTCCTCCATCCGATCCCAGCGCTAGACTGGGGCAATCTGCTCCAGGAGGAGCACCAGCAACACTTCAGGCTGGTACAGGTATCTCGAGACCGGCTGGCAGAGGTCTTCCTGTCGGGTTGGGCGGTCCTGTAGCAGGCGTGGGGATGAGTGGACCGCCTCCTCCGGGAGGAGTGCCACCTGGAGCGTTTGGATTCCCGCCGCAACCACCAGCGGGATTTCCAGGCGGAGCACCACCCCCTGGATTCGCTGGAGCTGGAAGAGGTGGACTACCTGGACCACCAGGAGGACCACCTCCCGGCTTCGGTGCACCTCCCCCTGGGTTTGGAGGACCACCCGGTGGCCCGCCAGCAGGTATGCCTCCGGGCTTTCAAGGCGGACCACCGGGCCCTGGAAGGGGTTTCCCACCCCCAGGCTTCGGAGGAAGGTGAATATGGCTATGCAACCCAGAGCATCAAAGGGTTGGAAGCGATCCTACGCCCGTCCATGGTTAAAGAACCAAGAGATAACTGGGCCGCTTTACCGTTTCAAGTCGCTTGGACTCGAGGTATGAAAGGTGCTCATCGCCTTTTCTGCACAGAGAAGGTCTGCAACAAAACCGGCAAAATGCGGAATGTTCGGTATCTTTGTGGTCCCGACAGTTACATACGTTGGTGTTAGCAACATGCCAGGCTGCAACCCGTTGAGATTATGTGATTGGACACCTCACACCACAGACCGAGTTTGAAAATAGCAGGCAAGATGCAAACTCCTAAATTGACGGTTGCGAGCATGAATCAGAACGAGAAAAGCGAGGAGCTGTCCTAGAGCAGATCACTCCGTCAAAGATCACGACTTATGCCAAATCCGAGAGCAGCCACTGGGCAGCTTGCTTGCGGAAAATGGGATTTTATTTGCAACAGTTCCCAAGAGGGAGCATTCACAGGCTTCACAGAAGAATGCGACGAAATGGTAGAAGCAGACGAAACCTATCTTCCCGCTCTAAAAGTAGAGATGTGTGCACTGCATGCTTTACCACAAGACAAAGTAATCATAGATTGATAGCATACTTTTCGTGGCTCTCCACCCCTTTCTACTATAGCAAACTGCATCCACATACACCACGCTCTGGTAATCTCCTAGAACATTGTCGATTAGCCAGGTGGGGGTATCGAGGATGCTTTATGAAGTGCCCCTAGCACGTCGCATTTTTTAATACAAGAGGTAGAGACGAAAGTCACACACATAGCGGGTGATACCTTCAGCTTTTCTTCGAGCCTTGTCGGTGGTTTCTGAGCGGGGCCATCCTTGGCAGGTTTGACATGTTTGACAACGATTTCCTGGGCCAGCGAGGCTGTGACTTTTTACAAGTACTCGGAACAGGTATAAAAAAGTAATATCAAGAGGCATCCTCTGCGCGCATGCAATGCCTCCGCCAACGAAGCGCCGACGGGTAGAGCCCACTGTTGTCGAAGAAATCAAATTTGACACGACTGCGCGCCACGATTTCCTGACTGGATTCCACAAGCGCAAGTTGCAGAGGGCAAAGCAGGCACAGGAGGCCGCCGAGCGGAGAGCAAGAGCAGAAAGGATCGAGGAACGGAAGAAGGTGAGGTTTTCCCCTCATGGAACTGTTTATGTTTTTTGCGGTGCTGACGGTCTACCAGCTGCGAGAACAGCGGAGAGCCGACCTTGAAAGACATGTGCAGGAAGTCAACGCTTTGTTGAGACCGCCGTCTGATCATGACGAGGAAGATGAGGAGGAGAGTGAACAAGGCTCAGAAGAGGAATGGAGCGGTATTTCAGATTCGGAACCCGTTCCGCTACACCACGAGACGGAATATATCGACGAAGAGAAGTACACCACAGTGACTGTTGAGGCGATGGACGTTTCCAAAGAAGGACTGTCCAAGGTGGAACAGAACCAGGACCAGCGGTCCCAGCCATTCACTGGAGATTCTGCTGAAGGTTTGGGAAGTGGTCCGGACAATAAGCAGAAAAGCCGATGGACAACAAGCCGGCCAAAGGACATTAAGAAGCGAAAGAAGAGAAATTTTCGATACGAGAGCAAGGCGGAAAGGAAAGAGACACGCTCAAAGGAAAAGGCCAGAAATCGGAAACAGGCTCGAGATCGCAGGAGTGATCAACGATAATGGTATTCTGGATTCTCATTCAAGACTTTCAACGCTCGCCTTCGGGTGTGCCCTTTATCAAATGCCCATGTTATCGTAGGTACGGCGGTCTATGCATTGTGCTCCACGCACATGCCAAACACAATGGCCAACACCAGGTATCTCGCACACTTTAGATATTGCCCATGCTTTGCTCCAGTTCTTGTAGCTCCTTCTGCAGATCCGCATACTTTTTGGCCATGTCCTCGTACTTGTTCTCCCACTCGTCGCGTGCTTGCTCCAACGCTTGGACTTTGCGCTCGAAGTGGCCAGCTTTGACATCGGTCTGCCGGAGCCTGGGACGGGGTTTGTTAGCAGGAAGTACTGTGTCGAGCATGGCTACGCATACTTCTCGTTAGTCTCCCTGAGGGTCTTGTCGGCCTGCTCGGCTTCCTCCTCGAGAACTTGGAGTTTCCGCTGGAGAGACTCAGTCTCGTTGCTATGTTGTGCCGACTCGCCGGCAAGTGCCTTTGCCTCCTTTATGCCTTGTTCGAGTTTCTCAACTTCGGCTTCCAGGAGTTGGTTGCGGTGGTTGAGGGAAGTGATCTCTTGTTCTTTTTGGAGGTTGTCTTGTTCAAGAGATTTGACTTTCTGCTTGAGCTCCTCCGCTTTGGCTGCGTTCTCGTCCGCCTCAATGCGGAGAGAGTTCATTTTCTGTTGGAAATTAGCGAACACGGCCGACATGGTGGGCGGGTCGAGGATGGTGATGGATGGTGTGAGGAGGGTGCGGGATAGTCTGGGTCCTGGGGGACGTGGGATAAAGGATGGTTCGTGATATTGTGAAAATGACTGCAGTAGCCAGGTGGCAGGGCAAATCGATTGAATGCGTTGTGGCAGAAGGCAGGCCCAAAGGAATTACTTGCTGCCTGGCAGGAGCACGAGGGGAAGGTTGCAGGTGCAGCAGAGGTGATAGGGACCTACCTCCTTGATCCGATCCATGGTGAATTTCCGGTGTAGGGGTCGTGAATTCGAGGTCTGGCAGAAAGTCGAATGGGGGAGAGCAGGTGTACGTTGACTGGAATCAAAGATAAATGATACTTGTTCGTAAGGGAAGGCTCAACTGGCGGTCACTGATGCATTTATTCGCTAAGAGTCAGCTGGGGGATAGAGGGGAAGTCATTCGATGATCGAGCCAATGACATTTGCGTTCTAGGGGTGAGGCTGCATGGGCTTCAGCCCTCGCTGTTTGCGCTCTAGGCCGGTTTCAGGCTCTAACGGTTCGACCGAACACCGCCAGGAGCCTCCCGGAACACGTTGCTCAGGGCAACCGCGTCAACAATTCAACCTTGTCCGCGTTTCTCCCTCATGAATCAATCCCCATCAATCCCTCCCGCCCTAGATTTCGAGCGCAGACAATAATTACAACTATCTGGACGATTCGCTATCATACCAAACATGGCAAGCATTCTAGCCTCACGAGACCAAGAAAACCTCATCCACGCCCAGCAGACCACAGCTGCTGGCAAGCCATTGAACCAAAGCGCGCGGATGCTAAATCCAAAGACACCAGGAAACCTGAAGACTCCTTTTCGACCAGCGAAGAATGACGAAAACCTACCGTTTCGGTTCAATGGACAGAAGCCGATGGAGAAGGATGGGCCAAGCAAGTTAGACAAGAGTACATTTGTTACGCCTTTGCTTCCACGCAACCGAGCTCCCCTTGGAATCAAGACAACCAATGCGAAAGCTCAAGCATTTCAGACACCTGCTCCTGCTCCTCTGACGACAAAGCGTCCTGGCACTGGACAGAAACAATCCGCAGCTCGTCGATCAGGAAGGTCTAAGATCGCAGTCTCTCTTTCCGAACCAGTGGAGAGCGAGTCTTTGCTGGAAAGACCTGCGCAAGAACAAGAGCCGGATTTTGGATACGCGCCACCGCCACCAGAAGAGCTACCGGATCCTCCAATCGAATTTGAAGAAGATGCTCTTCTTACTGAGGAGCTGAGAGCAGGCTACGGAGTGGTCTACCCATACGATTCCCCGAAAGATGAAAATGGAATGTCGATACGCTCTAAAAAGGAAAAGGAGGATTGGCACCAATTCGATGCAGATCGCATGAAAAAAAGCCTTGAGGACATGGCCAAGCCTGTATTTCCTACACTTGGCAAGTTGGACGCACAGGTCGACGCCATGATTGCAGCAGGACAAAAGAAACGACGAGACCTCTCAAGAGTTGATACCATGCAAGCGAGGTCTGCGGCCGCGGCGCTCTCTGGCTCACAATTACACCTACCTGCTGCTATCAGAAAAACCACGCAGGCATCGGAACAGAAGAAGAGACAGGTTCTTCCCGTCACGAAAGGCAAACATTCTACTCTACCACGGCGCTTTTCATCATCTCGCAGCACCCATACTGCCATTTCTAAGAACACAATTGGGTTTCCCAAAGCAAAGAAGGTTCCCTCCATCATTCCCAGAGGTGCTGAAAACGAGAGAAACGGACTTACCTCAGCCTCGAAACCCGGCAAGATCTCGCAGGCATCGATCCATCCACGCGACTTCCGCGACCTTTATGGGTCACCCCCTGAGGAAAGTGACATGTGGTTCAGACTGAAGCAATTCGAGCTGCTAGAGCAAGATTTGGTTCAGGATGGGACTAGTGATCTCGCAGATGACCTATTTGGAACCGACTTCTTCCCCTTCGAAAACGCAAGATTGGACGATGAGGATTTTCAATTGCCCCTACCCGAGTGAACACGATACTTCGGTCAGTCCTCGTTGCAGGCATAGGGCATAGCAGTTTCCTGGCAACCTTTACGACACTCGACGATTCATGATTTTGATACCCCCTTGAGAGATATTGCAAGGACCCGGAGTTGCCAACGCATGAATATCTAACCGGGAACGGCGCCAACTGTTCAGAAGGGAACAACTTGTTGGTACTATGGATGGTGGGAAGTCTATACAGAGAGTGCTTTTGGAACTATTTGATTTTGGAGACGGGCTTTTGTTGCTTGGGCAAGCGCATTTCTACTGTACTTTGCTCTCCAACTGGAGCGTGTTTCCCAATCTTCCATTGACTTTGTCGTTGATGTCCAGCACGGGAGCGGTTATCACCTCGGCTCACGGTAATTCATCCACACCGCCGTGAACGCCACCATTTGTCGCTGCCTTGAGAAACTCCTTGGGCGGCTCCGTGACTTTCATGTTCCAGCCAAACTGATCCTTGACCTTGCCCATTTGAATGCCCTTTAACGTGCTCAACAACTGTGCGCAAACTGGACCAGGATCTAGGTTCTCGTTGACCGGATATTCAAATTTATCACCCTTGGATTTCATGGTGATGCTCTTGATAGGCACCAAACTCGCAGCGGTGCCAGCGGCCATGATTTCCGTGAATTGAGGGAGCTCGCTGTAGTCGATCCGACGTCTCTCCACGTTGTAGCCAAACAGGTCTTTGGCGATTTGGCAGGCGGATTCTGATGTCACGGACTTGATGACATTTTTAGAGTCAGGCACCACAATCGTCGTCTTGTCCCCGTCCTTCCGTACGCCCAAGAAGCCCGAGGTGGAGAACTCGTCGATCTCGCTCCGTGTCTTGCTATCCAAGTGCAGAGTGATACCGAACCCTTGAGAACGTGCCTTCTCGCTATGCCGCAACACAGGGGCGTAGTTGCCGCCCACCTTTGCACTGCCCGTGCCCTCTGGGGCCGCACGGTCGAAATCTTCGAGGATCAGCGCGTCGACGGCATGCACGCCGTGGTACACGCCTGTGGGCATCACAAACACCACAAAGGTATACTCATCCGGAGGGTTCAGGCCGAGCTGGGCGCTAGAACCGAACAACAACGGACGGATATACATGGCCGCGCCAGTCTCGTGAGGGGGCACAAACTCAGCATTCAGCGCCACAGCCAGATTCACACATTCTACGAAAAGGTCCTCTGGCACGGGGGGAACAGAGATGAATTCGGCGGAGCGTTGCATGCGGAGAGCATTCTGGTCGGGACGGAAGATAGAGATGGACCCATCTGGCTGTCGGAAGGCTTTCATGCCCTCGTAGCACTGGACACCGTAGTTCAAGCCGGGAGCCATGCCATGAATCGATAAGTGAGGCGAGGTCACAAAACGAGGTTTGCTCCATTCTGGCTTGGGCGAGGAATAGCGGAAGGTGGATTCAATATGTCCATTGACCTCGCGAACTTTGAAGCCGACATTGCTCCAGTCTGGACGATATCGTCAGCGAGGATTCCTGCAGAGTTTGTGCGCAGAATTCTGTGCGCTCCATTGCGCACGCCTCAGGAGAAAATACGGGGAGGGTGCAAGATGCCTACCAATTGTGCTCACTGGTGGAGGGGGAAAAGGAGCCATATTTGATTGTAGAGAGTGTGAAGAGAGAATCTGGATGTGCTGTTATTCGCCTTGTGGTGGTAACTACCTCGACGGTAAAAAAGGTCGACTGGAAGTCAAGGTTGAGCGTGAGAGTGGGCAGCCTTAAGTCAGATCAGAATCACAAAGATGAGCCGGCACTGTGGTTTTTTGGGGGGACAAATATAAAAATCTTTTTCCCACCCCCGTAGGTTCCCGGAGTTCAAGTTGTAAAGTCCAAGCCAATAAGCAGGTCTCCGGAGATGTTTCTGTCTGATGGTGTGGTATGGTGAGGTGTGGCAATTCAAGAGTGAGACGACCTGTTAACTATAACTCTTCTAGATTCTCTGCCTTCCACTCAGGTAATACTTGTGTTGGAGTGAGCGAGATCGGAGCGCCAGTCTTTCGTATTTGGTGCATGTCGCAAATTTTGCTGGCACCAGCTGCTGCTTTAAACTGCGGAGACGAGGGTGGCACCAGTGGCTGAACCCCGGATTTCGCCAGCTCGTGGAATGAGGATTAAGGAAACATGAGGACAAATCATGGTGAAATACCAGCCATCATACCTATCATCACCTGAGTTTCCCCTGCGCTAACTTCCTCTTTGACTTCTTGTACTGAGTCCTATATTCTCTGTATAGTAGAATCTGCTTCCCTTGCATCAGCTTCAGCGTCGTCCTCTTGTCCTCACCTCTCTGTGCTTTGTTGGCTTGTTTTTTTGGGGGGAGCGAAGTTCTATCTGTCATTACTCCCCTCCAACATCCACCATGCCTCGAGCACCTCCCCCTGCCATGGTGTTGCTGTCCGCCATCGCCCTCTTTGTATGGTACATCATCTGGACTCGTGACCACGACCGACCCCTGACCGCTCTGTCCCACGCCGATCGCTTCCAGCACTCGTCCAAACAAATACCACAAGACATGGCCGAAATCCCTACTGTAACAGCCACGCCGGAGACCTTACACGGCGACCATGTTATGGGCAAGCTTGGCAATGAAACCCTAAAAGCAGAACTGGGCCGCGCAGCCTGGAAGGTTCTTCATACCACCATGGCACGATTTCCGGACAAGCCGACGCAAGACGAGAGCGACGCGCTCAAGAGCTATGTGTACCTCTTCGCCCGACTGTACCCGTGCGGCGAATGTGCAGAACATTTCCAGCAAATCCTCAAGAAATACCCTCCGCAGACGTCTTCACGATCGAGTGCGGCAGCCTGGGCGTGCTTTGTACATAATGTGGTGAACGAAAGAAAAGGCAAACCTATCTTTGACTGTGCCAACATCGGAGATTTCTATGACTGCGGTTGTGCAGACGATGAGAAGGAAGAGATGGCCAAAGCCGGAGCGAAGAGTGAGGCCATCGCTACCCAAGGAGCTGGCGCGAGACAGGAACCCGTTGAGATTGAGGTCGAGGGAGAAACAAGAGGCGGTTGAAAACAATACTTTGTACATTGGGCTACCAATCCATGGACACATTATCCTCTGCCACCATGAGTATTAGGTCAATGGGGGGGAACCGCACTCGTCTTCCTCAATTCCTGTGACGGTGTCTGTCAGACCGATGACTCGCAGAGGCTGTCTCTAATGACTCCGTTGACACGGTTGTCACGTCCTTCAACCCTCATGGCTTCATATCCACCATCCTGAGTCTCTCTAGCACAACAGGGACTAAGTTTCCTCATTGTCAATCGACGGAGTAACCTCCTGCAAATGTTTGGGTCGCTAATCTTGAGCTGGGTGGGAGTCTGTGGCGATCCCAGAGGACCGTCATCAATCGATTGTCTGGTGGACGGCGAAGTCGGCGTTGGAGGTTCTAAGGTGTCCCCTTCACTAAAAGGGCTCAACGTGCGAAATCCGACGTCGATGAAGCATCTGCTGGGTATGTACCAAATGTCGTCAGCGCCAGATTCCTGACATCCACCGAAAGCCGTGTGAATTGACGGCATGCCGCGGCTGCTGCACTTTTGGCACGGATGTGCAAGGAGGACGTTGTAATCCCGGACTTGACAGCCACGGACGCAGGGAGAGTTGCACATGGTGTCGCGGAAGCGATGTGTCGCGGGGTGCGAGCAGAGGAACAGGTATCGTTTCGTGGTGCACATTGTCGCTGGGTTGGAAATATTTGGAGAGTTGTGCGCTTGATGGAAAGATTAATTCAGCTGGAATTCTGTCGCCTTCTTATACAACCTCCAGCAAGCCTTGGATATCTCAGCACAATCAACGGGATGTTTGCTTGTGGGAGCAAACACCGCGGCAAGGCACTGTCTGGGCAGACACGGCTTGAAGCATTGACACGCAAGGGCAGGGCTTTTTCTCATTTTGGTCGGGTGCCCTGCTGAGGGAATCAAGAAAGAATCCACGGCGTTGTGTCAAAATTAGCAACAACGTCGACAATACGCCTTGTCCGTTCTTTGTCTGACGACGGTCTATTCTGTACTTATCTTGCAAACTCCTTGACGATCCTGCCCAGCGAGTCAAACATCAAGTGCAGGGACAAAGAAAGACACCCCGGAACAAAGCTGGCTGCGCATGATTTGGGCCCAGACAACAACCTATGGATTCCGAAGACCAATGCAGAGCAAATACATGCGGCAATACCAGTCGAGCTTCGAACCCATGCGGCATTTACATTCGAAGCGCAAGATTGTACTCCAACACCAGCCTACAGAATTGATCCCGATGTCATCAATATTTTACCTCAACAGCGCGACTCTGTGAAGAACCCTCAAGAACTCGGTCTGGGCCATGCCCAAGAGAAGGTATGAAGACTGTTTCTTCGTCGATCGGGTCTTCGGGTATGTATGTGTGTGTGGTCACTCAGGGGTTCGAACCCTTTATCCGGCTCCGTATAACACACATATATACTATATCTTGTCGTTCACCCCCCAATCAGCCTCAGTCTATCCGACTAAATTATGTCCGATCTCAATGTCGGGACCAGTGGCGAGAGACGATGTGAGAACAAACAAGAGCGATAATTTACCAAGACTCTTCTGTGAGCTGCGAAAAGGCTGTCTGACTCTACCTTTTTCTTTTTATGATATTTCTCTCCTTTCCCACGAGGCTCTATCTTTCTCCCATTTAATTGGGATCTAGACGCACCATTGCTCCCCTTCTGAATCTTGGTCCTTCTCCTTGTACTTGTGACTTCTGTCTTGACCTTGCATCCGACGACCGCTGAAGACTTCTACTTGGCGCATACATGCTCTGTAAGCACTCTCGTTTCCCCGCCATCTAAGGCCCCGCAGGCTTCTCGGGAGTGTTCCAGGCCAGCGAGGCGCTCGCGGCTAGAGTCCAGGGCGTCTTCCCCGAGGCCCTGGGCGACTCTCCCAGAAAGTTTGTGGGGAAGCCCGGATCGAAGGTGGTCTGGCTCTCGAGGAAGCGGATCTGCTCGTCGGTCAACTTGATGGAGAGGGCCTGGATGTTTGCCTGGAGGTGCTCGACCTTGCGGCCGCCGACGATGGGGAAGACGTTGACCGTCTTCTGCATGACGTAGGCGAGGGCGATGGCGGCGAGCGACTCGACGCCGTGCTCCTGGGCGACCTTGTCGAGCGCGGCCGAGATCTTCTCCTGCTGCGGCGTCTGCCCGACGGCGCCGAAGATGGTGCGGAGGCCCTCGCCCTGCTTCTGGCGCTCCTCGAGCTGTTTCTTGCTCTGGAACTTGCCCCCGCCCAGCACGTCAAAGGGGGCCAGTGCCATCCCAAAGTGCCGCGCCATGGGGATGATCTCGCGCTCAAAGTCGCGCTCCATCACGTTCCACCGGCCCTGGTACACGCTAAACGGTGTCTTCCCTTGGGCGCGCGCGTACGTATTGGCCGCCGCGACGACCCACGCCGGTGTGTCCGAGACGCCCAGGTAGAGGACTTTGCCCGACTGCACGAGGGCGTGGAGGCTGTCCATGACTTCTTCGATGGACGTGGTCCAATCCTAGTGGGTTTACTGTCAATCTCGGGGGGGTTCTGCTACAGGTAAAGGAAATAGATCAGAGATTGAATGTAGGGACAATGACTTACCCACCAATGAAGGTACAAAATGTCAATGTAATCGGTCTGGAGCTTCGCAAGAGAATCCCGGACCGAGAGGTGCAGACTCTTCTTGTGGTTCCCGGAGTAGTTGACCGTCTTGCCCTTGCCGAGCTCCCAGCTTCGGTAGGGTGTGGTGTACCTTTTTACCACAGCGTAGGTATCAGCAAGTTGAAGTCGCGCGTTGTGAGAGACGGTGCGTGTATGGGACAAGCACGAAAAAGGGCGAAGGGGGCAACGTTTTCCGACAGACATACTTGGTAGCAATCACCATGAGATCCCGGTTCTTCTTTTCCGCCATCCATTCACCAAGCCACTTTTCGGATTGTTCGTTTTGATAGTTGTTCTAACAAGAGAAAAGGAGGACAGATCCTCAGTCAATCCAACAAGGTTCACAAGGGACTTTTCAGGACAAAGCGTGAACGCACAGCAGTGTCGATAAAGTTCCCACCGGCCTCGAAAAAGGTGTCGAGGAGTTTGAAGGATTGTTCTTTGTTCATGCTGCCCATGCCCTACCAAGTCTCGTTAGCTCTTGGTTCCATGCCCGCCTCTCTCCATTACAATAGGTAGACAGGAAGACCAACCTTGGTCCAGGCATCCCCAAGGGACATGGCACCCAAACACAAGGGAGACACTCTCACGCCGGCGGTGGAAGATAGAACTCGATACCGACCCAGCTCGGTGGGCGGTTCGGGAGCGGGAGCAAACAGGTCATTGATGTCCGTCATTGCCACAACTTTGTCGTCTTTCTCTTTTCTCTGAGTTGTCTGTCGAGAGAAGGATGAATTTCACAGCCTTGCTTTTTGGGAGGGTTGATTGATTAATTGGAAGAGCCGTGGTAAAGAAAAGGGCAAGCCCAGTTGTTCTTATAGCGCTGGTCAGCGTTCCTACCCGTGACAAAAGAAGAGGCGAGAGGATGACTTACAATCCAATCGCAGTGCTCACTGTGCGAAGCTGCTAGTCGTCAGTTGCTCCATATTACCTTGTCGTACCTCTGCTCCATTCCTCCTTTTGGTGGGTGGGGTGCTGCGGAGGGTTTCCCTTTGGACGCCATGTAATATCTGCAAGCCACTGACCGTTCCTGGACATACACAGGCACTATCTCCATGTCTGCCCGAGTGAAAAAGATGTGTGTGCTTTAGACTCCCGAGGTCGTTCATTCCGACAAGCCATTCGTAAGACAAAAACTAAGTGAAGTCAAGGCTTCCTGCCGAGGTAATCTCGCATCAAGCACTCCTGCTGATCCATCGATGCCACCCGGCCTTACCAGATGTGAAGCGTGTGGCCTTCACTTTGGGGCTGGTCCATGGTCGGCCGAAGACGGCCAAGTTCAATGCTAGCATTGAGGTGTGTACATATACAGGAGAAACGGCGGAATTAACTGGAGATAAGAAAAAGACAAACAGACCGACACGGTCGACATGATTCCCTCGCAACCACCAACCCAGACAAGCTGGATCTTGACCTCGTATAAACCTCAGTACCGAGGAATCGCTACTCGGAAATATCTCTTTCCGAGCAGAAAAAGGGGGAAGGGGATAGAGAGGAGGGGCAGACGAACAACATCAATGGAAACGACTATGGGCGCAATGCATTCCATGATTGTTTTGTATTTGGGATAACAAAGTGCAATAGTGGCCTGGCGAGCCTGATCTAACAACAGCCAGCGAAGACCTTTTTCCCTCTGGGTCTCGTATCAACCAAGCTCCGTCATCATCAAAGCACAAGCTCTCCAGCGTGGTGAGTGTCTGGACAGAAAGAAAAACTCCGGGAAGATGCACAGATGGTCTTTCGCAATATTATTCTTCTCCCTCCATTTGCCGTGGCAGAATATCCCCATCCATTTGTTTTCCCGTTGATTCCAAGGCTTTTCCTGTCCACCTCCGCCCCATAAAAAGCTCGTGCTGGATTTTGGTGTCATGTCCATGTCGAAAAAGTCTATTGAAGTCATCATGTCCCACAGGATGTCGAAAGAGAGAGAAAGCCCGCAAAATAACTTTTGGTTCTTTTTGGTGAAAAACGAATCTCGTCAAAAGGCCCGAAGGATCTGTCCTTCCAGCCCCATGGCCCCCATTTCATATCAGAGCCTACTGATGAGTCTCGTCATTCCATTCTCTCAAGCTTCGAGTTTTGCGCCGTCGCACTCTCTTTCGTTTCAAACCGACGCCGTGGTGTGAGTCTGGTATTCGTCTGCACGTATCGTCCGTTCCCTCTGTTCACATGAGGCAGTTCGACATGCCGAGGGGTATCTGGAAATCGATCCGGAAAAGGAAAAAAAAAGCCAACGCTATCTATCAGTGTATCATGCTGTGCCCGATAATAAACAGTCGTCTCGAAAAGAAAATGCCGTGGCCGTGGTCGTCATCACCGAAGAAGCAAGTCCATGCTGAAGGAGTATGCCCGTTCGCTTTGAGGGCAACACCCGGTCACTGTTCGAGAGTGTGAATGTTCAAGTAAAAAGGAAAATCCCCGTGCCGAGAAGAGATGGAAAAGCCGATCCACCACAAAACGCCATTAACCGTTTACCACCAGGAAGAAGGGCCTGTGGCACCACCTGGGTTGCCATACCCTCCTCCACTGCTGCCGCCGCTGTATCCGCCACCATAGGCCCCACCACCATAAGGTGCCCCGCCGGAGTAACCTGAGTTTGTTAGTGCATGATCCAAGGTAGACGAACTCTTGTCAGTACTTACCACCACTGCCACCACCGCCGCCACCACTGCTGCCGCCGTAGTTACTACCACCATAGCCGCCGCTGTAGGAAGGAGGACCGCCGCCCATACCACCGCCCACACGACGCATGTCACGCGTGGAGGAAGCACCACGGCCCGCACCACCGCGACCACGTCCTCCGCGACCACCGCCGAAACCAGAGCTCTCACGCGCTATGTTCTCCAAGAAGCTGGGAAGTTCTTGGTTTGCCTCTTTGAGAAGCTCAATGAGATCACGAACAATGCCTCGGTTGCCGCGATTGAAGAAAGCAGTCGACAGACCGGTGTTGCCAGCGCGACCGGTACGACCAATTCGATGAACGTAGTCGTCAATGTCAGTCGGCAGGTCGTAGTTGATGACATGCATAACATTCGGAATATCAAGTCCACCTAGAGTAATGAAGGATTATGGTTAGTAAATGCTTCAAGTGAATGTGACTTCAAAAGTCAAGATCGTGAGAGCTGGGTAGTACTTACGAGCAGCAACAGCTGTAGCAACCATGATTGGGCATCTGCCGTTTCGGAAGAACTCGAGGGCTCTCTCACGCTCACGCTGCGTACGATCGCCATGGATTGCAGTAGCTGGAAAGCCTTGGTTGATCAAGAAGTCGGACAAAGTATCGGCCATCCGTTTAGTCTCAACGAAGATCAAAGTAAGACCATTTCGGTGAGTGTGGAGGATGTCGAGCAAGACGGAGCGCTTGTCGTTGTCTTCGACGTATTCAACCTTCTGGGTGATGTTCTCGGATGTAGAGCCCACTCGACCCACTGACAGGAAGACGTAGTCTTTGAGGAAGTCTCTGGCCAACATTTGAATGTCGCGGGGGAAAGTGGCAGAAAACATGAGAGTCTGGCGGTTTTGGACCGAAGGCATATCCTCACCCTCCACAATGCGACGAATTTGGGGCTCGAAACCCATGTCAAGCATACGATCAGCCTCATCGAGAACCAAGTACTTGATGTTTGCCAGGGAGATGCGACCTCGCTCTATGAGGTCGACGAGACGACCTGGAGTAGCAACAAGCAAGTCACAACCTCGTTCAATAGAGCGAAGTTGGGTTCCAATGTCGGCACCACCGTAAACCACGCAGGGTCTGACCCAGGAACGGTAAGAGAATTTCCGTGCTTCATCGTAGATCTGCGAGACTAATTCGCGGGTGGGAGCCAAGATCAGAGACGTCGGGAAAGCCTTTCGTTGGCGGAAGCCACCACCACTCGCAGGCGTGGCGGATGGTCCGTTCTGGAACGCCTGTGACAGGATAGGGAATAAGAAACCACCAGTCTTGCCAGAACCAGTCTGGGCACAAGCCATCAGGTCTCGCCCGCCCATCACAATAGGAATCGAGTACTTCTGTACAGGTGTTGGGGTAGTGTATCGTGCGAGCTTGATGTTGCCCAAAAGGTGGTCATCAAGAGGAGGGTTGGTGAATGCATTGACCGGTTCCGGGACATCGTGGCCACTAGCCTCAACAGGGATGTCGTCATAGTTGGCAAAGTTGATTCCAGTGTGAGCCTTTGTCGGGTCGTTGGGAGTGCCAAAGAGTTCACGTTCAATTTTTGGGTTGGGTGGGCCAGCAATGTGTTGACCATCTCTCCATTGGCCGTCTCCTGAACCGCGAGCAGCGTTGCCACCATAGTTTCCACCGTATCCACTGCTATGACCACCGCCATGACCGCCACCAGGAGCACCATAGGCGTTCGGGTTGAAGGAACGAGGAGCGTGACCGGCACCCCAGCCATTTGGTTGAGGAGCGGGGGCACCACCAGGACCAGGTTTGAAGTCGGGAGCTGCCGCCCAGCTGCCATTGCTTTGACTAGGGCTTGTAAGTGAACCTGATATGTTTGGAGAGTTTTGATTTACGTACGTGTTGGTAGCCCAGGCACTTCCATTCAATCCTTGAGTTTCGCCATTAGGCACAGGTGCCGGTCCTGGTGCAGGACCGGCCCCGTCCATACCCATGACAGGGGGACCACGATTGCTCTGGCCACGAAGATGAGGAGGGATGTACGCACGAGCCTGGATGGGATTGCCGGGAGCGTGCTTGGATTCGTTCAGAGTGAGACCGTTCATGTTCAGGGAATCAGCCATTTTCGATGATCGAGTGATTTTGGGATGTACTGAGAATGCAAGAGTCAGCTGAGAGTCAAACGAACTTTTTTATAAGCAGTTGAATGATCTCTGAGAAAATTCCAGAAGAAATTTAGACGCCTGCAAGGGCAGGAGGACGTGTGAAGGGATTTGGACTTGGACAACGGGGGGCGAGTAGAGTGAAACTCACTGATAGAATAAGATCAGACAGGTAGTCCACGTCTGGAATATGCTGACTGAGTGAAGAAAAGAGGTAGTCGTGATAGTCGCTGCTCGAAAAGTGAAGTGAGGTTATCGAGGCGTCTAATAATTCAATCGCTGATGATTGCTTGGTCTTTCGTGTCCGGCAGATAGAATGAGAGACACAAAACGCCTCTCCAAGTCTATCCGAAAGTGAAAACGAAAGACAGAAACAAGAAGGATCGTAGAATTGTCGGTTGTCGTTGTGTGGATGAGAGGAGGTTGATGAAATGAGGTTTTGAAGGATGAAAAAGTCTTGAAAGCGCAGCCTAAAAATTTTAGGGAGCGGCGAGCAGGTGATCATTACATGGGCCCGATCGGCCAGGCTAGAAGCTACTGGACAATGGGAATAAAAACGCAGTTCGCCAAGAGCGAGACTATGCCGTATTTGCGCACCGTAATTGCCACCAAGGGGCGTAACGTCGCAGGTTTGATGGCACTTTACATGTGGTGCTTGTACCCATCGATTATCTACCTTCATAGAAGAGACATCAAGCGGGAAGCTTGCAGAAAAGGAGACAACGGAGACCAAACAGCAACTGTCATGCTCTACAGCGTTTACTTACGCCATGCTTTTATCATCCGACTTGTGGGCTGGGAATCTGCGTCGCTTGACTATGACCACAACAACCACCATGATGAGAAGAAAGAGCACTGCTTTCTGCATGTATGCTTGAGTCACTAGCCCCTCCACAGGACTAAACAATTCCTCACTCGCAGGCAATTCTTTGGGCAGTGCTTCAATTTCATCCTCCACCGGTGGTGGGTTTGTCCCAAGTTCATCCTCTCCATCATCGTCATTCATATACTCAGGATGCACGTTCGAGTAGATGGGTTGTTCTGTCAGATGAGTCTTAGCCCTTCTTCAGATACTAATAGTAATCCGAGAGCAGCACCTGCCCTCAAATCCTAAAGTTCGTTATGAATACCTTCGGGCGGCACAGGCAGCTCTCCGCTCTTAACGATCTTGACTGGCTTGGCTGGACGGTCACCCGAGCCCTTGGGTACATTTTCAATTTGCTCGACAACATCGTAGCCCTCGAGCACTTCCCCAAATACGACATGACGCCCATCAAGCCAACTAAAACACTGTTAGCCAATGACATTTGATCTGGAACATGCAGCCGCTCAGGGGCAAATATACCTTGTGACAACGGTAGTAATGAAGAACTGTGACCCGTTTGTGTTCTTGCCCGCATTGGCCATGCTCAACAGGCCCTTCTTGGTGTGCTTCAACTTGAAGTTCTCGTCTTCAAACTTGTCACCATAAATTGACTTGCCGCCAGTACCGTCTCCTCTTGTGAAATCACCGCCCTGGATCATGAATTGTTTGATAACACGGTGGAAGGCTGATCCTTCATAACCGAAACCCTTTTCGCCGGTGGCTAGTGCTCGGAAGTTCTCTGCGGTCTAGGGATGAAGAGTCAATGGTTAGCTGGTTGTTCTCCGAAGATATAGGTGCTTAAGAGGTAGGATTACCTTGGGAACGGTCTTGCCGTAGAGACCCATAACAATCCGACCCAGCGGTTGGCCATCGTGCTCGATGTCGAAGTAGACCTTGTGCGTGATCTTTGGACCCTTTGCCGCCTGTGCTGTCTGTCCCATGAACAGGAAGGTAGCGGTCAAAATGACCAACAGCGAAATGACAATCCGCTGGATATTAGCCATCTCGAGCCACATCGAACTATGAGACTTGACTGAGAGGGAATTGGGACTGAAGAGAAAGAAGGGGCAACAGGTTGAAAGTGCGGTAGCTGACCGATGACAAGAATGGATGTTTCAGACAACCCTTTCCAATGGGGGCATGGCACCCAGAATACCCCAATTTAAAAGCGGCGGCAAGGCTGAACTGTCGCGCAACTTCTCGACAACAAAATCCCATCTGATTGTGAGAGAGTCAGGAAAATCAAGCCACCATCCAAGACAACGCCGGAAATCAAAGGCGGGAGTGGAGGAGCAGAGATGGTATATCTCTCTAAGTTCTTTTCCCAAGAAACAATACTGACTAGACGTCTACCAGGTCTTCATCTTGGGGGTCAATTTCCCTGAACACCGTTTTGTATGGGTATGTCTCGTCACTGTTCGAAGCTTTACTCCTGCAAGACAGTCCGCTTAATTTCTGTTCCAGAGATCACTCGAGACATTCTTCGGCATCGGCCCTGCCACCCGCGCCCGCATCATGTCGCGCTTCCACCTACATAACACCATCAAAGTCGGCGAGCTCTCGCAGAACCAAGTCCTCGACCTAACTGCTCACCTTGACTCCATGAAGATCGAAAATCACTTGAGACGGCAAGTGCAGCAAGATATTACAAGACTGAGGGACACTGGGACATACAGGGGACGTAGACACGCGATGAATCTGCCAGTACGGGGGCAGAATACGAGGAGTCAGATCAAAACGGCAAGGAAGCTTAACAAGGCAGAGCGGTATTAGACGGGGCCCTTGTTGTTTTGTACCAAAACCACCCATGCGCATGGGACATATAAATGGGAGGAAGTGCTCGCGAAGCATATCATACAGACAGCCTCCGCGGTCGACGCGACCATGAGGACGGTTTGGAAGCTACGGATTTTAAAGCTTCAAGTACTGGGCTGGTTTGAAGCTTGGGATGTACGGATGATTGAAGACCTAGTTCAATTGAGCTCGCTTCAGCAACAGATGAGCGGAACCAGGGTGATTATACTGCCTGAAATCTTGACAGTCGGTAAACGTCTCAGGGGACCTTTAAATTAAGATATTGATTCTCTCTACCGGTCTTCAAAGAAAGATAGGATTTCTAGAGGACGTTGCCCCGACCACAAACATATCGTTGACTCTCATAAATTCGTAGTAACAGTCATGCTGTTACTATGTACCAGCAAGGTCGGCGGTAGTCCGCCAGCCAACACTTCCAAATCACTGATATACCCAAGACTATCCGTCTCACTGCGATATGTCCCTTCGACTGGTGCCGGCAATGTGGTGAAGATGACGGCCGTGTCATCGCTATTCTGTGATATTAGTTCATTCAAGATCAAATGTTGAGCTCGACTTGGTAGGTCGTTAAAGGACAATGGAATCGAGGCCGCTGTTGGAAAGCCCGATGCGGACGGTTGGGGAGCATTGCTGTCCTCCCTTGTCCGCTGGTAAATCGATCGTCCCCCAGGGATGACATCTTCTGCCTTTTGCCGCCGTGGATGCGGATGCTCGGCGAACATGATTGAGGGACCGGCACCTTCATCACTGGCCACTTTAGTTAAAGGAACAGGCTCGGATGTAAAATTTGGCGAGGCTGCTCGAGACCTTTGTGGTGAGGTCGTCACTTCCAGACTCCCTGAGAGCGACGGTATGCCAGTACCCGATGCGGTGGGACTACGGCCTCGACCAACATCCTCTTCACCTGAAGGGGAAATGTCCTCACCAAACTGCAGTTCTGGCTCGGCTGTCATTGAGCGTTCCATCCTCGAGTTTTTGTCCCTTTGCCTCTTGCGTACCGACTTTTTTGAGCTCGCCCGACTGCTCTTCTTGGAGGAGGAAGATTTAGTTTTGAGGGCGGACCTCAGACTCCCTGGTGATTCGTGCATCTGATCTCCGCCTTCTTCTGATAGACTGGCATCCGATTCTTCATCATCGGACGTCTCATCTCGCTCACCATCCTCTTCGTCATCGCCCTCGGATTCAGAACGTTCAGAGTCACTTGGGTGAGATGCGTGTCGGCTGAGCATGTCGTCGTCGATGCGCGAGGTTCTCATAGAAAGACTCACTCCAAGACTCGATAAATTGCCAAACGACGATCTCTTTCTTGGATGCGTCAAAATCCGGCGCAGACCATCAATCCGGACGAAAGCGCCATCTCTTCTGCTCGGCAGAGACGAGCTTGGCCATACAAAATCGTCGGCCATCGAAAGGGCATCGACGGCACTAACATCGCCAGATCTAGACTTGCCCCGGAGTTTGAGAAGTTCTTGCCACCATGCTTCATCTTCCAGGACCTTGTTGACTTGCTCTTGCGTCTCTTCATCGACATCTTGGCCATTGACAATGCAATTGTAAGTCTTGATCGTGCCACAGGCCAGCCAGAACACGAGAACCTGAGCCCTGATGCGTAAATTCGCTAAAAGCGACATGACTCGAGCTCGTTCCTCTTCCACATCAGCCTCGTATTCAACGAAGACCGCGACTCGCAGATTGTAAGATCGTTTCCACGATGGCACCGTGTTGAGAATACATCCAAGTTGCAGGATAAGAGTATATGTGTCAAAGTTGGTGGTTGTGACATTCTGCGGCTGACCATCCGTCTCAGATGTCAGTTCTGCTGACATCTGGATGGGCCACAGATCTATGTATTTCTTTGTGACACTTTCTTTCGCCTTAGGGAGTTCCAAATCGCCAAAACCTATTGCAATTGCAACATTGGTCCGCAGCTTGAGGATCATATCTTCCAACACCATGACGTAGCTTTGAATATCTGTTCTTTTTTCCACAAAACACACATCGGTAGGCAATTCGCCACGGACCTGGCTCCTGCTCGTACGACGGCGTCTGATCGATCCGGCTTTCCGTTCAGGGGGTGGACTTGGCACGTCGACCAGAGGTTGCTCTGATCTGAACTGTTGTAGATTGTAGAAGCCGAGGACAACAATATTCGGGCGCATGCCTCCCAATCCAGCGGAGAGAAAGACATTCCTCACTCCCCATTCAATAGAAGGCGATATTGCCACGTTTACAAAAGCTTTGATCTTGGACATGTCGATAAACTTGTTCCAAGCTGCTTGCTGACGGCGTGCTTCCGGTACAGAGGCACCAAAGTTTTGAGTAACAATCACATGGCCAATGATGAACAGGGCCCCCTTCTTTAGCGAGTTGCAGAAGTGGATGAGTTTGTAACTCCTTCTTGGATCATTGACCAGTAGAAGGATTTGCGGGCGCCAGAATTTGACATGCTCAGTCTTGAGTCTCAGGAGATACTTCCGAACCTGGTGGTAGATAAGGACTTCTGAAATCGAGCCCCAGGGTTTTGGCGGAGTTGTGTAGTGGATCATGATGATGAGGATGAGGAGAAGGCAAACCGAACCAGAGGCTGAAATCCCATCAACAAAGAACATGCTTCCGACGCTGAGAAGTGCCCCGGACGCTGCTGTCCACCAGTTGAAGTATGAAAACGAAGGTCGAAAGTTTGGAGCTGATCCAATCTTTAGAAGGAACGTGGCAACGTTCAGCGCGAAAAAGGTCCTGCAAGATACCATCAGTGCCACGTTCAAACCACTCTGGGGCAACACTCACATGAGGTAGGTCATGGTTATCAGAGAAGCAATTTGGTTGATGTCGAGAAGAAGCACCAGCTGAGTGACGGCGAACGTGCAAAGGATGGCATAGATGGGCTCGTCCTTCTTCGTCGTCCCCTGCCCGAATATGGAGAGGCCGGGAACAACTCGGTCTCTGGCAATAGCTTGGAGTTGCTTTGCTGGTCCGATGATACCCATCAATACGGAAAAGAATGTCGTTGCCAATTCTCCAGCAAGAATCAATATCCCCGATATGCTCGCGTCCTGCACGACGTTGACATTTCGATAGAAGGATTCCCGGGTGATGCTTGCAGCCATGGCTACAATCACCAAAGTATATGCGACGAAGGTCAAGGCCAATCCACCCAGTGTACCGCGCGGAATGGACACACTCGGATTCTTCAAATCGCCTGACATGCTTGCGCCCGCGAGAATGCCTCCAGTTGCGGGGAACAAGATACCAAAAATATCTTGATAGTTCTCTTTGCCCTTTAGCTCGCTGCCTGCTGCCCCCTTGGTGAAGTGAGGTAGCAGGTTCTCCCTCAGAGTTTCTAGACGGAGGCCAGTAAACTGCAGAAACTGCTTCTTGGTCTGGAAAGGTGATCGAATGATGGCTGAGAAAGGAACACTAAACGTTGCCAGGAGTAGAATGAATAGCAGGCCATTGCTCGCGCGCGCAAAAATGGCACTTCCGGCCATACAGATAGCGACACATAGTACCACAATTAAAGTGCTCCAAAGGTACTTCCACCACTGGCCTTCAGGAAGATTGTTGGCCCAATTTCCAGACTCAGCGCCAAAATTGTAGGTTAGACAGTCGACTAGAGCAACTGCATTCATTCCTGTGTTGAAAACAAAGCCGAGATATGACACCAAGCCGATTGCTCCACCAAATTCGGGACCCAGAGACCTGGAGATCAAGTAATAAGCTCCTCCTCCTCTGACCGTGCCGTTAGAGGCTACTGCCGAAAGGGACATCGTCGTAACCAGGTTGATGGCATAGGCTGCGACCAACATGGCAAGCATGCCTATGACACCGCTCTGGCCAAGTATAAAACCGAAGCGGATGAACATGAGGATGCTTAGGACGTTCAAACTTGTAGGGACGAAGACACCTGAGAGGGTGCCCAGTTTTTCTGAATCGCCGGCCGGGCGTGGAGGCACGCTATCATGGTGTAAAAATGATTTCTCGACCTTACTTGGTATGGCACGGATATACGCTGCCAATGAATGTCCTGACGAGTTCTGAACCGCCGGTACTGGTTCTGGCAGTTGGGTGTCATCTGGTGAGTCTGGGGGTCCGTCGAAAGTCCCATAAACTTTGGAGGAAGCAACTGTGTCTACCGGAGCAAGGGGCGGAACAGACACAGAAGACTGGGCTGTCGCTGGTCTTGATAGAGTATGTACTGAGGCATCGTGGGCTGATGCAGGACGGTGTTCTTCTGGAGTGGCCGGGAACGATGACCTCCGCAGCAATTGAGCAGCCTCATCAGTAGCTGTACGCGTTAGGAAAGCTGGGCCGCGTCGGGCTACAGAGCCTCGCCCTATACCTAAGTCTGACCAGCCTTTTTGTCCTCCTGTGCTGGCCATGATTGTCTAGGGTCGTTTGTAGATGTCGATCCATAATCAATGCATCCTTTTGCTTGGTTAAGGGGAGTAGTGGACTAGAGCACTAAGGTTGGAAGGTAACAAAGTGAAAGGTTTCTGGATGTTCGTCGAAAGGCTTCCGGCGTTTACTGATCTTCCGATCACGGGGGTGAGGGAGTCCTTGATGGCTGATATCAGCCGTCCTCGTCACTTGCACTGAAACGAAGCTGGCTCGTCAAGTCCCTCCGGGCGAAAAGAGGCACGGTGAAGATGGATGCAGTATTCAGCTTCTAATAGAAGATGAGAGTGTATTACAAAGCTGTTGCGCAGGAGAACAAGGGGAGATGAAGCTGGATGTTTGCACGGTGTACAGGGACCCCTATGGACGGATGTTGAGGGGAGGTTCAAAAGGGGAATTTTGCACCTCTAGCCTTGCTGGGTGGGAGACGTGGGGGTTGGCCTTGAGCATGAGAAGTGGGGAGTTGCGCCTACGAGTGCTTGTGGACTTGGGCGACGTAGTTAAAACGAGATTATTGGACCAGCGCCTATTGTCGGCATGATGCGCCTTGACCGCAGAAGCAAACCACGCCGAGGCGACCCCCGTGCAGGGCGCAGCCGCCAGGGGATTTTCGCCGCTCGCATCATGCTGACCAGTTACGTCGTAGGCGAAAAAGGGACTTTCCATTATTTCTTTGCCACGAGCGCATCACAAGCACTTGTTCCCAGATCATTCGTCCCGATCACATGCTATATCTTTGATATCCTAATTATTGGGCAAGCCGTTCGATACTACATATGTCGTGGTGTTCACGGCTCCTAACTCTACCTTCAACTCAACAAGGTCTCAATATCGTCGACAATGTCTAAAACCAGTCCCGTGGATATACGCTCAAGCAGTCCCGCGGGAGGTAGTTCGCATTCGCGAAATGCATCCATGGCACGATTGTCCTCCCCTGTGCCCTCCCATCGCCTTAATACGCCTCCTATACAGCAGGTTCCGACTCCGCAACAGATCGCCGCTGACAACAATGACTCTGCTCTGCCCAAACTTGATCAATCTGGGTCGTTGCCAGGCCCAGGTCGGTCAGCCCTCTCCACAGCTCTCGCCGATACAGGGAATCGATCTCCTCCCGGAAGTCGTACACCACCTGTTCCTGCAAACGATCCTTTCCCGAGACAGCCACTATTGAACACCTCCGCAGGACTGGGGAGCCACGACAGATTACCGAGGAGCAACTATGGCTCTTTCAATCCTCGTGAAGTGGCCGGGAGTCCAGGCCCAACGGAGGACCCCGAAGTGGTGAAAAGACACTTGGTGCAGCCAGACCAAGGCTCATCGAGGGGTAGACCTCTCCGATTCGATTTGAACGAGCCAGCGACTGGTTCGGATTCCGCCGAGTTTTCCAGTCTCCGGTTACAAGGTGGGGATATGACTCGTGCTGTGTATCGATGGGCAGAAGAGCAGGAGGGAAACCAGCCTGGCAAGGCGCAGAGGAGCAAAAGCTTCACTATGCCGAGACCAGAGCCTGAAAGTGACACCTTGGACATACAGAACATTCGGGTGCCTGGCGGATTCCGCAGAAACTTTCTGCGCAGAGCCGCCGAGAGTCCCACCCCTTCCGGTCGAGGCTGGAAAGGATCTCCTGCAGCACATGGTCAGGACCCGTCTACAAGTGATGTTCGGCCCAGGCTGTTTACGAATAATTTTCTAGAGTTTTTAACGCTATACGGACACTTTGCGGGTGAAGACTTGGAGGAAGATGACGAGGTCCTTGAGCCAGATGAATATTTCTCGTCAGATGCCTACGACGAGGGCAGCGATCGAGAGCCTATGGAGGACAGTGCCCTGCTTACGCCAGGCGGACTACGGCGGAGGCGACATAGGGAGCGTCCACCGACAGGAACGGGCAGCAGTTTCAACGCATCTCTATTGCTCTTGAAATCTTTTGTTGGCACGGGAGTTCTCTTCCTACCGAGGGCTTTCCTCAACGGTGGCATGCTATTTTCCTCCCTTGTCTTGCTCGGTGTTGCTGCTCTGAGCTACCATTGTTTTATCTTGCTCATCAGCACAAGGAACAAGGTCGAGGCTTCATTCGGCGATATTGGCGGCATTCTCTATGGAAAGTGGATGAGAGCAATGATACTGTTCTCCATTGTTCTTAGCCAAATCGGTTTTGTGTCGGCCTACACCGTCTTCACTTCGGAGAACCTACAGGCTTTTGTTCTTGCCGTCTCCAAGTGCAGGACTTTCATCGACATCAAGTTCATGGTTTTAATGCAACTGGTCATATTTTTGCCGCTCAGCTTGATCAGAGATATTGGAAAACTAGGATTCACGGCTCTCATCGCTGACGCCTTCATCCTCGTGGGCCTCATCTACCTGTACTACTATGACATTGCCACCATTGTCGACAACAGAGGACCTTCGGATATCACTATGTTCAACCCGTCAACATGGACACTTTTCATCGGTACCGCTATCTTCACCTTTGAAGGTGTCGGGCTGATCATCCCAATTCAGGAATCAATGAAGCGACCACAAGATTTCCCTGGTGTCCTGGCTACTGTCATGGTCATCATCACCATCCTTTTCACCTCCATCGGCGCGCTTTCGTACGCTGCGTATGGCTCGAAAACCAAAACAGTTGTCATCCTCAACCTGCCTCAAGACAGTAAGATGGTCAACGCTGTACAATTCCTGTACTCCCTGGCTATTCTCCTGAGCACACCGCTACAGCTGTTCCCTGCCATCCGTATCATGGAAAACGAACTATTCACTCGCTCGGGCAAATACAATCCTTATATCAAGTGGCAGAAAAACATTTTTCGCTTCTTCCTGGTTGCCGTATGTGCGCTCATTGCATGGGGTGGGGCTGGCGACTTGGACAAGTTTGTGGCCTTGGTTGGGAGCTTCGCATGCATACCCCTGGTATATTGCTACCCTCCTTTGTTACATCTCAAGGCTGTGGCAACGACCAAGTTGCAGAAGTGGCTTGATTATTTGATGTTTGTCTTTGGATTGGCCAGTTGTGTGTATACGACTGTTTTAACAATCCAGCAATGGGCAGGGAGCAGCGGTGGGAAGTCTCCCGGGTATTGCGACTCGTGACGCACCGATGGAAGCGGACGACTTCGCGTCCAAAGGCATTAGGTGGCGAGGACAAGTGTACGATGTAAGGAGAATGCCGCCAACAGCCTTGAAGAGCGATAGACATTCAATGTCGACCGATTTTGGCTTCAAGGAGGAGGCTTGGAACTCGACCTCCGGATATCTGGGAACCACGGTTCCCCATCCATCAAGATTTGAGCGAAGCCATGTTTCACAGCCATGAGAATCCCATGCTCGACTCGACACTATCTCCTTCACCCATCCTTGGTGAAAACATGCGCTTAGAAAGGCTTTGGAGCCATGAAACTAGCGTGACCAGAGTTAGGAGAGAAACATCCTAGGTTCTTCTCTGTATATAGTTAGTTAATTTGATGGGCCATTCGATGGAATGCATGCCGTGGACCCCGAACTCGAAGCAGATAACTTATATCTTTTCTTCCTCCCTATATAAATCCAATTGCCTCGGTGTTAACCACCAGATCACCGCCCACTAGGCATAGCCAAAGGTGGACGCTGTATTTCTGTATTATTGTACACGATACATGAGTCTTGACAGCCGCACAGATCTTGATTCAACAGCCCCCGTTTTCGAACCCAGAGTCGTCCTTGGGATCTGGCCAGCATGTCCATCTTGGCTGTCGACAGATAGGGGCCCGTACTCTGGTTGCAGAGACAGGTGCGAAGCCAGCATTTCTCACACAGCCGACGAAAAGAGATCGGATGTCCTTTAGTGCAGTGGGTGGGCAAGCTGACGGCATAATAACCAAAAGTAGAAAAGGGAAAAAAGACTGCGTGGTTAAAAACCCAGCAATACGCGAAAAAATTTGGGTCCTTTTTTTTTTCCAACATGAGACGTCCCAAATCCAGGTGGTAGTGTCCCCGCTGCCTAGCTCGGGCCACGAAACAAAATCCATTCCTGATATCCAAAGATCGAACAAGACGTGGATCAGGTGTCTAGCCCAGGGAGTGGCTGATAAGTGTAAAGCTGCGCGGCAGTCTCAAGGCACATACATAGATAGGGTGGGTATCTTGCACGGCGTAAAATACCACGTCTATGCAACTCGAACCAAATCCTTTTCGTGAGGGCAGATTCCGCCAACGCTGATGCAGGTACGATAAGTCAAAATCGAGTTGGGGGACTCAGGCTCCTCGTCCAGCCGGGCTTTCAGGGCGAAGGGATATTCGGGTTCGGTCGGACTTGCGTGGGACTTTCCGCGTCGTTAGGGATAGCTGTTGGGAATTGCGCTTGTCGTTAGAACCATCCCACGGAATGAACGGCCGATATGAGTCCCGGTCTGATAAAGATGGAGGGGGGTGGTCAGGCCCAACTTCAGAACGGACAGTGGAGAGGTGCATCATAATGCTCGACGCTGTGACTTTCCATGGCGCTGTTTTGTCTCTCTCAATGAACAGACAAGAGCATTGGGAAGACAACCTCAGCCGATGCCTTTGCATCAGGTCCTAGCGCTGGAGGACCATATGTGAAATCAGCACCGAAAACCGCGTCGTCAAACGTCCGCCGTGATTCGTCGACTTCCATCAAATCCAGGGCGGCTTTCATTCTTTGAGGCATAAACGGTTGGAGAAGAATAGCCATGATTCGGATAGAGTCCGCGCTGGTGAAAAGGACGTAGTTCGCTATACGTCTTGTCTCGGGATCTGTACTCTTGATCAACTTCCAAACTTCAGAGTTGTGGAAGAGCTTGTTTGTCTGCAAACTTAGTCAGCTCTGCGACTTCAACCGTAACATGTCAAATTATGCCTTACCTCCCCAATCAGCTCACAGATTGACTGTACAGCTTTCCGCGGATCCGGTTCCTTCATGTGGTTGTCTGCGATTTCTCTCACAGAGCATAGTCTGGCATGGTGACCTCGTAGGCTGGCATGAATGGCCTTCATCTCCAGGCTACTGGCGCTCCATTGGTCTCGAGTGATGAACTTTGAGAAATTTTCGTCCTCTTTGACCAATTTCACGGCCCCACGGACATCGAAGTGCTTGCTCTTGTAGACGCGATGAATGAGATTGCCGAGTCCACCTCTTAGTAAGTGATTGTACGTCTCTTCAATGAATGAGTTGTCGTACGTGGCATCGTCAACAATACCCCCATTGTGCGCCATGAAGAAACGAATACAGTCCACCCCAAATCGGTCCATGGCGTAGAACGGATTGACCCCGTTGCCGGCCGACTTGGACATTTTTTCGTTGTTCATTGTCCAATGAGCGTGGGTCAGGAATCTATCCGCCACAGGGAGATTCAAAGCCATGAGGAAAGCAGGCCAGTAAATGGTGTGAAAACGGATGATGTCTTTGCCGATGACTTGACAATTCGGGGGCCACACCATGTTGGCGTCATTTCTGTTGACGAGCGGATATCCCGTCATGGTCAAGTAATTGAATAACGCATCGAGCCAAACGTAGATAGTCTGGCTCTCGTCACCCGGAACCTGAATTCCCCAAGTCAACCGCGATGAAGGTCTGGAAACAGACAAATCTTTGAGTCCACTTCGAATCTCGTCCATGATGAAGGCCATGCGCTGCTTTGGGACAATGGCGCCTGCATGGTTCTCGTAGTACTTCAGCAACGGAGCCTGAAACTCGGACAGCCTGAAATGGTAATTCATCTCCGAAGTCCATTCGACATCTTTCCCGGTCTCGATGGAGACAATCTTCGTTATACCTGTTGACGGATCGAGGACTTTGTGGACTTGAGTGGAGGGATAAAAAGTCTCGTCGCTGACCGAGTACCAGCCCTCGTGCTTGGCTTCGTAGATAAATCCCGCGCGATTCAGCTCTTCCCAGACATATCTGACAACATCCTTATGGTCCTCGTCCGTGGTTCGGATGAAACGGTCGTAATCGATGTTGGCTGCGTCACATAATGCCTTGAACTGCTCGGCGTGATGATCGCAGAACAGCTTGACATCGGTGTTTGCCTTTTGAGCAGCCTTTTGCACCTTCATTCCATGTTCATCGGTTCCGGTCAGGAGGGTCGCCCTCTCATCACCGCGAAGCTTTGCCCAGCGTTTGAGAACATCGGCGAGGACCAACGTGTAGAGGTGGCCGACATGGGGTGCTGCAACGTGTATAGTCAGTCAGCTGACATGTGAAGCGAAAGACGAGCAAACACATGCCTGAATTGACGTAGAATATGGGCGTTGTCACATAGTAAGGTTTCCCTGCCGGAGCATGAGCATTTGTAGGGCTTTCTGGTTCAATCGCTGCTGCGAGGGTGCGCCGTTGAGAATTTCCACGAAGGAGAACCGGTCGCCACGGTTGACATCGCGCAGAAGCTCGACATTGGAGGAAAAAACTACGAGCGTTGCGCTCGAGAGCGAGCATGCTGGGATGGGGAGAGTTCAAGAGCTAGATGCGCGCACGAGAATCGGGTCAACATGTGCAGGCCCACGCATTCATTCGCTCCAATAATTATTTTTCGGAAGCTACAGACATGCGTGAGCAACATTTGCAGTTTCTCCGCATCACTATTTGGAGTCCCCGATCGACGGCAAGGCTGCAAGGCTCAGCCTCGCAGCCTCTCAGCCTCTCTAGGTGGCGGGGTGGCGACATTGGCCAGGTAGCCTCTCTGCCTCTATTCCATGCATTCATTCCAATACAAGTACAGATAATCGCGGAGATATGGAGAGCAACATTCGGACTAGAGCATATGTTTATTCACATTAGAAATCACCTCTGAATCACTCCCACCTGCAGCTCTGGTGCTTTAATCTTGAAACATAATCCATGCAATACCTTTCCATCTGTCCATGAAATGTCAGTTTCATTTGCGGTCTTCATCATGTTGCCCGTCAAGCGCGTCGCTCGGCATTCAAAGAAGTCGTCTGCGGTCTCATATTCGCCTTGACTCGTTCCAAAAGCTCTGGCCTGGTCACTTGGGTGCCGGGCGCTAAATTCCTCTTGAAAGGGAGTGTCAGTCTGGCCGCGTTTGGCTTTTACAGCTGATCAAGTGGCAAAGCATTTAGAGCACAACCGCTGACTTACCAGCTTCAGCCACCGCCTCAACTCTGTTTCGGTCCAGTATTCCGGATCTGCGTGCGTCGATTAGCTCAATATCTTGGTGCTATGATATCCAAGCCAGCCACCAAAGCCGCTGTTAGGAAGCAGGACAGGACCGTACCACCCGTAGGATCACCCTCGGCAGGGAACATATCTCCACCCCACATATTCCATAGTGATGCCAGAGTCACTAGTCCCGCAAAGCCTAGGAAGAGATAGTAAAAGTCAGGCGCCATTCCTCGCTTTGGGTCGAACGAGGTGTTGTGTGGGTTGGGGATTTGTAAAGGACACAGGGAGCTGGCGACAGCAATTTTGGCGGTTCCGTTGGCCTTATAAGGACTTATCCAAGGTTACAAGGCAAACCAAGATCCCTGAGATCAGAATCCAGACAGTAGGAGGAGGGAAGGCAAACCGAAGAATAAATTCTGGTGACCACATCAGTTAGGGCACTGCAAGTCACCAGGACTCGAGTGCAACGTCAAGACAGTGACAAATTCAAGCGTCCAGCCATTGAGTCAGAGGATTGAGTAGGTGACGAGGTAGCACATACACGAGATTGCATTGCTTTGTCCAAGGGAGTAGGCATCTTCGACTTCTATCTCGAGATCTTGCCGGAGGTGTCGAACCCAGCAGTGTAGTCTGTCAAGCGTGGGAGGCGTATCAAAGATACAGACAGACTTCAGGAGTCTACAAAAGGGAGGTCTTATGCCGTGTTTGAGGATGTGTATGTATACAGCAGAGAGTGGTGAATGATTCTAGTTCTTGGATGGTGCCTGGAGAAGCAGAGAAGTTAATATGTAGTAATAGATGAAGTGTCTTGATTGGCCACATACGAACAACAAACAACACTGTTTCCAAGTCCCACTCGTAGTCAATCACTCACGTCCATTTCCAATACACCTTGAGACTACAGCTACAGCGCAGGACCGTCGTGCGAAGACAGCTATACATCAATTGACTTGTATTTGTGCGGCCCATGTCTCGAATTCCAGGCTCTGAGATTCGGTCATTAATGGGTATCACATTGTCTCTAACCATCTCGTCATGTATCTCGTGACATATAACGCATCTTATAAATATATACAAGATCACCGAAGGAACGACTTGACCTCTACCCAGGGGAGATCTGACACGCACTCTCTTCAGTTTCAAAGCCTCCTCTATCAACCCGAGGTAGAAACAGCGCCTTCGCTTCGAACGCAGAATTCAACAATCAGTTTCTGTAAATCAGCCAACTTGTACGGCTTCGTCATGAACCCTTCCATCCCAGTCTTTGTCGCCCGGTCAATGGCCTCGTCAGTGACATCGGCACTGACAGCTAAGACGATGGGAGGAGTCATGCCGCCACAGTCGGGTCCATCCTCGCCTTGAGAATGTTGGAACATCTCCAATATATGCTCGGTTGCTTGGTAACCATCCATTTCGGGCATCCAGAGGTCCATCAGGACAACATCGACCTTTTTGTTGGATCGTTTCCCGTTCGATTTTCCGCAACTTCGTCCCCTATTGTGTATTTCCCGCATAATCCTCACTGCCTCCTTCCCATCAAAGGCTTCGTGCACATCCTTGTAGCCCAGCTTGCCGAGCATATTCACCAGCAATTTACGGTTGATTTTATTATCTTCCGCAACCAAGAATGTCAGAGGATGCTTCTGTGCCAGGTGCCGGTCGTACGTGTCCTTCTTGAGGGGGCTAATCCGGGCTGGAGTCCGTGGTCCACGGGAGCTATATTCTTCAGTCGACGGCATTGTTATCCTTGAGGGTCGAGAATGCTTGTGGGCGTTGGGCGATGAATCTGGAGGTGCTAGTGTGGTAGCTGGTTGGGAGACACTTTTTGAGCCTTCTGGGGTCCTACTACCAGGGGTGCCAGAACGACTTGTCGCGCTCTCGTTAGGCTCAAAAGGCACCTTAATCTCGAACTCCGAACCTTTGTTTGGGCCCGACACCTCTGAAGCCACGAGGACGATGTCGCCACCAAGACGACGCGCCAGTCCTTTGGCAACTAAAAGACCAAGGCCGAGGCCTTCCTTGGACCTGGTCAACGAGTCGTCTTCTCGCGAGAATGGTTTGAATAACTCGGGTTGAAAGTCTTCTGGAATCCCATCGCCGGTATCCTTGCACTTGATAATCAAGAATCGGTGCGTCTTTGAAAGTCGGGCATGCAAAGTAATGCTGCCCTGCTCTGTGAACTTGATGGCGTTCAGCAGCACAGCCGATACCAATTTGGTCAAGTCGCGTTCGTCTGCGAATATAGTCTCAGGCACATCTGCAGCCACTGACCATTCGATGATTTTCTGGGAAATATGGCCATTTGATGAGCGCGACCTCACCACGATTCTTTCGCCCAAATCAGTGGGTTCTCCGATAGCCGAATCGGGCCTGCCTCCGACGCGTAGAGAGTCGTAGATCACCAAGGGTATCAGAGTTCGAATCCGACAGTGTTTTAACCCTGGTGTTGGTAACGGGTCACTTTCTGTCGACGATAGCTTGGTTGAAGGCGTAGGCAGATCCCCAGGTGTGTTGCAATCCTGTACGGGAGTGATGATCGTGGGGACGCGTTCATCTGAAGAAAGCGTTTGTGGGGTTGGAAACTTGCCTGTGTTACTCTTAGGAGAGACGTCAACACGATGTGATGATCCAAGTTGTCGCATCTTAGTGGCGTTACCGAATTGCCAGGATGTCGGACTACTTCGGCGTCGCTTGTAGGGATTGAAATGGATATCACTCCCTTCAATCAGCCTAGGAGGTTTGTAATCAAAGTAACCTGTGGATGTGGCTGCTGGGGATTCGTTTTCATTCGAGGGAGTATCGGGAATTTGCATATTCATGTCGTAGGCATGGACGACATTATCAGCAGCTTCAACGGCTCGTTTCGCACTGTCTTGGATGGTCTCGATATTCTCTCGTAGACCCCGAAATACCTGGCGCAGAGAAATATCCGAGACACCCTCAATCTGTTCCTGTACCGTTGCATGCATAACGTCCAGCATTCCAACTACCCCTTGCATTGGCGTCCTTAATTCATGAGACAGACTTTTCGCATATGGCTTGAGGGACTGGGTCCCAGGGGTGACGGCTTCACGCGGGATGACATGGGTCAGCCTGGCTGTGTTGGTACTTCGATTCCGAGGCTTTACAAACCCCTGGCCACTCAAAAGACGCTCGACGATCATGTCCTCCAACGAATGCAGCAGGAGTTCCGTGTAACTCCAGGTAGTCTCGCGCCGGTCAAGACCTTCTTGTGTCCACATCATACCGAAATGGGCAAAGCACTTCCCTTCTGCAAACAAGGGAATCCCAATGTAGCCTTCTGCAGGGAAAGGAAGGGCATTAGGATTATGAGTAATGAACGAACTCATGTGCTCCGGGATCAGGAAGACTTTGTCGTGCTTCATGTAGGCACAGGGCGAACCCCAAGCAAGATACTTGTAGTCACGATGCATGGCTTTCTGCCTGTCGCCGTCGTTGTAATAGAAAGCAACACCCAGAAGGCATGAGCCTGACTCGCCAAACGGGGGCATTTCTACCGCCGAATGGTGGTCGTCTGACAGTATCCGCTTTGCAACAAATCCGTATTGCGCATGGCAAATCTCCGTCATGCCCTCCATCAGCTTTTTCCAGAATGATTCGGTGTCCGCCATTTTGAGTTCTCGCTTTAGCTGCACCAACTTCTCAAGGGCATTGTTCTCAGGAGATGGGAAATGCCTTGCGAGGTTCTGAAGAAACCCATCTTCTCCGTATTGGGCTGGCACACCGGGCTCAACGCTAGGGAGGCATAATGATTGCCGTTCAATGAGCGGCAGAGACGGCCTAGGATCAGGTGGTTCAGCCATCACTGCCATTTGGTGTTATCGTCCACTTTGAAACACCTGGCTCTGATGTCTTAGGGGTATATTTGTTCTCATAGACATTCGTAGAGTCTGCGGGTCGCGGGCCTTCTGTTGCGAATGCAATTCGATGTTACCAAAGGCCTCATTCGTCGTAGGTCGAACGATGATGTAGCCAAGAGCAAGATAGGATCGTGGAGCAGGCAACGACTTGTCGCAATGCAGGTCCAATACTGGGCTGCAGGCGTGTTACTGGCTATCTTTCTGGTAAACGGGGCGCAAAGGATAGAGGGCGGTAGGGTAGAGGGACTTGTTGTTTAAGAGGGCGAGGAGAGATTGAAAGAAGCCGAAGGAATTTGGCGAAAATAGGTAGAATAGTCGACGAGTGCTGGCACTGGTGCTGTAAAGTCGAGGATCGGAGACGGGCCAGGGAAAGGGCAGCTGGAGGGGGAGGGCGTAGGCTGTCCCAAGACGAAATACGAGTCTTCGTCCCCAGGCAGTAGGTAGGTGCGCACTCAAAGTGAGACCGTGCAGCGGGATTCTTGATTAGGGTAGAGTTGCATTATGTTCTGGAGAAGCGGACAGGGAGTGTGGAATACGGAGGACGAAGGCCGTCAGTGCTTGGAGCCTTGGTCAGAGTTTCTGAAGAATTTCTTTGGCCAACTACTACATGCCCACCGGTGCCACAAACTTCTTCGTCACAAGGAATTCGTACCAAATCTTTTTTGACTTTGTCTCCTTTCAACTTTATTTACCTACAAGCAGGCTTTTGTACCCCGTACCTATTTGTACACAGGGCCGCACCGGGTCTGTCCAATACCCACAAGTCTACATTCAAGTGGCCGAGGCAGACTGGGCGACCGCCCCATCTGCGCCAGGAGCTCAGCTTTCAGCTCACATGGACTTCGCACAAGTCCTGCTGGGGTGCTATATGCCATTGAGACACATACCCTGATTCTGAAGGGGAGGGAGCCACATGGGCAAGACACCTTAGAGGACACTTGGCCCAGGGATGTTCCTGTGCCAGGAAGGACCCCGTTTGGCGCGGGTATCGAAAGTGTGGAAGTTGTTTTAATAATACAAACCAAAGACTAAATTACTGCAGACCGCATGTGGCATGACGCCAGTGGCATTGATCCCTCCGGAAAGAACCTTTCACGGGTGTCAGCAAAAGCCCTTGGTCGTCCTAAGTGAGCGTTTTGTCAGATTGTGAGCACAAGAGAAAAAAGAATGGAGATGGAGACATGTCGTTGGACAAACCTAGTCGTAGCCACGGTCTAGGCCTTGGAAAGACTCTTCTCCGGCTACCCACTGCCCTGCAGATGCGCCATCAGTCCCATTTGATTGGACCTTAATGCAGTCGTGCTAGTCACGGAGGACGAGTACAAACAAGGGACCGAGCGCCCGGAACTGCCCTTGCCGAACACAGACGCGTCAGAATTCTTTCCCAGAGAGAGTTAAAAACAATCACCCTCAGTGCACAGGACTCCGGCAGATCTGGTCTCCACACTGTTTCCGCCTTGATTGAGCAGACAGAATGAGATCGCTGACTTACAGAGACCCCCTCGAGCAGGTCAGATCTGGAAGGTCCGCAGGGGGTTGGGTCAAGAGCTGATATGCTTAAAAATGCCACCTACTATGAATGCGGTAAATCTCATGTCCATCAAAAGTTCTAGGCTACCCACCGGCGGTCTGTCCCACCCCTATTGACATCATCACGGCTTTTGGCTCCGGTTAAGTCGGCAACCATCGCACTGGTTCGCTTCTCAGCATCCCCATTGGACCATCGCCAATCAGAAAGTCATGGCGACATCCAAGAATTCTCCGGCAGATCAGGGAACAATCAGGACCCTGACTAGACCCCCTTTTTGGCCTTGCTTGCCCCATTATCAACAGATCTACGAGTATTGGGTACATGTGGGCGAGAGCACAGTTCTTCAAGCTTTATACTCCAGAAGCTGGGTCATATGCCCCAAGAGGAAGTTGGATCAAAAGCTTGAGAGATTCAATGGACAAAAATTGGCAATGGTCTGCGTCACGATTTTCAGAGACGTACTCTATTGTCAACGAGGAATAAGTTTTTGAGCAGGACTATTAACATGGTCCAGAAAAGATGCGGAGAACGAGGGAGGGGTGTGAAGGTGGCAGAAGCACCAAGTCCGGTATGCGGTTGACTCGACACTTGCGGCACATGCACAACGGAAATCACGTCTCACAAAGCCCTTGCTCGGGGTGTGCTGGAATTGTCGATCCATACCGAGTACTCTTGGTACTCTACTACTGTGCGTCCTCAGGAATGACCCTGATTGAGAGTGTAACCGGCTCTTAAGCCACGCGCAACGCACGCCGCAACGTTCGGGCAATCGCCGGCTGATGTACGTGTACGATGAAAGGGAGGCGTGGGGGCTTTGTACTTCCTAAGGACGGAGCGCACAACACATACATGGCGCCTCGCCGTCTCGCTTGCCATTCATGACTGATGTTAATCTCCGTTCCTGATGCCGGATTTATCTGCCTTCAAATGTAAACTGGGAGCTATAACCGCCTCCGAACATCGGTACGGTGGTCATGGGCCAAAGGATCCAAGTAACCAACCGTTGGAAGAACCGAGGTGAAGTATGAATTTGTGAGGGGTTGTCTCTGCTTTCTGCGGGGCCCCAGCTTTGATGGTTCTGCTTAATGGGTGAGCCAGCAGGAGTAAAACCAGTCTTTCCGAGGTCCTGTGTAAGTGATCGACTGCAAGAGCTTGCCAAGTACTCGCCAACGTACTTGTGCGTTTCGACTCGAACACTTTACCTCTTTGTCTGTCTTTATCGATGAGGCAGCCATGTCCTGGAGGCCACCCGCCCTGCGCCCTACAGAGACTGGATCTCTCCCGTGAGAACGGCGTCATTCCAGAAAACAATGGCAACCAAGATATACAGATCGAAAGATCCCGACGTTGCCGTGCCCGAGGACCTCAGCTTGACGGAACTCCTCCATCGCAGCGCTCGATCTCCCCCTCTACCCTCTGACCAAGTCATCGCGCAGGACGATGTAGAAAATCGCACCCTAACTATAGGTCAGCTACGTTCGAATGCTGGAAGACTTGCCAAAGGCCTGACACAACAGTACAGTCCGGGTGATCAAAGTCGATGGGCCGTTATCCTACCAAACAGTGTTGCCTACATCGAAGCTGTCCATGCAGTTCTGTGGCTCGGGGGCGTCTTTTGCCCCATAAATCATTTGCTGAAACCGGGCGAGATTGCGCATGCCCTAACAGTGTCCAAGCCGAAATTTGTGATAGTATATTCCAAGGTTTGGGCAACGGTGAAAGAGGCTATCGAACTTGCCCAAGACAAATGCCCCGAATTGAAGGATCTAGAAGTCTTGACTGCCATCGGTGCACCGACCAAGGGATTCCGACACCTCCATGCAGATCTCCTGGCGTCTGAGGAGTTGTCTGTACCTCACTATTCGGATACTAGGAAGCGGCTGGCATCGATACACCTCTCATCAGGCACCACGGGCAATCCCAAAGGGGTCGGGCTTTCGCACTACAATTACATAGCCAACGTGTTACAAATGTGGGCACACGATCCGGATCATTGGTCCCCGGACGAGAAGATTGTGTCGTATACGCCATTTGTGCATATCGCTAATAGTGAGTTTTGCCCTTGGCCGATTAGAACCCCTTCCTGCCCTCAGCTCTGCACGATATCCGATCTCTACTGACAGCGAGGGGCTAGCAACGATACCTTTGTTCCTTGGACCATGGACCGGCATGTTGCACATTATAATGGAATCCTTTGAGATCGAGTTGTATGCCAAAACCATCCAACGGACGAGAGCCACAGCGGCACAGGTGTCGCCAACGACCGCGTTGACCATAGCCACCACTGATCTGGTCTCAAGATATGACTTTTCCACCATCAGACACATGACTTGCGGTCCACTTCCCCTCAGTCAAGATGATTATCAAGAGTTCCTGCGACGTGGCAAATGGAAGACAGTAGCGCTTTACGGCATGACAGAGGCCGCTCCGTACGTGACGTGGCAGAAGATTAGAGACGTCATGCCCCTGGGGAAGAGTGGCACGCTGTTGCCCAATATTCTGGCATCGTTGCGTCTTGAAAACGGCGCAGATGCCCCTGAAGGAGGGCCGGGTGAGTTGTGGTTGAAAGGACCCAATATGACGGCAGGGTATGTCGAAAATCCTGCTGCCAACGAGACCGCCTTTGATCGTGATGGATGGTACAATACGTACGTTCAACGTTCTCCCTTGAGTCGTGTTTGGACAGAAGCTAACGGTAACCCCAAGGGGCGACGTGTGTACCATTTCCCCGGAAGGCCATCTACAGGTTGTGGGCCGGACAAAGGAGTTGATCAAATACAATGGCTTCCAGGTGTCTCCGACCGAGCTGGAGGCGTACATGCTCTCTCACCCTGCCGTTCTGGATGCTGCGGTGGGAGGAGTGTGGGATCAGACTAAGATGACCGAGTTGCCCACGGCGTACGTGGTGCTCAGAGAACACGTCAAAGAGCGAAAAGACAAGATTCAAGCGCTCAAGAACATTCAGCAAACCGTCGATGGGCAGGTGGCAGGATACAAGAAGTTGAGGGGACACGTCTGGGAGGTGACATCCCTACCGAGAAACGCGACCTTCAAACTCTTGCGGAAGCAGCTGGCAACGCACAAGACAGGACTCTGCTCTAGTGAAGGTGAAGCCAGGCTGTCCAAGCTGTAGCGAGCTGGGATGGGAACTCTGCACCCAGTATCATCAGCACCAATGATAGAACATCAGTACACAGGAGCATGTATTGTACAGATCGTTTACAGAGCCATCCAAAGATAAGGGCGGGTAAATCCGCCGGGAATCGGATCGGTGGTCGGTAACATGGGCAATATCTTGATTCGTTTATCTCTTTTAAGAAGCCGGTCTCTTATTCCGGACAGTGGGCGAGAGAGGGCGAGAAGATGAGGATAGGAGTGGACGAATCAGCAATAATAATACCTGGTTAATCATTTTTTTTTGGGTGATACACATTCTCTAGTTCATTCCTTTCCCGATTTCTCTCTCTCTCCCTTTTCTCTCTTGCGTATACTGTATGCGGTGGTCTTTGGGCAGCATTGGTCAGTGGCTACACTCGCCGACTAGTTTATCGAGCTTGTCGATCGACCCTCGAGTTGGTTATGCAGTGTAACAGTAACTGAGCCCATTGACTGGAAGACGGGAAGTTTCTTGCGTCATTCACGCAACCACCAACTTGGTCTTGCAAGGGCTCGCCGCTCGCGTGCCTTGCAATCACCTCCTAGACTGGGACCGAAGCCGGCAATTCACAGTTACAGTTGCCTGTTCCTGGATTGACGTACGAGACTTCCCTACTTGGGACGCCGCCAGAAGAAGAAGAAAGAATAAAGATGGCTTCGTCACTCTCTATAGGAGCTTTCCTTTCTTCGCACTCTGCACACTCATTACACGCGTCAAGATACCTCTTCATCATGTTGTTGCTATTGCAGCTGGCGTGGGCTTTGGTCGTCCCGCCGTTGCTACAGCAGGCTGGTGCCAACCCCCTACCTCACATTCGACAACAGTATGCGCCAGACTCCTTGGGCGCTGTAGCGAGCGAGAGCAGTGTTTGCAGCCAGATTGGAATTGATCTGCTCCGAAATGGCGGCAATGCTGCAGATGCGGTAAGTAAGCTTTCTAACAACGATTCGAAAGACTCCAGGGTGACAATCTCCCAGCTCGTTGGCACTGTCTTTTGCACCGGAGTTATTGGCATGTATCATAGTGGCATCGGCGGTGGCGGGTTCATGATCGTCCGCAGTTCAAACGGGAGCTACGAAGTGATAGATTTTCGAGAAACAGCCCCTGCTGCTGCTTTTCAGGACATGTACAACAACAACACCAACGCGAGCATCTTCGGGGGTTTGGCGAGGTACGTGCTTCATTCGATCCACAAGAGATGCTCTCAGACTCATGGTGGTCGACAGCGGAGTTCCAGGAGAAGTCAGGGGCCTGGCTCATTTGCATCAGAACTACGGGAAACTTCCCTGGACGCAGGTAATGCAAGGCGCCATAAAGACGGCTAGATATGGCTGGACGGTCAGCGAGGACTTGGTGCGTTATATGGAATCGGGAATGGCTTCCGCCGCAGTTCCCAATTTCCTCGTCGACGATCCAAACTGGGCCATCGATTTCGCACCCAACGGCACCTTGCTCGGAGCTGGAGACACAATAACACGGAAGAGGTATGCGGACACGCTCGAAACCATTGCTCAGCAAGGGCCTGATGCGTTTTACCGTGGCCCAATCGCCGAGGCTACCATTGCAGCGGTGCAAGCGGCAAACGGAACCATGACACTCGAGGACCTCCACAACTACACCGTCGCCGTTCGGCAAACCGCCAACATCACGTATCGAGGATATCGTTTATTCAGCTGCAGTGCCCCCAGTTCGGGAGAGGTCGCCCTCTCGGTGCTCAAGACCCTAGAACTGTATCCCGATTTCTTTCATGCTGGAACGGTCAATCTGAGCACGCACCGATTGGACGAAGCAATCAGATTTGGATATGGGGAGAGAACCAGTCTTGGTGATCCATCCTTTGTGCACAATCTGTCGGCGTATCAGGATGAAATGCTGTCTGACGCGACAGCACGCGATATTCGGAGCAAAATTTCAGACCTTCGCACGTTGAATGTCTCGGCGTATGATCCAGCTGGGATTGAATCCCTGGAAACCCCAGGCACTTCTCATATTGTTACAGCAGATGCCTCTGGGATGGCCATCTCCTTAACGACGACAATCAACTTGTTATTTGGGTCGCAGGTTCTGGTCCCCGAGACGGGGGTGATCATGAACAACGAAATGAACGACTTTTCCATTCCCGGATCGTCGAATGCCTTTGGATATGTTCCAAGTCCGTCCAACTATGTGCGACCGGGGAAGAGACCACTGTCATCCATCTCACCCACCATCGTTGAGTATGGGAACGGAACGCTTTACTATGTTACCGGCGCGGCAGGAGGGTCAAGGATCATCACAGCCACAATTCAGAGTCTGGTCCACGTGCTTGACCAGAACATGACAGCTCCACAGGCGCTGGCGCAGCCTCGCCTTCACGATCAACTCATTCCAAACCAGGTGACGTTTGAGTACGCGTACGACAACGAGACAGTGGCATTCATGAAGTCGAGAGGCCACAACATTTCCTTTGTGAGTGACTCTTCCAGCCCGGGAAGAAGCGCCCGTTCTTCCACCTAGGCGTTCACCTCGATTCAGGCTGACACGATCATGATTGCAGATTGCACCCGGCCAGAGCTCAGCTCAAGTAAGTTACCCGTCTGAGATCATATCACAGGACACGCCTGTTCCCCCTACAACCGTTGTCCATACTAACACCGACCTAGAGCATCCGCCGTCTACCCAATGGCACGTTTGAAGCAGCAGGCGGTAAGTGTCCCCACAGCTTGCGCCACTGACTGCAGAAGCACCCCTCTGCTCATCCTTATTCATGCCGGCATAGGAATTTCATCACTGACAATATGCAGAACCCCGGCAGAAAAACAGTGCAGGTTTGGCAATATGAACAAGTTGGCCAAGCAAGTCGTTCAAATGGAATATAGATTGGACGCGTGGCCCGCATATATCGAGTCTAGCAATCGAGAAATTGCCGCGCACTCAATAGAGAGCTATACCACCACAATGTGCGAGGTATCTTTGTACGGTCTTGACTCGTCCTCTCAGCTGCAGTGGAGAAGTGTGCCGCAATTGCCGCGGACTCTCCATGTCTTAGGCAATTTGGAGAAGCGGAGGACTTGACTAGTCTGTAGTCCGTAAATTGCGCCAGTAGCACCAGTAAATAGTGTCTTGCAGCCCGAGGGCCCCCATCACCAATCATTGGGCATAACTTTTCTTTGTGTTCGGTGCACAAATTGGCTTTGGTCGTGTGGCTTTGGTGCCCTGTGTATAACGATCTGGAGCACAGTGAGCCCCTGATACACCAACCCACCCAAGACTCTTTAGTCTTCTACCCAAGAGACAAGCGATATCCAAAATCCCAAGGTAGTTAATCAGAGGCGCAGGGCATTGCTCATTTATTTTTCTCGTCCTATACACGAATTCGGCTGTATATAAGCAGAGCTGCTGTTTATGGCTAACCCTGAGTTAAGCACGACTATGAACGCCGTCTCCTCCACACGGATACTGGCCTTGCCGAACAGTGGGGAGGGGGAATCTACAGCGACCTTTTTTGATAAGGGGTCCAAAGAGGCATGAACCGCTTAATAAATACATAGCTTGCTGGGCATTTCCACCGAGATCGCGGAGATGCTGTCCTTGTGGTAGATCGATATCTGCTTCTCCTTGGACTTTTCCCCTTGTTCTTCCTTTGTACGAGTGTTATCTACCGTGGACCATTGTATTCTTGTTTTGAAGCTGGATCCTGCCCTTTAACCGAGTTTTGACTTGATGATTTCTGGGGATCTTCGCCCCCACAAACCCGTAACCACTTGATGTAAGGTTTTTCCGAAAGCAAAAGTCCATCCCATCGAGATAGATATCCCCAGACGCTTCGCCTTTGTTCTTTTTAGACGTTTTCTGTATACTGACCGACGCAAAATGGATTACCAGATCGCATGGCGGCCAAGTCGCCCGATCTGGTTGCTTCGCACGACAAGCATCTCGAAGCCGGCGAAGAAGCAAACACCTCCAGCCATTCATCCACCCTCTCGGAAAAGGACCTAGAAGAACCAAACCCAAGGCCGCTCGATCCCGATGTAGAACATGGCATCCCGGTCATCGATACCACTCAGGATGCCGACGAGAAGGCCCTGCCCGCCGTCACCGTCGACCACGATCCAAATATCGTCGATTGGGACGGGCCGAATGATCCGGAGAAAGCCATCAACTGGACCAACAGGAAGAAATGGTCCAACGTGGCCATCATATCTTCCGTCACCTTCCTGACACCACTGGCCTCATCGATGGTCGCCCCAGCCACACCCTTGATCATGAAAGAATTCCACTCATCCAACAACACCATCGGTAGTTTCATTGTCTCCATTTACATCCTGGGCTACGCTTTGGGTCCTCTGTTCATTGCCCCGTGCAGCGAAATATGGGGAAGGCTCCTCGTCTACCATGTCAGCAACTTTACGTTCGTCATCTGGACGATGGCGTGTGCTTTGGCACCAGGAATGGGGTCGTTGTTGGTTTTCCGTCTTCTGGCAGGAATCGCGGGAAGTTGCCCAATCACCATCGGGGGTGGCTCTATAGCAGATCTCATTGCCCAAGAGAAGAGAGGTGTTGCGATGGCCTTGTTCACCCTGGGACCGCTCATGGGCCCAGTCATTGGTCCTGTGGCGGGCGGATATCTGGGCCAGGGCGCCGGCTGGCGCTGGATCTTTTGGCTCATCACCATCGCTGGCGGCGTCATGTTGTGTGTCTCGGTCATCTTCCTGCGGGAGACGTTCGAACCCACGCTCCTGGAGCAGCGGGCAAAACGACTCCGCAAGGAGACGGGGAATCTCAATCTACGCTCCAAGCTCGACCAGGGTCTCGCCATGCGCGTCTTCTTCGTCCGTGCTCTTGTGCGGCCCACCAAGATGCTCCTCTTCTCGCCGATCGTCCTCCTGCTATCTGTCTACATGGCAGTGGTCTACGGCTACCTCTACCTCCTCTTCACCACGCTCACCATTGTCTTTGAAGGGCAATACCACTTTAACCAAGGCACGGTTGGACTGAGCTTCCTCGGAATTGGCATCGGTTCCATGATTGGCCTGGTCATTTTCGGGACGCTGTCAGACAAGGTCGTCAAGAAGTTGTCGGCCAAGGGAGAAATGAAACCCGAATACAGGCTGCCACCACTCATCCCTGGCAGTCTCCTCATCCCCATTGGCTTGTTCTGGTACGGATGGTCCGCGGACAAGGCGGTCCATTGGATTATGCCCATCATTGGCACGTCCTTTGTCGGATTCGGTTTGCTCGCCACCTTTATGCCGATGCAGACATATCTCGTCGACGCATACCACATTCACGCCGCCTCGGCCATCGCCGCCAACACCGTTTTGAGAAGTTTAATGGGCGCCTTCCTCCCCCTGGCGGGGCCCGAAATGTACGCGGCTCTGGGCCTGGGCTGGGGCAATTCTCTGCTTGCATTCATCGCGCTCGCTCTGGCGCCGATGAGTTGGTTCTTCTTTCGCTACGGCGAGACGATTCGGAAGAAATACCCGGTCAAACTCTGACCTCGAGCATTTTCTTTTTTTTTTTTTTCCCCCGGGGGCAAAAACAAAGCATATCGGGAAGCGAGCGTGGGTCGTTTTGATCTAGCATTCATCATATAGAGACAAAAGACGTTTAAATAGACTTTCTTTTGAGACTACCAGAGACCTCTCGAGGCCAAAAGTAACAATATCCTCTCGATTCGGCAGAGGCCTTTTTTTCCTGTATGGCTATCTAGCGAAACGAAACCGTGTATCGAAGCCGTATGTAGATTTTATCGCCAAAGAAGGTTTAAAAAGTGGACTTGGATGCGCGTGGCTCCACCATGTCACAGCCTCGTGTGAACTACATGCCTTACCAAGGTAGTCCTGTCTCAACGGTTTGCCAGCGATATCCTCAACACGTAAGAAAAATCACTCAGCACTCAGTCTTGGGATAAACAGAAACACGACAAAGGCCTATTGACTCGTAGTTTCGAGGTTCCCGCGCACCATTCATTTGCTTCCCGCGGGCCCGACAACGCCTCTCCTAATAGCTCTTTGTATGCAGATGTGGTAGAAACCAAAATAAAGGGGAGGGGTGGGGGTAGAAACAAGGCCCCTTTGAGTTTTTGTTTTTCCCTTTGTGCTGGGCAGAAGAGAAAAGTACGGAAAGACATGAAGGAGAGCGGTGGTGGTTTCAAAGTTTGACAAAGACACACCGAGACACAGTCACAGACTGGAGGCAATGGCGCAAACTGTTTATACTATCGCTGTGCTTGGGGACAAGGAATCGCCTGCATATGAAGCGCCTTGACTGTGGAAAAGGGGCGAGTGGTCTTGAGTGAACAATGAAGACGTGTTTCGCTTTGTGTCCAGGTCTATGGGGTGGGTCAGTTGGAGTGGTCCGCTCTGCGACCTGTGGACAGTAATAAGACGATAAACAAAGGACTTTCCCATACCTGCTTCTTGCCAGTGTCGACCTCAGAACACCACAGTGAACAACCACCCCTCTCTAAATCCCTGGCTTCTCACCCCCTGAGCATCTCAAGACTCATGCTCGGGCCGCCTCTGTCACACATAGCAGTAGTAACTTTCCATTCTTAGCCCAACGATGTTTCGGCCAGCCCGAGAAACACATGTAAACCAGCGAGCCGAAATGCTCTCCTCTCCGCTTCTTCCACGGCCTCCTCTGAGCTATGGGCTCGCATTCGCGCAAAGCGACATGCAAAACCTGGATAGCAGGTATAGCAATACTAGGCCTGGGGTGCTTGGTGTTTGTCTCTCCAACGCAGGCTGCAGGTGTCTGAGATTTGGGATTGTCAGAATGTTCCTTGAGCATTTGAGACGCGCCCCGAGACAATACAACAAAGCCGTAGACAAGCAGTGAACACAATTGACCCAACGAGCAAAGCACATCACCCTGTCTCTGTCCGTAAAGGCGACTCATATCAAAGAACTGTGGCATGGCAATTTCAAGCAACTGCCTTGAGGGACCTCGTTTTGCAGTTCTTTAAAGCCTTGCAATCTTTCCTGTGATGTTGTACCTGGGTGCTATCTCAAACCAAAAGCTTCGTTCAAATCTGCCTCTCATACACAACCTTGAATCCAAGAAATACCAACACAGATCGCACAAAATGCGATACTCAACAAAAACATTGTTTCCTAGCGACATCTGGATGATCGGGCAGCAGAAGGTCGAGAACAAGAAAGCCAAGCCTCAGCCTCAGGAGTTTGTCGATACCGCCAGAGCCGCAACTTCGAACACGATCGTCATGGCCGATTATCTGATCAAGGCCCAGAAAAAGCAACAAAAAGCCAAATCTGAGTCATTCCGTCTCCTCATGGACCATCTCGGCTTTTTCCACGATGGCCTCAGCTTCTGGGCCAATCAATTGAGGAAAAAGCCTGGTCGGATCGACTTCCAAGGCGAGTTAACCAGACTAGAGGACTTGAGGATAGACTTGAGAACGCTGAGGAGAAAAATCCGAATCGTCAAGCCGGGATTCAAGCTGTGGAGAAAGAAATGGGACCTTCCAACCGTCTCGCCAATAGTGCTGATTCTTGACATGGAGCTTCAGGCCTTCAAGTCAGCTCCAAAAACTCTTGGTAAGAGCCACTGGTGCTGTTAGTTTCAACCCTTACTGACTTGAAATTGTATAGATGAAGTTGAAAGCGAAATACTTCAATGCTTGGTGCTGGGACCGTGCGACGAAATACCCGACCAGGCAGGTACAGGTCTTCCTGCCATCGTCGCGGTATGTATTAGTGGTGAGCAAGTCATATGGGGGGAGTGCAAAGCGCGATGGTGGCCGTTTTGTGTCGTCGACTCTACCTTCGGCGAAATGCGACTTGGCCGACTTCCGGACCACGAGGATGCTTTACAGCAGCGGACCATAGAGTTTCAGGACGCCTGGGGCAAGGCCAAGGGCAACATGGAAAAGATGGATGAACTCGTCAAAAACCTTGAACCATTCGAACACGAGGAGCAGCTGAGAGCGTATCATCTCTGCTTTGATGGTCGAACGAGCATGTTGAATCGATGTCCTCCGTGTCTCAAGTGCTCTTACGTGTATAGGTGGGGTGGGGAGGAAAAGGTGGAAAAGGCAATCCAGAAAGGGAAGTTTAATCGGGGCAAGAACTGTGCTGAAGACGACGTCCATTTGCGCCTTGTCTCACAACTGGCCGAGGACGCGCAGGATGATTGACAAATCGAGTCATTTATCGAAAATGCCATCAGCAGCATGGAGACCGGATTAGGATCGGAAGCATCTTTGATGATCATCTTGGTCCAGGACCGTGGCCTCAGTCCAATCTGATGTGAATCGTTGTGCGCGGCGATATCTCTCGCCGATGGCCAACATGATGTGAATGTCGTCCCATTCGCTTTGCCATGATCGCTGGGCAGATCCTCGAATCTGATAGAAGTCTGACACGTCCCAAGATCAAGATGGTCTTTTCTCATTTTCTGTGACGAAGTGAGAGTCGAGCATTGTTTCGAGTGAAATGATCGACCACGAGACCAATCAGCATAAGAGATAGAGAGGTAGAGAGTATAGGAGGGAAGCACGGGGCCAGAGTGGCTGAAGGGGAAGATTGCAGCTCATTGTCCGCCATTTCGATTGGCCCAACGGGAAGTCCGTAGTCAGTCGCTGGTGTCTGATCATATGTACCGAGTACATATCTAGATCATCAACAGATGGCATTTTCTGATCTCTGATTGCTTGGCGCGACGAAGATTTAGCTAATCCTGTAGAGACCTAGCTCATGACGTCAGTCATCACGTGATCAATATTTCGTCTTCATGTGTTTCCTCTTATCGCAACCCGCTTCAAGCCTACCCTTCCTCCCTCTTCTATCGCTCAGCTGATCAATTTTGTGCCATGGGCAAGTCCCATGTGCATTCCGAAGAGGAGGTTTTCCCAAGTCGATTTTTACGGGTGCGGAGGGGGCAAATATACGCTCTAAAAACTCCCTGAGCTCGATTAGGCTTTGTGAATTACATGACCACTACTTAGAGACAGATATAACCCACCCAGACCAGGACACGACCATAAGCCCTGTCCGTTCCGTTTGCCTCCCACGTCTAATAAGCAAGAGAACCATTGTGGACCTAGTTGGCCAATGAATCACTTGGTCCCGGTTGAACCGCCGGCGGATCATTCGAATCATCATGAGCTAACACCTCGGACTTCAGAAGTTCATCGCGATACTTCTCTAATCCCGCTTCCCCGGCATAATATTGAATTGGTCGCTCACAGCTCTATGAGTTCCAAAAAGGATCACGAGCGTCCACGATCACCTGGGGTCTAGGGCTGTCCTTCTCATCTCCGTCGACCTCTGGATTGACCTTGCTGATGTATCCACCGGAATAAGAGCGGCGTTGTGCGATGCGTTGTACGTCAGAGAATGACATGCGCCAAACCGCGACCGGTTGCACGGCTTCACACCAGTCCCACAAGAGAGAACCACGGTGTGTCTTCCTTATCGCCTGTGGCCCCTCTTCAGAGTGTGATTGCTCTAAAAAATAAGGTAAAACCGCAAAGTTTTTGAAGACTATCCAAAAGCTTTTATCGGCAGGATGAAGCAAGACGTCAAATGGTACTTTGCTGGCCCTGCTGTCGTTTCTGTCGATATCGTCGTCCATCGAGGCTGCTATTGTTCCAATCGCCAGGCCATAGCGTAAGTTTGAGCTGTATTCTGTGTCTCCTGAACTTCGGAGATGAGGTGGGATAATGATTGGAGGGTCATACTCGACCCAGCATGGATTCGATGAAGTTTTCCCTTTCGGCTTCCGTATCCTTCTAGGGACGAGAGGGCCCCCGGGTTCGACGTATGGCCGCAGGTCGATATAAAAATACATTCGACCATACTTGAATAGCGGGAATGGGATCTCCGGCTTACCGGCCTTGGTTAGGGGCATGTTGTAACACTTGAGGTTGGTTTTCGTTCTCAAGTCACGAACCTGCTTGGGGTCCCAGATATCGAGAGACTTGATCAATTCGCAAAAGTCAGTTGGGGTCAGCCTTAAAGCCTTGAACTGGGCCGTGCTCTCATTCGCTAGGAATTTCGTGCTATATGGCTCGTCAGGATTCTCATCCCAGTCCGTGAACAGGGCGAATTTGGATTTTGGCCAAGATTTCTCCGCGATCTCGTATGGGCTGAGCTCTGTGCTAGTGTGAGTCAAGTTTGCTGAAGTTTTCTAGATTGAGATTTACCTTCTGTCTTACAAGTCTCGCTATCGTCGTCGTCATCGTCACGGTCATAGTCGGAACGCTCGAAAGGCGTTTCCCAAGCCCATTCGTCTTCCACGAGTTTACGAAACTGCTGTCGTAATTCATCCGTCAACTCCAGTTTCGGGTCTTCGCTAGATGGCTCTGCCATGATGTCTGCGGTGCTCACGAGGCTGCTGTCGACAAGGGCAACGATGTGGTTGGGGTGAGAGGATAGTAATGGAGAATCAGTAGGGTGGAACAGGAGAAACCAGGTCAAGACCTCGGTCTTAAGAGCCAGCTCGAGAGGGAGTGTGTTTGTCTGCGAACGGATAGACAAGAAATGATTCGGAATGCCTCCTGCACCAAGCGAGGATCCGAGGAATGTGGGATGTGGGATGTGGGGTGATGGAGCCGAGTAAACAATCAAGGTCCCTCTTTCTTTCTGGTTGCGTGTCACTCCGCTTGCGTGAGCCTGTCGTGAGTTCTTTGGGTCCGGACTCGGTCCAAGCACCAAAGTGACGGTTTTGTCACTTGTCACCATCCCTAGTGCCAGGAGGATGCGAACGCAAACGTCCGAGCTGAGATAGAGGAATGATGTATCGAATGCCACGATGGATTTGTAGGTTTCGAGTGTCGAGCTCCAGGTTGCCCACAGATACCCGGAATGCAATTTCTCCAACAAGTACTTCCTCCCTCTCGGTCCGTCTCAAACTCAGAGACATGATTGCGCCAGGGCCAGGCAACCAAGTCGAGTCTGGCGAATAATCTGTCGACAACCTCCGCCCTGGCCCGGACTGGGTACGGATTCATGGCTACCTACGTCAGGACATCTTGAAAAGAGCGAACACGAAAGGGTTCAACAAGAGCTTGGGACGAGAGCTGACTGCAAACGGGACATACAAAAGGAAATAGAGCCCTTTTGCACTGTTGTCTGGCTCCCACGAACGACCTGATCGCTGACCCGTGATGCTCAATAGCAACCGGAACCGAATCGCTATTTGACTTGAGAACAGAGGAAGATAAAAACATTGTTGTAACGCAACGAGGTGGTATGGGGGATGTGTGCGTTGTCAGGACCCCGGAAGAGGCCTCACTGCGGCATGGTCTTATACTTTTGAACGAGATCTTCCATCAATCCAGGGATGGATGAGCGTTGATCTAGGTTACTCTCTATGCAGTGCAACACCTGGGCACAGCGTAAAGATTACAAGTCAGGAGTTGCATAATATCGTCAAAGGAGGATTACTCCTCGATAAATGGTCCGCCCAGCTTGTTATTTCGGTCATACTTCTTCTTGATCTCCACCAGTTTACTCCAGTTGGCTCCAAAGACCTAGTGGTGATGGGCGTCAGTATGTGTTGACGGCTTCAACGATACATCTCCATACCTTCGTCGGGTCAACAAAATCTTCCAGGAAGTTAGGAAAATAGTCGGCCCCCGTATGACCTGGACGTATCTCAAATGGTGCTTCTGCCAATGCTTTGTGTGCCAAAGCGTCGCTTTCGGGTGAGCCTGGAATGACACCCGTGCCTAATTGAAGATTGTGTTGGTTTGCTGTATGAGGCCAGGCGGAGACGAGGCTGGGGAAGCCAACGGATTGGTAGACAGCCTTGGGAGTTAACGAACGCATCTTGGAAGAAACCCCTTGGAGTAATTCTTACCTTTTGCATGACTTCCATGAGTACATAAGTGCCCATAACAAGTCTTAGATCAGCCTCCAAGAGTGACAAATACCAATTCCAAGCTCGGAGTATCAAACCCTCATCGACAGAGGGAACAGTGACGCCGGCCGCCCAGGTATTAATCTTCCCGAATGGGGCTTTCGACGCATCTACCCCAGGTTAGCTAGGAGACTTGTCGACTCTCACGAGTTTCGGTTGTCCCTACCGAATTGTTGGTTCACTCCTCGGAAGTTGAGGGTCTTGGTGAGGTCGACGGCTCCTGGGATGTCCAAGGCCCATTTGAAACCCGCTCCACTTCTACCATGCTCGGGTCCGTTGGCGTCGTATGCAAAAATTGCCAGTCCAGGGTTTGCCTCCCGGCCCGCATACGTGCCTGCTGTCATGTCAAGGCAATACAAATGTAGAGCCATCTTTACATCATCACATCGTGAAGCAAAAGCAGCAGTTTCGCGCGCCACATCCTTCAGAGCCGCCGGTGGATAGATGATCTGTCCACAGAATATTGAAGATGGATACTTGTAAACTCGCATCTTGAAGGCGATGGCGACTCCAAATCCTCCGCCGCCGCCGCGAAGAGCCCAAAGAAGGTCTGGTTCCTCACTTGCCCAGAGGATGCTGCCATCCACTTTGATAACCTGAACGTCAAGCAGATTTTGAGGATCGCAAGCGAGGCCGTACTCTGAACTCAGCCAGCTCTGTCCGCCGTGGAGAATTGATCCACCAACGCCAACATAGGTACACCGAGCACTGACGGCTGCGTATCCCGGAGCAGTTTCTTCGAGCTTCGCGTCAATCTCACCCCAGCAGTGACCTGCACCGAAAGTAATGGTTTCTGTGTCTGGGTCGAATGAGAACGCCTTGAAGGCTGATAGTGAAATTAACACGTCTTTGCTCGTCGCGTTCCCGATTCCAGTGCAGCGGATGCCAATGTCGAGGTCCGTGGTATTTGCATATGCAATCATCCCGCTCAATGCTTCCACCGTCCTAGGAGAGACAACAGCTAGAGGGTGCTTGTTGGCCTGCACAGCCCATGTTTTTGACTGCTCTTGATAATGAGACGATTCGGGCGTCACGATATCAGAAGGGGACACAAAGGCCAGTAGACTGGCAAGCTTTGGATCGGCCATGTCTATCTTTCTTTAATCCTGACAGAAGAGACTCATTGAGGTGGCCGGGCCCGGGTATGGAAAGGGACATTGAATTTCGATCATAGCAACTGTCCATGTCATGTTGTCAATCCTCGGGCATCACTGGGCTGGCCGCCTGAGAACCGCAGCGTGCGAATACATCCACGTGTGTCTCACCACTTGGCGGGACGCCTCTCAGATCCGTCTTGTCTACCAATCGTAGAAGTCTATCTTTGATCGGCGAGACTGTGGTCGGCCCAATGCCAAGCAGCTTCGCCAGATTCGTGTAGTTCGGTGTTGTTGCCACTCGGCCTAACACTCTCTCGGAAGCTGCATCGTTATTTCTGATGGTTCCTTGCTTTTGTCGCAGTTGTCTCTCAAGTCGATTGGTGATCATGGCTTCACTCGTCGAAATCGACTCGCTTGAAATCTTAGTCATCGTCGACAACGAAGTCGATCCAATATCCTCATACCAGCACCCAGAATTGAAGGTCTCGGGACAACTGGCAGATGTTGCTATGAGAGCCCCGATTCAGGATGGAACTAGGGGAGGTTCAAATTTCGAGATCCGCATGGACAATATCTGCTGCGGGGCCCATGGCTTGTCATTAATGATTGTAAGCAGACTGGGTGTGACTACCAGTGGTTCCTACTAGCTGCTGATCAAAATTCGGAACTGATGCGTGGTCCAGACTGCCGTCAAAGGGGACAAGCGGCGTACGGTCCTGTTTGATACAGCCCCAGAAGAGCACATCTGGGAACTCAATGCGAAGAGGTTGAGAGCAAATCTCCGCTCGGTCGATAGGATACATTTGTCTCACTGGCACCGTGACCACTCCGGAGGCATTTTGAAAGCAATTTCCATGATAAATGATGCAAAAGGCAGCCGCGGCATTCCGGTGGACCTCCATCCAGATCGACCAACATATCGAGGCTTCTTGGGCCCGGCTGGTCCAGTCTCGCTGGAGAGGGATCCCACGTTCGCAGAAATCGAGTCTGCTGGAGCTACGATCGAACAGAATAATCAACCGCACACGATCCTCGAAGATATGTTCCTTGTCTCCGGGGAGATTCCTCGAGTGACCTCGTATGAAAAAGGCTTTCAGCGTGGCATGAGGTTCAATTCAGAGAGCTCTCGTTGGGAAAGCGACGAGCTGATTTTGGATGAACGGTTCCTGATGTGTAATGTGAAAGGTAACGAGTCCTCCTGCTCGTCCGAGTCGACGCTGACACAACCATAGGAAAGGGAATTGTGGTTTTCACTGGGTGTAGCCACGCAGGAGTGGTGAATGTTGCCAAAAATGCTGTGCAGCTGGCTGGCGGTGCCCTTCCACTATTCGCCGTCGTTGGTGGATATCATCTTGTCGGACCAAACGAAGCATACATCAAGGACACAGTGGCAGACTTGAAGGCTTTGAACCCTAGCGTCCTGATGCCGGGACACTGCTCCGGGTGGAGAGTCAAGTATGAAATAGAAAGGGTAATGCCTGGGAGGCTAGCCCCGTCGACCGTCGGCACGCAGTTCGTGTTGTAGCAGCACAATTCTTTGCTTGTTGTTCCATGCACGCAGCCAGAGGCATGCTGAATAGTAAAGTCTCAAACACTATGTATCTTCCCTCCTCTGCTGCAGGATTTTGTTCTTTCCATATCGTAGTAGCAGCACGTGCAAAGGATAGGCCGGAGTTAGGTCGAAAGCGGATTTAGGGGACTCTCATATATTAACCCAGCACTTGTAAACCCAATGTCCAGAGGATCTGTACCATAGACTTTGACATTCATCAACTAGGTCAATATGACTTCCATTCAACGCAGCATTGCCATTGCATTCTTGGACACGTTCAAGGACCTCGACCTCGAGGCAAATCTTGCTCTCAGAACGGCAGATTGCGTCCATACCATCGCCCCTGCAACATTAGGGATCCCTCCGAACATGTCAAACCAAGACTTCGGAGCACACCTCTTGTCTCTGAAGGAATTTATTTTAGCGATTCCTGTCACCCCCAAGAAGATTTTTGAAGGAGGTAACCTTGTCACCATTTGGGCAACCAGTGAAACGACGTTCCGCGAACAAGCAAAGGATACAGACTCGACGGTTGACTGGAGCTATGAGGGAGAATATATCTTTGTCTTCACCTTCAATCAGGCGGGCAAAATCCAGCACATACTCGAATTTGTCGACAGCAAAAAGGTTGAGAACGCCCGAGTATTGTTCCAGAGAGCTGCCCGGAATATAGAGGCGGGGAAACAGCACGAATAGTGCTCGCCAGGATTAGCTTTAAAACACAATATCCAAAAAGAAACCCCGCATGGTTGAAGAAGCAGGGGGGCAAATACCCAGTACAAACCTGTCCATGTTGAATCAGATTGCTGCCTGGATAGAGAATCTCCAATATGGAAGCTGATGATGGCCAAACATACTTCAGAAAATGGGATAGATGTGGTTAGATGCCAATGAAGATATCAACGCCGTAACGACCCGGGAGAGCCCTGTCTATCGAGGGTGAGGTGCCGTGCTCGCAGTATGGGACTTTATACATTGTCAGGGAGTCAAGCAAGTGGTCAAATATCTGTGCACCTTTCTACCTCTCATTTCATTTCATAATGGCAGAAAATGTTGGGGAATCCGGCTCTGAGGCGACCTAGGGCTCAAAGGTCACTTACTTGGACGTACATTCTTTGTTTTCGACTCGCTGTAAATAGACGCCGTTCGCCGCTCGAACAGACTTTTCCCATGATCATTTCATCTTGGTCCTTCTTCCAACACAACGTGTCTTTGGCCGTGAGAAATAGAGCTCGATTTTGAGGATAGGCAAGACATGGCGTGGCGGGGTAAGATTGACCTATACATAGATGTAACAGGTTTTGCGTCTGTTCGGCTGCTATCTTTTGACCTGGTGGCCATCGAAAGTAACAGCATCTGCAAGGTTCAAATTCAAAGTGACACGGACGAAGAGACTCCGACAGAGCCACAAACCCAAGTTCTTGTGATTCGAAATGCCGTTGACACGGATTGACGCGGAAGTGGTCACTCGATCGAGTCCAGCTGTGGCAATGCTTTCCACCGTTCGTTGAGTGGAATGACGAAAATGAGACATCAAGAACCAAGGGTAGCTTCAGGTCGAATTGATCTGTGGGATTGGCGCTGGACCTAAATTCAGCGCCGACAGCGGCCATTCAAAGTGACAACTGATGTCTTGACTGAGTGAGCCTCTCTCCTCTCTAATAGCCTCTTTCGCAATTGAGCCTGGACTATCCTAATTGATCGATCTCACATTCTCAGCAGCATCATGGCGGACAATGGTTCGTCAAGGACTCAGTCAATGCAAAAGTTCCTCGTTTTGAGGCTGACGAGTTGAGGCGCAGATTCTTTGGCCGGCGTGAAGGAAGCATACGGTAGGGCTTTCCACCGAAGATGCGTTGCTTCAACTCCGGTAACCTGTCATAGATACATTTCTCAAGCACCTTCAATTTAACCGGTCGGGTCGATAAGAGAAGATGCCACTCTGATGCATAAATCTCTCTGTAGGTAGCATCAAGGCTGTGTCAGGATGCGTGGGAAAGCTTCCTTGGGAAAGTTGAAACCACAGGTCGTTATTCGACCAACGCTTTAGCTGGGCTGAAACAGAAATTTTTCCTTTCGCTTCCTCCTCCATACACGTCATAGAAATTGCAACATCAGGTCCGCGATGAAGAGGAAACACCATCATGCCACCATGTCCGAGAAGAGAAAATTTTGGAGAGTCGGCTGCGGTTCAGCTGAGCCGAAACCCATGGGGATCCCTATGACAAAGCGGGTAAGGACACGCGGGACCAGAGGGCCAAAAACAGAAACAACAAGGTGGCGATCCAGTAGAAGAGCGACACCAGGCGGTGCGTCATGAGTAACCAACTTGACCAAGCTTCTCCGGATATTTGGGCTAAATTGCGGGGCGATCGGAAGACGGGACAGAGAGGAGAGTACGGAGAGGGTGAGGTGTGCGAGAGCACTGACTCGATCTGCATGGGACACGCGAGAGAGAGAGAGAGAGAGAGAGAGAGAGAGAGAGACAGAGAGAGATACTCCCAAAGGAGCTACTGTAGTGGTAACCCTCAACAGAAAGAGGCAGTTCGAGGGAGACAAAAGGGGCTAAGCACTGACCATGCCGGTGCCAATTCTGGGCAAACAATTGAAGCGAGAAAATCCAGCAGAGACTGTGACAGGTTCGCTTGCCGTTACCCTTGTTGTTGCATCATTTCATCAGCTGGTGCTGCTACCATCCTTCGACCATGGCATCCATGGGCAGAGTAAGCTTTTTCTCTCACCATCACAACCACTGGCATGCCCTCGCTTCAAGCAGGGTCCAAAATAACATCCCTCGCCCACACGTGGCAGTCGAGCGCCAGTTGAGCGCTTCTCAGGGACCTCACCACAGGTATTGGCCGTGAGTCTGTGGCCTCTGCCCTCTCCAGTTTTTGCTAATCCAGCTCCGGCTAGCCATGCGACGTGCATACGGCCGTTATCACTGCTGAAGCGGCATGCGACGAGGCTCTCCAATATCCTAGAGAAAACTCTCCATCCTCATGTTCGAAGCGCCCAAGGCTCAGGCACTGCATTGTGGTTACGATAGCCCTGACAAAGTCGCCCGCTTGCGCCCCCATCTCACAGCCTGGCCCACGGAGAAAGATGCGACGCAACATTCCAGACAGCCGTTCCCCTGACTGAGAACAAGTTTGGCACGGTCAAGACTTATCTAAGTGCACGGGATTTCGAGTCAATGACCCAACCCACCCAAGCGCGGTCAAGTTAAATATCCAAAGGACACCGCTGAACAAGCAGTCAATTCGAAACAATCAGAACAATCAGTGGCCTCCTCGACTTTGTGAAAGCAAGCACCAACCTGGTAGTGGAACATGCATCTCGCATCGTAAAACCAACCTCGCAGCCCACATTCTCTAAATTATCCTCTCATTCACGGGTTCTCCCTCCCGCCATTCCGGATGGGCAACATTGGCCGTCCAAGCACAGGGTGTTTTCTGTGTCGCAAACGGAGGGTCAAGGTCGGTCATGCCGCGTCCCGGGTTTCTGGAAAAACATTCCTTGTGCTGACTGATGATCGTTCTAGTGCGACGAAGGACGCCCCGGATGCCGCAACTGTGCCCGACTTAAGAAACCCTGTCCCGGATATCGAGAACCAGGCTATGGCTTTATTCGAACCGCTGTCTTTGTATCCTCTAAACCAGCAGACAGCCCCAGCCCGAAATCGTCGTCATCCGAGAACCTCACACAAACAGCGCTTTATCGTGCCAGCTCGACTTCAACCGAGGGCGACGACAGCGATTCTGCGAACAGTGACTCGATCATCCACTCATTTTCTCGCGCAACCCAGAGACTACGCCCCGTGAACAGTCTGTCCGGCGATGTGACTGAACAGGCAGTTTGTTACTCCCTCACACAACTTGATGCCAACTCTCGGGTGCTATATGGGAACCATGCATTCACGTTCCTGCCCAAAATACTCTCCAGCTCAGGGCGAGATTCTTATCTATATGCGGCCATGCGATCAGTTGCCGCAATCAATCTGGCCAACCGATCACCGACTGTCGACATGCACTCCATCATCGAAGCCGAGTATGCGCGGGCAGTATCTAGCGTGACTGCTGCCCTAGCAGATCCTGAACAATGTTTAAAGGACGAGACTCTGGTTGCAGTTTGGTTGCTCGGCATCAGAGAGGTAGGGTTGCTCAGCCCATACCCCTTGTCGATCTTACTAACATCGAGCAGCTTCTGGCCAGTGTCAATGGACCACACGGAGGCTCTGCCCATCAGACGCACGTCGACGGGACTCTAATGCTTCTGCGTTTACGCGGTGATGAACAGTTTAGCCGCCCCGAGGGTCGTCACCTATATCACACACTTCTTTCGGCCATGGTATGGGCGCCTGGAAAGAGCTTGGGGATGCTGAGCGCTGACTTGTTTCAGCATTGGAAGCCTCTGTTCGCCAGCGAGGAGCCGTCACCAGAATATCTGATACTGGAATCACAATTACCCAAGGCCACCTCCACGATTCCAACGGCATCCTTGAGATTGAGGAACTTTTTCCACGGTGTCTCCAAACTGCGAGCCCGTATCAAGAATTTCCTGCTGATGCCACAGAATGCGTCTGTCAATAAATTCCAAACTGTGAGCTCCTACATGAGAGCTGCAGCCAGACTCGAGGACAAGGTCAGCGGATGGTGTGACATTTTTGACTGGCTTCCTCGAAAGGTGTTGGTCGACACACCGCACCGATACCTTCCTCGCACACCGTGGACGACGGGGACTCTCTTCAGGCTGCACTGCTTCGCGTCATGGGAGGCTTTCTTCCATTGGAACCGGTATTTTGTCGCAAAGATCTGTCTGCACGCAGCTCTACTCGACGCCATCGGTAGTCTTGGGAGCAACCATCCACGTTACGACGATGGAGATTTGGCGGAAGACACCTCTGAATTGGTCATCACCCACACCAGAGTGATACAGGAGACAGTCGGAGACTTTCTTGGCACCCTGGCTTTTGCCTTTGGAGACGTGGACAGAAACGGCCTGGTCCGTAACACCCCGACTGCAGTGGTCAGTGACGGGGCGTCTACTGAGCAGCGCGGCATCGACATCCCCAGCGCGTTACAAGTGCAAGCACCTTTGTCTTATCTGATCACTTTGAGATACCTTGGGCCAGGACAGCGAGAGGCCATGTTTTTAGCTCTGCAGCGCGTTCGGGCGGAGTTTAGTGTATACTGAAAAATGGATTTTCTCAGCCTTGAACTTGGACTAAAAGTCGATGCTCAAAGATACTGGACTGTGTAGAGCGGTTCAATACAAATTTCTTCCCACATGTGCTCCTTGCGCCACGCCCGTGGCCGATTTCATCTTGAAGAGATCGGATGTCTCTAGATTTCAGCCGTATCAGAAAGACAGAAACCCAGGTTTGGAATGTTTGTAGCTGAGGGTCATTCAGAACATGTCCAAATCCAAGTCATTGAGATCCATATCATTTCCCTGAAGGTCATAGAGAGCATCAAAGCTCATGTCTGCATCGTTGGAGTCCAGGTTTCCCATGGCGGCGACTTCATCTAGTACCTGATTAATTCCGTCAGCTTGGCCCTGATCTGTCTGCAGGTCCATTCCGCCCGACACCGCAGTAGCAGCGTCGAGATTGGGGTCGGCCGTATCCATGTTCGTAAGTTGCTGGGAAAAGTTGAACGAGTCTAAACCCATGTCCGGCACAGCAAGAAGATTCGTGTATGTTTCAACTTGCCGATATAGACGGACCACCCCTTCAGCAGCGAGAGTTTCCCCGCTCTTCAAGAGACTCCCCAGGTCGTGGTATTGTAAGCGCAGGGCGTCGCGAAGCCCGTTTCCAGCCATACAAACTGCGGTGGTGAGTGCATCAAGAGCATAAAGGAATACGTGACTGTCGCTCAGTTGTAGAAGCACCCCAACCATTGCCCGCAGGGTCGACTGGGGGCCATGGACTTGCACGGCTCGGCTCACGAGGGCAGAAATGTCCTCAAAGGGAGGCGCCTCCCCAATGTCCAGAGCAGTTGTGGAAGTAATTAAGTTTGCCAGGCAATGCTGTATAATGTTGAGGGTTCCTGGATTAGGTGTCTCTCGTTCTCGCTCCGAGACGAACGAAAAGTCCGGACACTGGTCCAGGGTCTTGAGAATGGAGTCGACGTCGTTGTCTTGTGCTCCAATAGTCTTCAGGCGCAACTTCAGCCTTGGCGCACATAATGTCAATATAGTGTGGTGGATATCCCGAGACTCCAACGGCCCTGGTGGTTTTATTAGAGCCTCCAACACCTTTCCAGCAACCATGCGCTCATGCTGGAAAACCTCTGCGACCCAATCCATTGCCGATATCAGGGAAGGGAGCAAGAAAGGCTCACGGAGATCTGGATTTTGTGAGCTGGGTCGCCCTGACACTGGTTGGTACTTACAGTCCAAGCCGGCTTGTAAAGAGTCATGAGTTAGCTTTCCCTGCTGGTGAGCCGTCATCGATTGTCGGAGGAGAGTGGGAATCAAGAGGTAGAAGTCGTGGGGACTGCAGTTTGTGAACAGTTCATCCCTAAGGCCTTCAGCCAAGTAAAGAGCGTTGATCCAGTTCCCCAAATGCAGTTTCCTTTCTTCAGAGAGGTTCTCTAGGCTCTCTTCGTTATGCTCATGCTCTAGATATCGAGCTAGGAATCCATCTTTCTTTCGTATACCCAAGCTTGAGTTTGACAACCCTAATCGATCTCTGCTTACCAAAATCAGAAGAAAGATGGCCCCAAAATCATCGTATACCGGTTGTGCCTCTCCTTCATTCAGTTAGCGGGCAACTATCTCGGGGGTTTGTTACTTACCATGTATTTCATCCCATCGCCACTCGTCCAAGAGCCCACAAAGTGGTCCCAGAAAATAGTCAGGACGAACGAATAGAGCAATGCAATTGATCGTAGTAGGTCTCCGAAGTATAGCATTGGCGAGATCTTTGAGATATTGTGTTTCCTTGTTTTGACAATAGTTATGCACGATCTAGGAGTTGTTAGGGGAGCTTCTCTTCAAAAAGGACGGCTTACAGACCTCAACAACCGCCTGACTGATGAAGCCTGCACTCCCATCGTTGCGGGTCAATTCCTCAACAAGTTTGGGTCCTCTCATAGGATTTGCGTGGACTTGTGCCACGAGGTCATCTTTAGCATACAAGCCCTTGCTCAGTCCTTTCAAAGTATCCTCGTTTCCAACGAGCTGTACTGCGATTTGTGCCGGGAGCAAGTGATGCAAAGTACAGACGTGCAGCAGCCTAGCTCCCGTCAAAAGAAGGTCTTGTGACGAAAGTAAAGACACCACCTGATGCCATGAGTCGGTCATGGCTTGTTCGGTATTGAAACTGTTGAATGAAGAGGCCGATATCATTGACAGAAGTGCTGGAAGTTTGTTCTGAATGAAAATCTGACACTGCTGCATGCATAAAGTTCTGCCAGGTGTAATGGTCTGGGCTTTGAGAATGGAAAAGGAGGACGTAAAGACGTCGATGAACATTGACTGGTAATCATTCTGATGGCGCGCTGAAAGCCAATGTACTGTCCCGCCATCGTCGATAGTTGAGCCTGCAAAGAGAAGACTTTCTAGGTAAAGCATTGTGCCAGCTTTGGAAGCCACCAACTGGCTATCTGCGATAGAGACTTGGAATTGAAGCGCTTGAATCTCGGAAGCAGGGGCAGGGGCATTGCCAGGTTGCGCCGAGCCATCATCGAGAAGGTTAATATGTTTCAAGACTGTGTTTATCCGCTCCATGAGCTGAGAGGAGAGCGTAGAATATAATGGCAAGCAGAGCTCAAAGGCCTGTTTCACTAGAGTGCGTAAGTTGTCGACAGCCACATATTTGTCCTTTTGCTCCGGGCTCTTGGCAATAGATAAAGATTCGAGTCCAGCGTCAGTTGCGGTCATAGATGCCATGAGGAAGGCGAGCAATTCGATGGTGCTGCTGAGCTCCATTCCTGGTGGCTCGGAATCTCCTCGTGATGCTTGCCGTGCCAAAGTAGAAAGCCATCTTGACGAGATCTGTAGAGCCAGGCGTGCTTCAGCTGCCCCGGTCTTGAACTTTGGGGAGACAATCACCATGGTCAAATCTTGCAGGGTGTCATTGTAGCATGCAAGTGCACCTTGTGTTACTGGAGATCTTGTTCCATTCCAACGTTTTGTGAGGATAACCAGCGCGTCGGATATGACGACAATTCCAGCGGTTGCAATGTAGTCGATATAAAGTGAGACGAGAGGATCTCCTGGCTGGCAGAAAGATTCTCGACATTCAACCAGAGCCCCAAATAATCGCTTGCCATCGATTTCACCGTCATGGTTCCGCAGCAAATTGCCGAAGTCTTCCACAGAGATTCGACGAAGCAGGCATTGACGAGCCAGAGTAAGCCACTTCGAGACCGTCATGTTGTTGTGGGAGCCTTGTGTTCTAGAATCTTGGGCTGAGATTTTTGCTCTGGGCCACTTTTCTTCCCTAGGTAAGGGAGAACGTTCTCGTTAATATCCTGGTTTTAAGGTTACACATAGCCCTAAGCCCTGATAGACTCAGCTAGTATACTCTGTTGCCCTGTAGTTGAGAACACGTAAAAGGAATATGGGGTGAATGCTACTGGTTAGATCCATTTCGGTGCACTAATTGCTGAACTCTGCAAACTCGGCATACAGTGCAAACATCGCAAACATTGCAAACATTGCAAACATTTCGAAGCCTCCGCAGTCTCACATTGTGGACCCCGTGTGACAGGACAATGTGATGACTACCACCATTGACCTTTCTCAACCGATGGAGTCTGCACTGTTTGTGACGCTCCTCAGCTAGAAGTGCAGGCGCTCTGGAGGAGATGTTGCTCCCGGTGACCCATCTTTTACGCCTGTACCTCGCGCGGTGGCAACCTCCATGAAATCCAGCTTTTCATGTGTCGCGCACCACCAGGCACTCCGATCTTTCGACCACCAGCTACCAGTAATGGCTGAAGGTTGGCCACGAATCAGTCTTCTCCCTGCTGATATTTCTACAAAGGTCTCATCGTCTTCCGATATCACATCCTCCGAGCATGTTATCGAGGGGCTGTTCAGAAATGCTTTGGACGCTGATGCCTCGTCGGTGGTGATTGAGGTGGAATTCTCGAAAGGCTACATTTGGATATGTGACAACGGGATTGGGATCCAAGAGGTGGAATTTTCAGAGCAAGGCCAGTTGGCCAGACTCCACTGTATGTAATAGCTCAATATCCCTCCCGATCAAGAATCTGACTGGTGCTTTAGGTTCTTCAAAACTGAATTGTTCGCCTCCGACATACGGTTGCTATGGCCGCTTCTTGTCAAACCTGTCGCACCTGTCTCTGTTATCAATAGCCTCCGAACATCGATCGGAAGTCTTTGCAAATCGGCTGATCTTGCATCGTGGGAATGCCGTATGTCGCCAGTTACGGCTAGACAAACAAGATGTTGGTATCATGCGGAAAGGCACGGCCGTTACTGTCCACGATCTTTTCAGCGATTTGCCTGCCCGCGCCAAACACCTGTCACAGCTCTATGCTTCCTCGACCGAGACAGAAAAAGCATTCAACCGGGTGAAAGAAATGCTCGCTGGATACCTGCTGGCACAGTCTCGTGCGATCGAAGTGCGATTCTCCGTCAAAGGCGCAAGACAACATAGAGTTCATTTCCGTTCACCGGACTTGAGGGAAGGGCAATTCTCACTAGAGTCGACAGTATCAATACTATTTCAGGCCAGGCTGGTGAATTCTGTCGACATCACAAAATGGCGCTTGGCATCCGCTCGCACGAAGCATTTCCGTCTTCGTGCTGCCATCTCAGTCGAACGATCCCCAAATAAGTCAGCTCAGTACATTTCCATTGGAAAGTCCCCAATTCAAAGAGAGGGTGGAATCAAATGTGTATTTGATGGTATTGATCAGCTTTACCAGGAGTCGACCTTCGGCTCCCAGGACTTTGGCCACAATGCGAAGGGCATGGCAATCGAAGACCAAGATTCCGTTGACAGATCTTGTCAAACCAACAAACTGCCAAAGGCCGTGGATAAATGGCCCATGTTCTACATTCAAATTGAGCCGAGAACTCGGGAATTGTCGACCAACCTCGCCTTGGGCCAGCCTGTGTCGGATGTGCTGCCCGTCTTTGATCATTTGACAAGAGCGATCGAATCGCTAATCTCTAATTTTCTAAACATGCATGGATATTCAGCCTGCGCCGAACGCAATGCATCGAAAAGGGTGCGTCGTCGACATAACCGTGGAATTGGCCCTTGCCAACAACTGGTTGGGGAATCTGCCAACAAACCCTCGAAACTTGCAACTGAGGCTAGGTATCTAAGTCACTGGCGTCGCGTCAAGAGTGCTCGTCCCTCACCAGAGGATTTCCGCTATGGCTTGGGCTTGAGAAATTCAGATGATGTCTCTTGCTCATCTCTGGTCACCAAAGAAGGTCGCTTATCTGTCGACCCTAGTCACAAAGAGTCGGACCCCGAGGACGCAACCCGCGAGACCCAAAGTGATTTCGAAGGTTTTGACGAAACTTTCGATGGTGTTCCTTGGATCAGCTGGCGCGGTGGTCAGGTCACTTATGTCCACCCTCGCACAGGTGCTGTAATACCTCCGGCGAATGGAGACACAGCACTTTCATATCCAGACCACGGGGTTTTAACGCGAATACAAGGCCCAGAACTCCCTCGTACCGATGACAGCGCGAAGCCTCTCGTCAATTTACAGCCCTATCTGCCGGCAGGCTATCGTCACCAATCTGATGCTCCGATTGCCTGCATCATATCCGAACAGGGTCCGGGGTTGTCTGGAAAAGTGATCGTTCCCAGAGGACAGGACAATACTGTTCTAGACTCACGGATCGTCACGAAAGGTTCTTTGTCAAGAGCCAGTATTGTCCAGCAGGTTGATCGAAAGTTTATCCTTGCCGTTCTCGCTGTTCGAGATACCTGCGACCCATATTTTGCCGGGAGGGAACAGCGGAGACTCCTCGTTCTTATTGACCAGCATGCGGCTGACGAAAGAATTAAATTTGAAAAGCTTTGTGAAGGCTTGTGCAAGCGCATCTCCACAAATCTTGCTAAACCATTGGTCTTCGAGGTTGACGAAACGGAAGCGCGACTTTTGGAAGAGCACAAGGGATTTTTTCGGCGATGGAGTGTGATCTATCACATTGTTGAAAGCACGAGGTCTCATACGGCACGACATCCGCCCGGCCATCGTTCCTGGACAGTGGAGGTGACTGTTCTGCCGACCCTCATTATTGAGCGTTGTCGCGCCGACCCGAAGCTTTTGGCTGACATCATGAGAAGCGAGATCTGGTTAGGCCGTGCGCGGCGTTGTAGTCCGCTGCCCCGTCCTCCACAATCCGATGAGCCTTGTTGGTGGTCCGACCTTGCGGACTGCCCGAAAGGCATGATCGAGATGCTCAAGTCTCGATCCTGCCGCACTGCGGTCATGTTCAACGATCATTTGGACAAGAGGCAATGCCACGAGCTTGTGCAGAGACTATCTCAGTGCACCTTACCTTTCCAATGTGCTCACGGCCGGCCCACGTTAACAATACTGGCAGACCTTGGTGGAGATGTTTGTGGCTTCGGCATGGATGCAGATCCCAGCATCGTCGCGCTTGGATTTGGCGACGCCTGGAGAGGTTGGGTCAAGTAGGCGTCTTGGACAGTAGAAATCATTACGTACAGAATATGAGCATGTTCGCATCTGCAATTGGCTGTCTGCAGCCAGCTGTCTCACCTACCCACTTGTCTTTTGTGTCAGTGGCAGTATTTTACTCCACTCCGTCGCAACTGGCGGCCCAAGTGACGAGCGGCTGAGTCGGCTAGGCCAAACGCAAGCGCGGAGTGACTTTGGAAACGATCCCGCCAGAAACGCAAATGCAAGGAGTTCACAGACGCATGCATGATCCGTCGTCACACTGCCGTGGCCAATAGGAGAACAAAGCAGGCGGGATCCAAGGTGACTGTGTACAAGTAGGGGGAGGGCCCGGAGGGCGTTGGTCGAGGCGGCATTTTTGACGAGCGGCTTTGCTGGCGGGCGTCACTCGAGCTCAGATTTGAGATCAAGCGTCCAATCGTTGCCCTCGACGGACCTCCATCACATGCATCCAAGTTCGAAGCTCCAGGCCCCTTTTGGCCCTTGATGATTCAAGGTCAGCCCTTGCTTCGCATTTGGAACCATGCAGCTGTGACGGGCGGGCAGCCTTCGGACCAGGGAGGCAAAATGTCGTGCTAGCCCCGTTCTTGAAACGGCACAAAGGACTTGTCAATCACGAGGACTGCGCCGGGGTCGATACGAGAAAGAGCGGGGGACGGAGGCAGAGGGTGAGGAAAAGGGCACCGGAGAGGACGGCCAATAATGCACTCGAAGCACACGGCTGCATACTTGGTCAGCCAGGTGACTCGTGTCCACAAGTGAGCTGGAAGGAGGGTGGAGGGGAAGGGGAAATAAAGCTCACCAGAGTGCTTTGCTTCAGAGGGCTGTCATTTGGGGGTGGTGATTCATGATGAAGATTGGACACGATTGTTTGCTGACGGGGGAATGAAAATGAATTCTGCTCAGTGCTCACCCTGTCTCAACACACCGCACGAAGATCCTTTCTCAGACAACTGCCGCCTGCTTTTCCGGTGGCCCGCGGCCCCTTGGAAACGCTAAAGGCGACAGCAATTCTCTGAGTGGCCAGTCAGCGTGCAGAAGGGCAGCTGCGAGAACGGTGCGGTAGCTGGGTTAGCTGGGTGGCAGTCGGCAAGCGCCTTTTCCAAGCGCCCCGTGGATTTCGAAGCCCCTTGTCTAGCGTTGTGGAAGTCTCCCCGACCAAACACGCTCCTCCCTCGCCCACCTTCGTCCTCCTGCGTCCTGTGTCTCTCGTTCCTCACGCAGCTGTCAAGCATCAGTTGCAAAAAGTGGGAAGGATGTGCTTAGGCCTCTTCGCCCTCTGACCCTTCTTCTCCTCCTTGCAGACAGCTTTAAGTTGGGGCTTTGGGGACACTTTTCAGTGCTCTTTGCACGATTGACTGCCTCCGTCCTCTTCTGCTCTGCCGCAGGACCTCCAAATCTTGCTACTACGACAAAGGGCGGCTCCCTCCGCTTACTACGCACAGCCAAAGCAATCCCGCAGCCAAATCATTTTGTTTTGTCACTGTTCCCGGCTCCACGTGCGCTTCTCGCGGCTGCCGCTTACCTGCAAATCGACAATTCCCAAGCAAACATTCCAATACCAACATTATTCTACACAGGGAGCTTCCTCAGAGCTGGCTGCTCTCACTCGACCTTCCTCCTTTTCGACCCGAGGAGCTCTCGTGTCGCTTCTCTTTTCACAATTCTCACCTTTGCAATATTCAGAAGTACGATTAAGCGCGTGATTCTCCTGGTGTCCGGTTTGTGAGCGTCCTGGGCGCTTACCTTCCCTCAGGTTGTGACAGATCATAAGCGCCCATACTCCGTCCAGGTCTCTTCTCGCCGCGCGTCTCGCTGCTATCTCGCTCATTTCAGGAGTGTCAAAATTCCTGCTGGCGAATCCGCGCTTTCGAAAAGTTGTTCTCCTTATCCCACCAGAAAGGGGGTCCTCCCAGGGCAAGCGCCCACGTTCCCTGGATTCATACATCCCTTTTTGAGGCTCTTGTCTCGACTGTGTTCAGGAGTCGGCACGCAAAGGGAGACCAAAGTCCTTCCAGGAAAACTTATAGACCACGGTAACGCTGGGACCAGCCGACTCGCTTTTCTGAAGATATCAAGCCCAGTGTTTGACTCGTGACGATGGCTCCTCCTGCGAGTCAGAATGCTTCCGAGAATGAAGTGACGTCAAGCCCAGATGCCAGTTCACGAGGGTTTGTGGCAGTCAATCGCGCCTCGAGCAACGGTCTGTCATCATGCCCTTCAAGCATCTGTCCATATTGACCATAACCCAGAAAGCGATGCCTCGCTAGATAGTCGACACTCATCTCCACCAGACCACCTTCTCAGGGACGAGCCTGTACCCAGAAGTTCGAGCGGCACGTATCCACCCCCGCATAGCCAGGAACGCGCGGGCCATAGGCGGAAGCGGTCGGGGTCTGGTGACGACGAGCCTTATCTTGAACGGCGGCGGTATGAGTATAGCCCCCGGGAGGGCCCTGAACCACAACACATGGCCAACCGGGCATTGCGTGTCCTAGGAAGTGCTGATCACAATGCCACATCTGCGTACTTTCAGAATGATGCCAACCAGAATGGTCATACGTGGCACGCAGAGAAGCGTGCACAACCTGCCAGCTCCGTCAATGGCCGTCGGCCCAGCACCTCCGAGTCGCATCACGGGGAAACATTACAGCAAGAAGCCAACGGATCGGAGGCGCAGCCCTCACCTTGGGGCTCGGACTATCAACCTCGACCCAATGGCCAGCTCAATCACGACCAGTATGGTCATCCCGAGTCAGCAACGGGCGCATCAACGGTCGCGCCAAAAAGGAAACGTAACTTCTCCAACAGAACGAAGACCGGATGCATGACGTGCCGACAACGGAAGAAGAAATGTGATGAAGGCCAGCCATATTGTGAGTCTGGTCATTTCTTGAACGTGGAATTTCATTTTTCTCTCCGCCCGCTAACACTTTGTCTTTTTTCCAGGTAACAACTGTCTTCGAGGTGGTTTCAGCTGTAAAGGCTACAACCTGAACAGGCGGGCGAATCCGCCCAAGCCCACACTCAACAGAGGCCCGATTCCATTACAGTCCAGGGATGGTCTTGGTGACGTGTCTGAAGCATCGCCTTATCAGGGACCTCACATGGAAACTCCCGGCACGAGCAATCCTCTCAAACGTCAGGACAGTGTTCAGTCGCGACCAACTACGGTCGGTGGCAGTGAAGGACAACACCCCGCGACGTATGAGCTGAGTCCACAACGCAATGAGCCAGCGAGCCGACCACTTCGTCCCAACCAGCATAACCCCTGGCCGCCCGCGCAAGGTCAAAGTCCTTATACCTCAGAGCATCTCCCTCCACTGTCGGACCTGAGTCGATCAGAATTACATCCAAGTGCAAACCCGCGAGAAATGTCGCGCGTGCCACCTCAAAGTGCCGGATACCCTCCATCACATGGCCCTCCCGCACCGCCGCCGCCGCCACCGCCGCCCGCGCCTTCGAACCAAGCTCCGCTGGGACCACACCATCAACAGCACTTTCCTCCTCAACATGCGGCGCCCCAGCCTGTAGGTCCTAGCGTCGCTCATCAACCGCCGGCGGGCCCGCCTCAACAGCAGTTACAGTGGCACCAGCCACAACAGCCAGCGTCGTATGGGCATACATATGGCCCTCCTCAACCGGGCCCTCCACCAGCTCATGCTAGCGTTCCGAGTCACACTCGAATGACATCCTCCAGCACCAGCTTCAAGGTAGCCGGTCAAGAAGATGTGGAGAAATCCAAGATGCTGAGGTCGGTCAACTATATCCACATGGACCCGACACTGGTCTACGAGCGTCAACGTTGTGAGCGGGCCTTGCAGCGCTATAACGCGGCGTGCCAACTAGATAGCGGGATAGGGGAGCAGGAAATCCGCAATCTGTTGATGAAGGTGCTCGATCCTAGCCAGGATACGACGCACCGATTCCCTTCACAGTTTCACGGCAAAGGCTATCTTGGGATTGGGGTTAAGATCGAGACGCCTTTCACTTGCACCTATGGCTATAACCTCCGAATTCACGACGATGTCTACGTTGGCAAGGGTTGTAACTTTGACGATGCTGGTGCGATTGAGATCGGGCCTCGCACCATCATCGGGCCCGGCGTCACCATCTTGACCAGCGACCACAACAAGGATCTCGTCAATCGCAAGGGCACCAAGGGTCTCTGGATCGCAAACGATGTGCTCATTGCAGCCGGGGTCATTATCGGCGCCAAAGCCATCATCTATCCAGGCGTCAAGATTGATGAAGGTGCCACGGTCGAACCGGGAGTACTGGTTCGCGAGTCATTGAGAACAAATCAGATACTTCGAGCGCCGCCGGCTCAGGTCATCGATCCACTGCCACACTAGATGATGGTTCGGTAGGTTGCAGTTGGTGCGGAAGTGGCGCGCTCTTTTTTTCACACAGCGGGATGGGGATTTTCGTTTGGGAAGGGGTTTACTGGCAGTATGGGGATGAGGTATGAGGTACGAGTACATGAATCCAGGACTCGAGGCAGCGGGTCGGAAGGCGTTATGCAATACCATTCGCAGGCACAAATATCCGGCCTTCGGTTGGGTTTACCCGCAGCTTTTAGTAGCCAGTCACTACCACTGTGTTATGCAGTCAGGGATCCCAAGTACACATACACAAGCGGACTGCACAAACAAACACCTTTGGGGTTTATCTTCTGGTGCTGATGTCTTGAGAGTGACTGCGATCCGATCCCTCGAGAAAAGCCTTTTGTCCACTTTGAGCTGCGGTAAACCAAATTGGATGACCCATATAAGACTCGCCGTGTTGAGTCGCTTGACAAGCACCATGGCCAGCAAGATTTGGCTTTATTGAACCATTAAGGCGTGTCACAAGCGTCTGGCGTCCCGCCCAAAAAGAACCTTGATGAGTGCCAAAACAAACCGGTTATGGGGATCCGCCGCTTGGGTAGTACCCCTCAACGTCGTAAAACAACGAGAATTGTTTGCTCATGTTGGGAGGCGGGGCACGGCTCACCATGCCGGTACGTGAAGCGCTACAGTGAGAGGATGCAACGATCCCCCATTTTCGTCGTCCTTATTCCATGTTAGCGCTGCTTGCATTTCCCCAACCTAGGATTTATCCCATCACAGACGCAATGAGAGTCAAGTCGACGTTCTACGATAGACAGAGAAGGACCATGGTGAAGAGATAGCTCGAGCCTTCAAACCGTCTACCCGGCTTACGGAGCAACCGTCGTTTGGCAACTACCTCCTAATTTCTAACTTCCTGTTATTCTGAATGCTGCTGGCAAGTCTGTAACCCAGCAGGTTTGATGTTTATTCTGGGTTATGAAAGTCTTTTTCCGAGCGTCTATCCCAGCCGTATTGGCAGCGTATAGCTCTGACACATTTCCCAGGTAGAGAGCCAGCCAGAGAAGATCATTGACCCCGCCAGCTTTTACGGATTTGGGTAGGATAAAAACCTCTAGCCCCTTCGGCCCACGGCGCAACCGCTCAAAGGTTCTGCTCGATTGGCGCTGCTGGTGGCTGGAGGGCTTGGAGGGAATTGAGGGGGGCCCAAGTCACCCAGATTGGCTTCTGAGATTGGTTATGGAAGCGCACAGGCAAGATTACGTGGGGCCGAAGATCTGGGTATTTTGCGTTTTATGACCTTGAAAACATACAAGGACGAGTAGGTAAGGCCTTGGTTTTGATAGAGTCATGCTGATGCCATGCCACGAGTTATAAGTTTTCGAGTCGAAGCACTCCAGAGGCCTAGAATGCACTTGGCCCAGGTGATACAAGGGCTAACAAGGTGGGACCCCAGAACAAAAAGTCTGGGAGGTTTTTGACAGTGCTTTGGTGGCGTGCCACTTGGTGGTTATTTTTCCTGCGTCTTTTAGCGGCCCGTTAGGCGGATGTCGACTCGGTACAAGTACGATTACCTAGGCTTGAAGTGAAGGGGAAGCACGGAGAACGGGGCACCTATCAGGTATGTGCAGATACCCAGTTCGTCTGCCCTGCTCCAGTGACTTCCTTCCAGCATCAACAAACTCTTTTCATCGTCGGTCAGTCCTCCACAGAGTTTATCGATTTGGTGCTCCGTACCGAGTACATCCAGTCCATTCCTTACCCAATCTCTCATTGTTGTTGTCCACGAAGCTGATCCATTGCCTCGTCGTTTGATTTCTAGCACCCCTGCTGTGTACAAGTACTTGTTGTGACGCACAGCTGGCACCTCCTGGCCCTTGCAGACAAATTGGGATCCCCCTCGTCTCGTCTCGACGCCTGCTACTCGTTCCCCCCCTTGGCCTCCCTTTGGACACATCATTCGAACCCGCTATCTCTTTGCCTCCTCGGCCGTCTCCTCATCCTGTTGGTTCCCTGGCCCGTCTACTGTTGGTTGTGAGAGAAATGGCATTTTGTGAGGCGCAGGTGCTTCGATACTGGACCATGTGATCCGCGACCTTTACAGTCCTTGCAACAAAATGCGCGAGCCTCAACCTTCTGCTATCTATGTCGCGCCGCTACGAATTCGCAAGAATAGTGACGACGATGACAACGACGACGACGAAGGCAACCATGGCCCCTCCCGCAAAACGGAAGACACGGGGCAGGTTACCACAAATCCCCGACCGACCTCTATAGAATCCCTCGACGATATGACGTCCCGTGCGAGATTCCACAACTACTTACGAGCTCTTTATCCTTTCCAGCCGTCCTCTCCCCACTCCTCCACCACTGTTACACTACCGCTCAGTGCCGGGGATATCATTCTAGTACACTCGGTGCATATCAATGGCTGGGCGGATGGCACACTGCTGGAGACAGGAGCCCGCGGGTGGCTACCGACAAACTATTGTGAGGGGTACGACTATGCGGCGATGCGACCTCTTCTCAAAGCATTGACCGAATTCTGGGATCTTGTGCGCTGCGCGAGCGATTCAAACCTAAGTCTTTTCCGCAATCAGGACTATATGAGAGGTCTGGTCGCGGGCGTTCGCGCCTTGCTGGAGCGCTCCAATTGTTTAACCCGGGACTGTTCCCTGGTAAAAAAGCACGATGCCATTCGCCGGACGCGTAAAAACCTTCTCTCTGATCTCGCTCTGCTTGTGCGTGCCGCAAAGGAACTGCAGCAAGTAGTCGTTGGCCATGCCGCCAGCAAGGATACCCTCGATATCCGGCTGGATGACATGCTTTTAAAAGCGTTCCGAATTGTCACTCGTGCGGTCTTGTTTTACGACGTCTGGACTGAGCAAGCCGATGCGTCACCAGGGGCCGCTACAAACCCACCCGACTCTTCCTCGGAATCTGTCGCAGTTATGCAATCCCAGCACTCGACCAAATCACAAGTTCCTGTCCGACGTCAAGCCTCATCATCTGCCAAAACGAAACCTTCAGGCACACCTGTATTGTCAAAGCATAGCAGCCGCAGTTCCACAGGTAATCATCCCACCCACATGCGCCGACACTCATCCATCACACATCGCATGTCCTACACTCGTGGCACGAGCCAAAAGAATTCCAACCTCATATCCGAATTTCTCAATCGCTCCTATGACGAATTCTTGACTGTTCTGGCGTCGTTTCTGGGCTCTCACATGCAATCCCGGTCATCCTCTGAGCTGTTGCTAACCACCCAAAACGCTGTTCGAGCCTGTCGACAGTTGTTTGCGGTTGTCGAGACGGTCATTGACCGCGACTACAGTACCTCTCGACCTCTAGTTCAAGCTAAAGATTCCATGTACGACGCGATCACGGAACTAGTCCATGCTGCTCGTCAAGTTTTCAAGCCCATTCGTTCAATGGACGACGATCTGATTTATTCTCCTGACGAGGCACACAGTCTGGTACAGGCGGCCACAGCCTGCGTCAGTGCGGCCGGCCGATGTGTCACCAGAACCAAAGCGACGCTGGAAGAAATAGGAGATTTTGAGATCGAGAATTTGAGTTACCTCTTGGGACGAAATTCGGGTGGCTCCAGCACACCAGAGCCAGCAACCTTCGAAACCCAGCCCTCGGACCGTCTAACAACCTCTTCTGCGGTGACGTCGGCCACAGCCAAAGCCGCAGATAGATTAGAGGAACGCCCTCGCATCGTCATCAATCAAGGCCTCCTAACTCCTCCTCTCTCCCTGGCCACGGCTGAATCTCCTTCCTCCGCCTCCGGTAGTGTTCCTCCTACACCGAAAGACGATGTGGTGGCAGAGATCATTCGTTCCTCACCACTGCCATCCTCCTCTTTGACTCATCAGAAGACCTCTGCAAGCTCCCCAGTCTCCAATCGGTCCACAGATGTCAGACACCATCGCAAATCCGGCCTCGGCGCAGTTGGAGGAAGTACAAGCAGTGACAGTAGCTTCGAACGCATTGAACGACGGTCAAATCCCAGCAACCTATCCTCAGCGTCGACTCGGGTCACCTCGGTCCAGGAAGATCCTGGTCATCCGCTAAAGGTGCCTGTTTCGAGGCCATCACATGACGCGGGTGGCCGCGAGTCTCTTGATGATGAAGAAGATGCTGAAGCTGAAATTCTCGTTCACACCTATTCCCAGGAGCTTGTCTTTAATCGAGAAGGCATAATTGTCGGCGGCACGCTGAATGCCTTGGTGGAGAGGCTAACCGCCCCCGACTCGGCTCCAGATGTGTCTTTTGTCACCACCATTTATCTCACTTTCCGCTTGTTTGCGACTCCAGTCGCCTTTGCTCGTGCCCTGATCTATCGCTTCGAATACGTGGGTGACAACTTGCGCATCGCAAGCCCTGTTCGACTCCGCGTATATAATGTCTTCAAAGGCTGGATGGAGTCTCACTGGCGACATGATTGTGATGACACTGCACTCCCGGTCATTGTCGGCTTCGCAAGGGAATCACTTATTGGTGTGTTGCCAATGGCCGGCAAGAGAATCCTCGAACTGGCAGAAAAAGTTGCCACCAGTCATGCGCCGATCGTCCCGAGAGTACTGTCCGCCATAGGAAAGACCAGCACATCCACAGCAGCCTATGTTGACCCGAACACCCCTTTGCCGAATCCCGTCATCTCCAAGAGCCAACTCACTGCGTTGAGAGCTTGGAAAATGGGCGGCCCGTCAGTTTCCATCCTCGATTTTGACCCCCTTGAACTTGCACGTCAGATCACGTTAAAGACCTCCAAGATCTTCTGCTCAATTCTTCCTGAAGAGCTTCTCGGGACGGAATGGACCAAACGCAGCAGTTCTCTCGCCGTCAATGTGCGCGCCATGTCGACTCTGTCCACCGACATCTCGAATCTCGTCTCCGATTCCGTTCTCCAACTCGAAGAACCCAAAAAGCGAGCCGCCATTGTCAAACAGTGGGTGAAGATTGCGAACAAATGCTTGGACCTGCGCAACTTTGACACTGTCATGGCGATCGCCTGTGCCTTGGATTCGACCAACATCAAAAGAATGAAGAAGACGTGGGAATGCGTACCTCAAAAGACGAAGACAATTTTCGACGAGATGTGCAAGATTGTCGATGTCGCACGAAACTATGCTGTTCTACGTCAGCGTATACAATCCCAACTCCCACCCTGTCTCCCTTTCATCGGTGTTTACTTGACAGACCTTACCATGGTTGACTCAGCCAACCCATCCACAAGGCCACTGTCGACAGATAGTGGTGAAGCCTCAGTCATTAATCTGGACAAACATATGAAGACGGCGAAAATCATATCCGAGTTGCAAAAGTTCCAAATCCCTTATCGCTTGGCTGAAGTCTCCGAGCTCCAGACATGGATGCAAGACCAACTTATTCGAGTCAGGTCCGCAGGGGACAAAAGTTTTCAGCTTCACTACCGACGTTCATTAATCCTGGAGCCTAGAGAATCCAGCAGAAGTCCGAATCCCGAGACCGGGACGGGAAAAGACAGGGAAAGGTTCGACTTCTTTACATGGGCACACCTAGGCACCAAAGAAAAGTCGGTGTCGGTGTCTAGTTGATCAAAGACCTCCCTGAAGCTCGACACAGAACCCGAGCTCCAGAAACGACGTTATTATGACTTGTGTTTCATACCTCCCAGGATTGTCATGAACTTATGATACCCCACCGGTTGTCGGTCTTTTGTTCTTGTTTTACTATGTTGCTTGCTAGCGTGGAATGTTGGTTTCACATGCGAGGTGTTGGATTTGGGGCCGTGAGGGTGGTGATACTTCCTTACCTTTTGCTCCACTGTATATTTGTCAGTGTTTGGGCTCGGTGGTGGATGCTGAATCCTGGTATCTGTTCGCTTAATGAGGGCGTATCATATCACATGCGTCGTTCTTTCTTGAGGCCAGGCCTTATAATTCGTCAGCTCGGGCGCGAAATGTACGTATTATGGATCAAGCTGGGTTTTGTTTCTTCTACACAGTAATGTATCCTTTGACTAGTGGTCCTTTTCCACGGGTAGGGAAAAAGGTCTTTGGGATCAACCTGATTGTGAGGGACGAGGTTCAGAGAAGACAGACAGCAAATACCCCCTTATGCATGTATCACCACAACACAACCTTATTTTTGACTATTACCTTCTATGTACAGTAGTATCACCTTTGGTGTAGTGGTTCGCATAGTGTGGGATCATGCTCCCCTCCTGCCATTGTCCTCGTGCTTACAGGGCAATAGCACTCTCAGTATGAACTGATCGTACAAGGGTATATAAGCGGTAAGTGATGTATGTATATGAGCAGTGATCGAATCCCAGATGGGGAAGGACGTCATTTCCGTGACTTTTTCACCGGACAACAGTGGCTTGATGGTCGTTCTTCAGCCATCTGAGAGGTCCAAGACCCCGCGGACGGATGCAATTGCAAAAGGTTTTACACGATGGCAAGACCTAGCCATCGAGACCTCGCAAGCAACCTCCCCTTCTTTGTGCAACCCCAATGGGCCAGTCGACGAGTGACCAAATCAGTCACACGAGATATATCCTTACCCCTGGGTATGGACTGAACATCACTCCAAAACCAGGTGTTCCGCGGATAACTGTTCCCTGTGTATGTTAGTGCAAAGAAGACCGAAAAACATGTCACAACAGTTTGTATCCCTCGCGAACACTCGGCCGGGTTGAAGTTGGGCCCTAGGGCCAGGTCCGTATTTTGGAAGTAAGTCTATCAACGTCACGGTAGTCAAGCAACTAGGCTGGCAGCTTGACAGTGTATCGCAGGAGGAACGTATCACCGCCATTACCCAAATCTGCTTCGCACCCAAGGCTGGTAATAGCTCGAGTATTCTCTGGCGGTGGACATGCCAAAGTGGGTAGCAACATTGACGTAGCCGTCTTCGGTATGTTCGCCAGTCCTTTTGATGGCATCAACGTCCGAGATGTCCACCTCCCAGGGTGTCCGACAGTAGACGCAAAGGACACCCTTTCCCGCTTGACACTTGGCCCACTGGTCAAAACATGATTTGTGTATGTTGTGCCCACATTGCGCCTTACACCAGACCAGCTCGTTGTGCCCCTCGTCGAGTTCCATGTAGCAGATCGGACACTCTCCATCAATAGGCTTACGGTTGCCCTTCGCGTTCCGACAAAGATCGGTAGGAATTGGAGGCGCATGGGCAAAGATTTCTTCCAGCTCTGATGTCAGCAAGGCGAGTTGGTACTGGAGATGCAGAGGCGCCTTGAGGACGGTGTTTAGAGCGTAGACCTTGTGTTTGCATTCGTTGCCTTTTAGCGAGTCAGGACAGGTGCAGGCGGGCAGGTGGCTGACAGTGACGGTGTAGATGTTGCCGGTCGAACCGACTATGTCGATATCTTCCGACGGAACCCCTGCTCTCCCCTTGCGATTGCGACCGAGCACAATCATGCGTTGGTTCTGGGCCCGCTCGAGCTTCACGAGGAAGGAAGCTGGGGGCTTGCTTCTATATCTGCGCAATCGCTTCTCGTCGACCTGTTCGCTTTTCTTTTTCTTCGATGCGGTGGAGGTGCTCTTCTTTCCGGGGGTACAGTCTGATCGGTCTATCGCAGAGGCGTACATTCCATAATCATAGCTGCGGCGTGTTTCCTCTTTCTCACAATATTTTGATCTCGATGCTTCACTCTTCCGGGCTGGGCTTGGGACGGGCGCTTTCGGCTTGGATTTCACAGGAGTGGTTTTCTTGACGCCTCCGTGGCTGGAGACACGGGAGACCTTCGCGGGAGGCATTTTAGGCACTGGGGGTTGTAATTTGTAAGGGAATTTGTCGACGAGCCGATTGAGGACACTGGTGAAGTACTTCAATTACCTCGCGCAACTCAGAGCTTGTTGTTGATGGTTTCCTAGTGGCGAGGGGAAGAATTGGGGCGGGGTTGTCAAGTCAGGTGTTAATTCCCCTCACATTTGTTTACGACCATGTCAAGCATGTCCACATCATGGTTCTGGTTTCTCGCATCAATATCAAACACACCCCCTGGGTTCAATTCGGGGTTTGTCTTCAAGTCTGAGCACAACATATTTAACCCAAGGTTCAAAGGCTGATATGCTTTTTCGAAGGTCCTATTCTCACCAGCGCGAAGCAACCACTCTGAAACGCCAGTCGCTTATCTAACAGCAAGTCTTACGGCGGATAAATACCCCCTTTCGTACAATACCCACGTCTTGCTCTATTTGTCCGAGTTATACCAAATCCTGAGAATGTCCACCAGGGTTTTGCGCAGAATCTGGTCTCTGTCAGCCATGGGTAGACCTAATCTTATGGAACACTTACAGTCTGTGGTCACAAACGCTCTATCAACCTCAGTCAGCGCCTCACAACAGTACTGCAAAGTCTCGGCGATGTCGTGCGTGCGCCTCAATGGTGTGCTCTCGTCCAACAAAATATCGAACTCTGCCCACACGCCATCTCCAGCGTGGTACGCAATCACCGACTTGAATCCGGACACCACGTTCCTGAAGCGGTAGGCCAGATAGATCAACTTCTTCTGCAGCGTCTCGTCCACTGTAAGGCCACAAAGTCTGCTGACATTTTCGACGCAAGTGTCTGCCCAGTCGTAAATGATGTACAAGGAAAGCAGTGCTGCACCGAGCGGATCCAACCACCAGATGCCCGCCTGTTTGCCGATCAAAGGGAAGAGCAACGAGAGCGTATTAAAATACACATCTGTCTTACAATCCTGTGCCAGCGCCTGCACCTGGGTGGTCTTGATCCTCATACATCCCAGACCGATCAGGCCTTTGATCCCAATGGTCCCCGCCATAGAAGCGATCGCCAGTGCGGGTAATGTGGCAATGTCGTGGTTACCATGTGGGAGCAATTTCTCAACAGACTCTTGCAGAATTTGAAGGAACGAGATAACCATGATGATGGAAAATACCAGGATGCCAATGGGCTCCAGCCTCCGCCGACCGACCGGGAACTTCCTCGTAAGTGCTGACAACCTCCAAGACACCAGTTTGTTTGTCGTCCATACAATGGCTGTGCACAGCAGGTCCAGGGCCGAGTCAACGAGGGAGGCAATCAACGACAGAGATGAGGACTTGAGCGCAGCTATGCCTTTGGCAACGAGGAGAATAATGTTGGCGATGACATTAATGTTGATAGCCCACCGGGCGTTTCGATCTGCCTTTTGTCTTCTCTTCCGCACGTCATCCGGCAAAAGGTAGTCGATATGCTCCTCGACATGCTGCAGTCTGCCTTCCCTCTCTCGGATCCCGTCGTGATCGGCGTCGGTGTTCATGCTCTCCATGACCTCGTCAGCCATCGCGAGCACTATCGTGTCCACCTCGGCCCAGTCATTCAAGGTAGCGTTTTGTTTTTCGTAGAATTTGCGGACCTTTTTGTTTTTGATTCTTTTCAACTGGACGGCCGATCCGCGTTAACCTCGGAAAACCTTGTGATGGGCACGTAGCCTGCTTACTCACCTCGTCGTCACTTTTTCTGGCCTTCTCGAACGCCCCTCTATCTACACCTTCCCGCAACTGCTCCTTCAAGACAGCTGTGGTTCGGCGATCCAAAACATAATCGACAGCATCTTTGAAACCAGAGAAACGTCTATTATTGTGGCCACATTCCAGGTCCGCCTTTCTCCGATGGTCATCTGGTTTGTTCTTAGTTGTATTAAGAGTTCGTTTGCCGACCATCACGGTGCTGTTCGAGAGGATTCAAAGGGTGAGCCAACGGAATTCGGGGACACAGCTGGTCCGTTGGACTTGCAGCTCTACAACGTTAGAGGAGTGATATGATGCTTATGGAATAAGAACTGGCCAGATGATGCTTGTTGATATATGGAGCAAATCTGATGGGATCAAAGGCGTTGGTGGCGCCCCTGCTTCAATGACGACATTGAACCAACCGATTCCCTGTTTCGCCCTCCAGAGCCGTTGGTCGAACTACAAGCTTTCCCGGTCAAGAATACCGTGGAAGCTTGGTTGAAAGCCAACACTTGACTACTCCGTGCCGGGCATTGATAGGTACGTAAAGGTACGATACCTCTGCATACTCGGAGCTAAGCACTATGACTAACGCGTGCTGCCGGCATACGGATTTATCTGTCGCAATGCACCACAAGCAACATTATCCTGTAGTTCGGGACTTACAATCATCTATCTTGTGAAATATAGGCAATTGCCCATGGTACTATTGAAACCTCTTCGGCCCTCGGTCAGCCCAGCTCTCTCCAGACCTCTCATACGGCCTGCCCCTTGACAACATCCCAACTACAACCCGTGGCTTGTTCCCTGCCCTCTAAGGTCCTGGACATGCTGTTTCATTCATCATTCCACTTGTCGATGCTGCCGTTTTCAACATGCTATCATTGCGAGCCTCCCCGCCTTTTTTTTTTTTTTTTTTTTTTTTTTTTTTTTTTTTTTTATTGCACACGCCAATTTTTTTGTCAATTCGGTTGCGGTGACAATGAGTTGCCTTATCAACATTATCAAATTTCAACTTCTCATACAAAAAATACACAACAAAAAATTAGCCAAAGTTGGGAGTGTTCGACCTTCCTTTGTTGCGTCTTCACATACCAACTCTAACAGTCCACAAGACAAGATAGAAAAGTATTTAGCATCATTCGCGTAAACTATACAGAAAATATACGCCGAGTCACA